TCTTATCAAGTTTGATCCCAAACATGACCCACTGGATCTTAGGATTGAAATGGTCTGATGAGATGCCAGCAGAAAAATACCTCTATGCGGAAACTGAGGGAAAACCGGATGGAACTTTGAAAACCGATGATTTGACCTGGCATCACTTGGATGAAGCCGATCCACACATCCTAGCCCTGCTGCAGTGGGTTTTTGATTACTATGTAAGGGTCCCATCTTTTGCTGACAAAACAATTTGCTGCTACGAGCAGCTGGTTTTCCAAGTTGTTGATGCCAAGTGGGAGGCAATGGATGGCTGCAAGTGGGGCTTACAGCTGCAAGTTTACAGTTTTTGGTCTCATGTCAATTTGACTTACTACTTCCGCTTGGAGATGGAAGATGACCCTTGACGCTTTGCCACGCGTGCCAAAAAAAGAGAATTCAAAGCGATATAGCCGTGAAGTGGAGGGTTGGTTTTTCTATTGTTGTTGGTTGTTTCTAGCTTCAAACATCCACACACACACAAAATACATAACATAATATATCACAATATATAAGCATATTGTTTGGCCCAAGATTTTCATGGCCCAAAGCCATGTCATGACAGCTTGACTATCAAATCAGCAAAGCCATGGCCCAATGTCATGTCATGACAACTTAACAACACAAAGTCATGGCCCACGTCCCTGTCATTATAGTTTGACTATCAAATCAGCAAAGTCATGGCCCAGTGCCATGTCATGACAGCTTGACTGCCAAACCAACAAAGTGATGGCCAAACGCCAAGACAATGCGGATGCTGCATCAGCAAGAATGCTCAAATAGCCTACGGGTGACCAGGTGCATGGCTCTTCTGCATGGCTGACATAGCCTCTTTATCCAAAACCCTAGATGTAGAACAAAACCCTGAACACAGGGAACACCAAATAATGGAGAAATGGCAAGGGCCAGGCACTGTCAATGTCTGAAGATGGAAATCCTGTCTGTACATATAGCGGTGCTAATTCATGCAAAGAAGTTGGGGTTTGTGACTACGAGTATTGAATTAAATGAGCACGACTTTTGAGCCCGATGCACAGTGAGAATGCAATGAAAACAAGTTCCAGTTCAACTGGACTGCCACTAAAGTCCAAGTCTGTAAAGACTTGACAAACGGAGGTCTGAAGGTGGTCTTTTCTGTGCAATGAGAAACTTATTGTCGACGTATCAATGTATCTGACTACACTACACAATGATCAAAACAAGGTTGAAACATGTTGGTTTTGAAAGGTACTGCTACACGATTGTTCAACGTGGCCACTGCCAAATTTGACAGTGTCAAAGATGTCTGACTTCCGATTCTTTCACTTCGGATCTGACGCCAAACGTTTCGGCAGGCTTTGCCACACGAGTGTGAAACAAGCTTGTATAATAGGGAAAAGTCAAAGGTTTCTGCAAGCTTTGCCACATGAATGTGAAACAATCTTGTAAAATGAGGAAATGGCAGGGCCAAACACTGTCAATGTCTGAAGATGGAAATCCTGTCTGTACATACAGCGGTGCTAATTCATGCAAAAAGTTCGGGTTTGTGACTACGAGTATTGAATTAAATGAGCATGGCTTTTTGAGCCCGCTCAAACCAAGACGGAAGGTTCCGGCGGATACAGTGTCCCAAATCTGATGCCTGGCAGTGTGGACATCAGTGTTTGTTCAAGAATTGCAACAAATAAAACTCCAAGTCTGTAAAGAATTGAAATTCTTGAGAAATCTGACGCAAAATCCAAATCAGTGCGGAACAAGTTTGCACAATGGAGAAATCGCAATGGCGAGACATGTCAATGTCTGAAGATGGAAATCCTGTCTGTACATACAGCGGTGCTAATTCATGCAAAAAGTTCGGGTTTGTGACTACGAGTATTGAATTAAATGAGCACGACTTTTGAGCCCGGTGCACAGTGAGAATGCAATGAAAACAAGTTCCAGTTCAACTGGACTGCCACTAAAATCCAAGTCTGTAAATACCTGAGAAACGGAGGTCTGAAGGTGGTCTCTGCTGTACAATGAGAAACCTATTGTCGACGTATCTACGCAGCTGACTACAAGATGTTCGAAACAAGGTTGAATCAAAATTTCCGAAACGTACTGCTCCACGATCGTTCATTGTGGTCACGGCCAAATACGACAGTGTCAAAGAGGTCTATAACTTCCGAGTCCTGCACTTCTAATCTGACGGAAGTTCAAATCAGTGCATAACTAGCTTTCAAAATGGAGAAATGGCAGGGCCATACACTGTCAATGTCTGAAGAATGAATTCTTGTCTGTACATACAGCGGTGCTAATTCATGCAAAGACGTTGGGGTTGGTGACTACGGGTACGTGTGTTGAATTAAATGAGCACGACTTTTGAGCCTGCTCAAGAAATCAGTCGACAAGATCGAAGTGATGATCTGAGCCATTATGGCATTCAGTCCAATGTCAAGTTTAATTCAATATCGAATGAAAAATCAAGCTGAATGAAATTCAGAAAAACCTGACGGGAGCTTGGGAATCAGATCGCCAAGCAATGCCTGTCAAATAGTGGCTGTGGGTGTTTATCACCCACATGCGGCCACGTTTGTAATGCACGCATCCTTGCGAATTCGGGCCACGGGTGAGGTCAATGCACTCACCCTCTCCGCCATTGTGCACGGTTTTTTCCTGTGCCCCAGGCTAGGCCCACAAATATGGCACCGCATTCGTTCTTGCTGAGATTCGTCCCATTGTGCAAGATACGACCTAATTCGTGCGCCTCCCACGAGGTGTATCCAACTTTGAATCCCTGAGCAAAGAAACTTTCACTTTCTGCAAAGTGGAGTTTGCTAGGTGCCAGCTTACCTTCTTTGAGAATGGCAACAAAATTACCAGGTTTTGTGGCATGTGTGAAGGCCAGATGGATGATTTCATCGAGGCCTCTGTCTGGTGCCGCCCGTCTTGGTATCGGTGGCATCCCTGCTGGAACGTTGGCTCTATCATACAAAATTGAGATCGGCAAAAGGTAAAAATGCTCCATTGGAGCTGGTTGGTCAGATCCCTGATTCCATCCGTAATAGCTGGGATCATACGTGGCCATTCTCATGGGTCCCAAATCTTGTGACAAAATGTCAGCCTGTGCCAGTAGCTTGGCTACATGTTGCAAAAAGGCTTCAGAAGTGGGATGCTCCTTGACTTGTTGATTCAAAAGGATTTCAAACAAGGAATGCGCATGATCATTTAGCGGGACATGGCCTGACGGCGTGCTCGGAATCGAAAACGCATTAAAAGGAGCACTACCTAAAGGCGCACTCAAAGATGCATTCGGAGCACTACGAACGGTCTGTGGCACCACCGGACGGAGTGGTGGCGGCGGCGGCGGAGGTCTTTCTTGAAATTGGCCGCTGTGACCGTAAATATCAAATACTCCTAGTGAAGTTTCCCAATTCCCTGGTGGGTATGTATGATGGGCTTGCTGTAAAGAGCGAGCCTCTGATCGAACTTCACTGACACTAGGTCCTGGGGACCGAGATCGTGCACGGCTATCGGATCTAGATCTCGTTTGACGAGGTCTACGGGATCGAGAAGATCTGGATCTCAGTGGTGGACGTTGTAAAGGTGCCAAACTGCTCGGTGCAGCTGGTGGTCTACCGATTTTCTGTACATCTTCAAGGGCTACAGACATTGGTCCCGGTGGTCTTCTAGGGGGGTCGAAGCTTGCAGAACCATCAGTAATTGGCAGCGCAGGTCGGACCTCACTCTTGGGTCTCAACGTCGAAACCAGAGGCGGTGGTGCTTTAGCCGCCTGACGGCTGTAGTCCCCTGCAATGAAATACACATTGTATGACATGGATGCAACTCTACTTATGCTGTTTCTTCTGCTTTGTTCTTTTGGCGACTCATAGTTGTTTCAGAGGAGGGCCCGAAAGCCTTTGTTCAGGAATAACCCCGAATGTTCAGAGTGAATCAGAGTGAATCAGAGTAATTCAGAGGCACAAAGTGCAATCAGAGATTTTCAGAGATTTTTCAGAGATTCTTCAACGCCTGAGAAAACATGCACGACAATTTCCATAGAGATCTTCGATCTCCATTGGAAAGTGGAACTCCGTAACACGAATTACTCATCTCGAGGGGACGGAAGGGAAAATTAGTCCCAAATCATATCGGATACGGTTCAAAGAAATACCGATGGCTACGATTCATGGTCAAAACGACCCAGTGGTATTGTCATGTTGTTTTTCTCTGGACAAGGACCAGACATACCCCCATTTTTTGTGGTGAAAAAAGTTGAGGGCCGAAGCCAAATCAGAGGGATACTGTTCACACGCCGGCAGTTACCGGATCACGACAGGACCATGACGGATTCTCTGCCGAATACACACTTGAAAGACCGTATCTCGTCTATGAGTCTTTTCATTCCCGATAGGGCACCTGAACTGATTTTGCTGTTTACATGCATAGTTCAGGAAGGCCGTCTTTGTCCACATTGGACAAAAGTCGCAGAAATGGGTAAATACTGAAAAATGCGTAACGGACTCCGATTTCTCGAATTATTCATGCATATGACAAAATAACAACCGGAAAGTCATCAAAAAGCTTGGATAATGAAAGAACATCGTGGCCAATTGCAGGTACGTCAGGGTGATCAGCCCTGATATCCCATCCAAGACCGTAGCTTCGTTGCACACGGTGGGTCAAGGATGCCGTGTGCCCCTGCTTGTAAATTGGGAACTGTAACTAAAAATTGGACATGTGATGAAAGCCCTTCGGAACAGGGGTTGCCCCCACACACACACACACATACACACACACCTACTGCATCGTTGGCGGTTTCAACGCACACCAGACATATTAGTCAATGTTGTCCATCGATAACCATCATCCCATTTAAATAGGGTTGAGAAAAATGAAGCCACACATAAAGAATAGGGGTTGGTTATCTCATGTTATCTCCACTATTTGATTGGGTTATAATATATATATATATACACAGTAGCATGATGTCGCATGCTACTAGTACATCCCCGGGCTGGTTAAAACACCATGTTTGAACGCTCCCAAGCCACTTTCCAAGGCCAAGATTCTCCATGACAACGCTTGCGCAGTGCGGCCACTCTCAAACCTGCAAAAAAATGCCCTGCCATATGAATGAGCCATGATTGGTCAGCGAACTGTTAATTGGCATAAAACTACAATAACAATATAGAATTAATATGAATTAATCATATAGACAATTGCAGACTACATGACAATTACATACAATTACATAGTCTATATTATCTATATTGTCTGTATTAGTGTGTTGATCCACTACCACATAATACATCATAATACCATACGTTGGGTTGTGAGATAACGAACTAACCCCATCATAGTGACGTGGACCAGCGCGTTTTTTTACTGGCCCAGGAGCAAAGCATGGTATGCAACGGTGCCAGCAAACCGCAAAAGAGGGAGAGCACCAAAAAGCCCGGAACGTCGCGGTAGCTGTAGTCTTTCACCTCGCTGAGATTTTTGTTGAGGTCGTTGAGGCCCGGTTTTCTGGGAGTTTCTTTGGAGTCTCTTGCAAGCAAACGAGGGCACCATACAATCATACAGTTAAGTTATATAAATGCATCATACACAGTTCACAATACAAATTTAAACATACGCTATAATAAAGTGTATAATATAACACACATAATATATATATAGCACACATTAAAGAAACATATAAGATCATATAAGTAAGTATACAATCAAGAATGTATTAAAATCATCCAGATTCTCTTGCTGAAAGATTATTGCTGGAAACTTCACTGGAACAACCCCCAAAATCTGGCACTGGACATGACCATCTCATTCCTGTCACTGTCACCTGTCATCAGCCACCCACAAGATCTGCCAACACGCGGTAATCGAAGCTCAGTCATAGAAGAATGATAGAATGCATGAACCATCTCAAGCACACTGATCCCAACAATATCCCTTGCAGAAAAAATCAAGGAGTCGAGTTTCGGCTTGTCATTTCACCAGCATGTCCCAGTGGCCCAAAATCGACCAAAATCTGGGGTACCCGGTGTTTTTCATCAACCGACCAGTGGAAGAAGGACAATCTATAGTCCAGGGAACAGATGGACCGTACCACATCTCAAAAATGACGAATTGTCCTCGGATTCCGGGGAGGTTAGCATGCGTGGAATGCTGGATGGAGTGATCCCACCATACACATGCCCAGGGTATCAGTTGAACCATGTTGACACCATGTGCAAGCCCACAGTGGATAATGAGTCATGAGTTCATAAAATGTTGGAAAGCAATGGAAGGCGTATGAAGCCAAGTGGAATCAGGATGAATGAGGAAGCTGCTTCAACCTTCCCAAAAAATAGGTCAACTGCCCATCATCATCATCATCATCATCACCATTTATCTGCATACAACATGGTACAGCTATCAGCAAATGATAGCACATTGCCCAAACCATGCAAACCCGACCCACCGGGTTTGGGATGACTAAGCTCAAAATAACTCAACTCCCACTCTGCAAGGATATCAACCATTCCTGCCCCAAACCATTCCTCCTTTTTTTGGGGGGTCAGCTGAAATCCTCTCAGAGATGCTGATAGATGTATGAGCCATGGCCAGCAAGGCATACGAAATGCTGGTGCAAATGACGCATCCAACCTCAGCAGGCCGCATGGATTGAGCTTCGCAGCTTCTCCCGCCTTCAAAATCAACAAGACTTAAGGGGTGAAGCAATCCAAATCACCCCAAATTTGTTGCAATCTTAAATGCCCCCAACTTTGGGCTCATACGCAAGATCACTACACAGCGGCTAAACATTATATACTTAGAACAATAAGCTTCACCTGTTGGTTTGCCCGTTCTGATTGTTTATATCCCCATTCTACCTTATTGAAAGCCATTGTTATTGGCATCCGCATCATTACTCAGAAAACCAATCGCTGTGTTTCGGGATGCACATCCAACCCGCCATCCTTGTCGCCGCCTTTAGGGCTGCTGCTTTGGAACAAAGGCTTTGAAGGTTAATTCCACAGGCCACAGGGCTGGGCCAACCTCCTCAAACCTGAGCTTTCTCGCACCATGATGGGGTTCCCTTTTGTGAAAGACACGGGATTGGTAGAAGATGCCTGTGATTTTCGGGTGATTCCGGGGCTACAGAATCTCAACTGGCCAATGGGGGCTACTAGTTTCTGGGCAAGCCACTGGATCCAACAAAGCGGCTGCATCTATGATCCTTGCACCCCGGTAGGAAAGCAGATACAGAAATACATGTGAAACAACAAATCAATGAATTATATATTGGTCCAAAGGACTGCCCCGAATTCGAAGCAAGGAAATGATAGCAATGAAAGAACAACGAGGCGAAAGGCCTTGCACCCACCAAACCCTAATGCATCAAAAAGAGGAGGCGGGAACTATTGAACTATTGACTATGAGGCACCCAAAGACGCTGAACAATTGTAATGGAACAATACTCGCACACGGGTCATTCAAAGAGTAAACCACGCTAAGTGCTAAGTTAAACACATGTATCACGCGTGAAATATTTGAAGTTGCCAAAAAGACCCAAACGGTGTTGCATTCTTCTTTCATGCGAACATGCTCTCACATAACACGCGTTGTAAAGGGAGAACTCAGCTTAACCTATCTGGAACTGGCCGCACATGCTACAAGAAAAAACCCATCTGCAGCAATTACCTGGCATATCAAATGTAGTCAGTTACAACCGACCCCAAACTGAGACACTTACCCTCTGGTACTCAAACATGGCAACGGAAAACCCACCATTTAGTTCCATGATTTTCGCATTGGACTGCCTATTTTGGTCGATTTCCCAGCCAGCCATATTTGATTTTCACGGCATTCCCAGGGGGTACATGAGCAAAAGCTGCTTGAAGCAAGTTCATGGAAACATGTACAGGATGCCACCCAGCGGTGAATCAAAAATCATCGCCATTCCACAGGCGCCACCAACGATGCAACCCATTCGGACGGCACCAGGGGCGCCACTGCGCATGTCCAGGTATTCTTTGGCACCCTTGTGTTTGGAGGAGATACCTTGAAGCAATGAACATTGCCAAACCCAGCCGGAATCGTGGGTTGCAGAGCACAATATGACTGTACACTATAGTAGGGCTGCTCACTTCCGCTCATACCCTGGACTTATATAGGCATGTCAAAATCTGAAAACATAATGTACACAAAAATCGATCCAGTCTGGCTATTGAGAACATGGACAAAATCTCATCTGTTACTGTTGCTCTGTAAAGGGCATCCCGGCCATTCACCCTTCCTTTCGCCTTCGTGGCCCTAGTGGCCTAGCGGCATCGACAGAAGAGGAAGGCCAGGCCACTGCCTTGCGTCACCGTTGGACCCTCACGACCACAGGGGTAGCCCGTGGTGTTGAAGATGATGACCGCCACAAAGCGCACCACCAGCGTCCCTGAGCTAATCGACCGTGGAGATTCCGTTGCCGGGGCTCTCTATACCATTGCTGGTTGGTGGTATACCCCTCTGAAAAAATATGCTCGTCAGTTGGGAGTCTGAAACTCCCAATAGATGGAAAAACAAATGTTCCAAACCACCAACCAGGATATCTATGTTGGATATGTTAGATATCCTTAATATTGACTACAAGGTGGTGCCTCCCCAGTTATAAGTTGGTTTATAAACCATAGTAACTAGTTTTTGGGACCAGCAACGCTTTGCAGCAGTCCCTTCTTAGATGCAGTTCAATGGGCAACTGATAGTTCACCCAAAAGAAGCTGTGTTGAACCAGATCATTAGGCTCATTAGATGCAAATGTGATGCAAATATCGCCCAAACTAAAAAACCTACTAGACAGACATCTGGACTATTATATTGTATCACTCCGAAATCAGATTTCATTTGTGCCATTTTTGGGGCTGATTCCCCTTGCTACTGCCAGTACCTATACCAAGCCAACCTGTGACACTGAGGCGGTTCCCAGTGGCTTACGGAGAAAAATCTCGCGGTATCAAAGCCGTTGAGCCAACCTGCGGCATTTCATCTGGGAAAAATCACCACGAGAAGCGCCCCCAGAAAAGGTATATTGCCTCATTATTGCCCCATAGTTTGCTAAGTTGGTTTTTGAAAGGGTTTTAAGCATGGCGGATCTAGCTACAAAAGAGAATGAAACTTCACCCCGACCCTGACATGGACATGTTTAGTTCGCTTAAAGTGTCCCCATAAACGTGGAAAATTACTATAAATTCTATGCATTCACTAGAGCTGGGTTTAAAGAACTCTCCAATAATCAAAGCATCTGGGCGTTATAAACCCTAGTGAGTTATTGGAGTTATTTGCACCAACTTAGCTAACGAACTGGGGCACCACATTGCAACTATACACCAACCAGTTAATATCATATGGATTCATATTCAAATGTTAGATTTCACATTCCCGCACCAGCTCAAAGGTACGTGTCTCCCTCGACAAAAAATGTTTTGCCCTAGATTTGGTATATTATATGGTTGGGATTGCATAGGTATATGTATGATGAAGCTCAAAGCTACCTTGCTGGCTCACTGGGCTCACTGCCTCCTTGCTAGCTCAAAGCTACCTTGCTGGCTCAGTGACACGTAGCTGGCTCAATGCTTCGTTGCTGGCTCAGCGCGTCGTAGCTGGCTCAGCGCGTCGTAGCTGGCTCAGCGCCTCGTAGCTGCCTCAGCGCCTCGTAGCTGGTTCAATTTTTTCAACGAAAAAACAACGGGGAAAAAAAACTCGAAAAAAATGAGCCAGCTACATGCCCTTGAGCCAGCTCGATGTCTCTGAGCTAGAGCGATGTGTTTGAGCTAGAGCGATGTCGCTGAGCCAGCTCGTTGCAGTTGAGCGAGCTCGCAGAAACTTCCCAATCTGTTAAATTGCCAGGTTCTGTCCCCACTGATTAGATTAGTACTAGATATGGTTCCTCTGAAAGAGCCCAAGGTGACTGTCAAAGACATACCCCTGATGAAATTGAGCCAGCTACATGTTTTGAGCTAGCTCGAAAAAATGGAAGATTGTGGATTCCACCATTCTACATATGGTATCTATGTTGGATATGTTAGATATCCCTTAATAATATGAACTAACAGAAATATAACTATATATATAGATACTAAACCAACTATAGATAACTAACTGTGGAATAATATTAACTAACTATAAATATTCCCAGTGATCTCCCCCCGCTGAGCCGGCCTTTGTTCTCCGCTGACCCCGAGCCGCCGGCGTCGGGCGCCAGCAACTGCACCAGGCTCGCGCCCAGTGTGGCCCAGAAGGCCATCAACGCCTAGGCTTGGAACCGCTACGAAAAACGCCATGGGAATCACCACTTTCTATGGCTTAAACCATGGTTAAAATATGGGAAATCCCTGGAAACATGTGAAAAACCATGAGATTCTGTGGAAACATGGAGGGTATAGGGGTTAAAGCAATAAAATCAAATCATCTTGATTGTCATGGTATCGGACGGCGGCTCACGTGCGCACACAAAATTGACTCAGTTGCGCGCACAGGATTCTGACTCACTTGCGCACACAAAGTGTCTCAGTTGTACACACAGAGCCTTCGGGGGATGGGGTGGGGCTCGTTAACGTCATTATCTTTCTTGCTGTCCAGCAATGTCCAGCAGACACAGGCACTGCTCTTTCATGATCAGCTACCATCACACTTCAACCTTGGGGTGTTGGGTGGGGCTAGGGAAGAAAAGGGTAGGATCGGTAGGATCTACCAGCCACACCCGCTGTTTAACTTCATCATCATCATTATTATTGTCATTATTATTGTTATTATTATTATTAATATTATTAATATTATGAGTATTATTATTATTATTAAATTTAAAATGCTATTGTTTTCATCACAATCATCAGAGTCAGAACCATAACCATAACCATCATCATAATCATAGTCATCATAATCATCATAATCATAATCATAATCATCATCATCGTCATCGCCATCATCATCATCATCATCATCATCATCATCATCATCATCATCATCATCACCATCATCACCATCATCATACTCATCATGATCATGATCATGATCATGATCATCATCATCATCATGATCATCATCATCATCATCATCATCATCATCATTGTCATCGTCATCACCGTCATCACCGTCATCACCATCATAAGGACACCAGCATCCGTGTGCACAACTGAGTTGGTTTCTCGCGTGCACAACCGAGTCGGTTTTCGCGAGCACAACCGAGGCCCTAACCATGGTATCAGCATGTTGGAGCTTAAATTATCTGTTTTGTTGGCATGTGTTAGGGTGTCCAATCATATTCCAGCAAATCTGCTTTGGCATTGTCACAAGGCCAATTCCAAGGCTCAAACCCCACCAGTCAACCATTGATCGAATAAACATGTTGAACAGTGAATTATGTTCTTCGAGTGATCCCCACCAAGTGACATCCTATCTGTCATCCATTCTTGCATTCTACCTGATATGCATTCTGACATTCTGTCTGGCACTTTCTTGTTGCATCTTTCTCGTATTTGTTCAGGTCCATGCGTGCCCAGACTGAGGAGTTGTTGTGAGCTCCAGGCCGTTTGGTGCCCCCAGGCACGAAGAGCTGGCAGAGGAGTAGGAGAGGAGAAGAGAGGAGGAGTTTGTTTAAATCTAGAGACCCTCACCTGGCAGGTGGGGGAAAAGAACAATGATGTTGTCTGGCCAAACTGGCCAAATTGCAGCACCAGGATCATCATCACATTTTGAGAAAGGGCACTGTTCTAATCTTCAATATGTTTTAGCCAGTGCACATGTGGCTGAAGAGAAATCATTTCTACGTGATTACTCCCTTGATTTCCAGTCGTTCTATCTTGCCATGTCGCACCGAGGATGGTTTTACATGATTGTAATGATTGTACCAGTATGTGGTGGCTCCTTGTCCTCCAGCCGAGACACCATGAGAACAAAGATGCCATTGACAACGCCGCCTGGTTAGGCTCCCCAGCTGCCACAAGATGGTACGATATGTATAACCATGGTTTGAACTTTAGATATGAGATATAAGCATCCATTGTAACTTCTAGTATATTTTGGTTATATAAGTTATATAGTTATCTATTTGCGGGGCTATGATGGGCTTTACCAACCAGCAGTAACAAATATTCATTTCACCTTTGCTGCCAACGGTCAATCACTGCAAAAAAACCAAGCGGCGGGTGTCCACGGCCAGTTGCACGATGTAGAACTTCAGCGTCACCAAATACTCCACCGAGAAGACCGTGATGAGATTCGCAATGGCCATCGCCACGGCGGTCAAGACGATGACCTTGGCCGGAGGGAAACGGTCAAGTTACGAAATCAACAAAGGATGTGTTGAAATTGAAATTTATTGAATACTTTAAACTACCAGATTCAACCATGGTTGACAAGTTAATGTGTTTTTTTTTTGTGGGGGTCACACTGAAAGGATAGAAAAAAACGATGAAACAGCTTCAAGTCATCAGATCCGATGGGATGATAATTCAGACCTTTACCCCTTTACCCGGTGGATCTAAACCACCCTGCAGGAAGTGCGATGGCTTCAGAAGTCCCGATTCCGGAAGTCCACTTTGCAAGGGGGGCAATGTTGGAAAACATGATGATAAATTATAAGACTTTTGTGGAGAGAAGAAAGGAATAAAGACTCTCTCTCTCTCTATATATATAATGCGCGCGCGGCAATCGGTGTATCGGTGTATCGGTGCGAAAAGCGTTGAACGGACCCCAATCTCCAACGCTATATATATGTGCATATACCCTCTGGTGAACTAACATAACTATGGAAAATCAACATTTTTAATGGGTAAATAATCCACTATAAATGGCCATTTTCAATAGCTATGTTTGTTTACCATAGGGTTTATGTGCATATAAGAGGGGTTGCATCAGCCCATGGGCCCATGATGCCATGGTCTAGGCCAAGCCACGATCCATCCCGTCACAATCTCTGATGGAGGATGCACTCGATTCAAACAACCCATGGCTATCGCCGTGCAGTGACCGGGGGTTCAGCACATTGACTTGGGAGGCTTGGGATGGTTTCTTGGTTTGAACACATCTGTTCCTCTGTTCCTGTGGGGGCCAACACTTGAAACCCATACCCCCCTAGGTTTGGATGACAATTGACAGAAGCGAATGGATTTTTTGGAGGGTTCGAACTCACAAGTAGCTGGATAGATTCACCGCCCACTTGAAGCCTGCTTGGAGTGTGGGATCCTCCATGCTTGCAGCTCAATACACTACAACAATTATGTTGTCTTTTTACCTGCTATAGTCCATACATAGATCAACAATGGATAGCATGTTTCATCAATCAAGGAGCTTGCTACTGCATGCGCTACATATTGAAGGACCTTTACAATACATCTTCTGATTCATGACGGCTCCTAGTTCAGCCCTTGTGTCCCAGCGCAAAACTTTGGCGCAGGAAAGGCTATTGGCTGCGGGTTGCCACAGTTGCTTGTGGTCAGCGCTTGCGTTTGAAACCACAACAATCCCTAATGGAACTGCGCCAAGCCGAGAAAAACAAACAAAAATGATGTGAAGCCTGGAAGGGGTAAAACTATCCAAACAAGTGGATGATATACAAACAAATCTTACTGTAAACATTCTTAGACTATCCAAAACTAACCAATAGTTCATTTTGCGGTACCCCATGTTCGACCCCTCCCGAAGTCCTGACCACACATGTAGAACTACAAACCTTGACATCTTCAAAACGCTGCCTGCCTGGTGCCCAAACGTCTCCAAGTTCTGAGACATATGATTCACTCTGTTCCTTGCCACTGGAACCGGTGAAACAAAGAACCAAAGGCCGGGGGTATGCTTGCCTCTGATACCTTTTTGGTGATGATTGTCAAATTGTCGCTAGCAAAAAATGATATATAACCAAAACATATCATATCAATCATTCCGGCTAAATAGCAGCAAGTACCAGCACTTGAGAATACCCAGGATAAAAACCAATGGGATCTTGTTGGCCGGAGTCTGGTCAAACCCCACCCTGGCAGGAAAATCCAATAAGCTAAATCCATGATTCGGTTCAACAAAAAGCGATGTTCCGGGTGTTCGCTGGAGGGCAATCAACACCAATTAACCAACCAACACAGTAAATAGCAATCCAATAGTCCAGTAATCACAAATTAGATAGATAGATGGATAGGATAGGATAGGATAGGATAGGATAGGATAGATTAGATAGATTAGATAGATTAGATACATTAGATACATTAGATAGATTAGATACATTAGATAGATTAGATTGATGAGGTTGATGAGGTTGATGAGATTAGACTAGAAAGGTTATATTAGACTAGAAAGATTAGATTAGATTAGAAAGATTAGATTAGATTAGATTAAATTTAGATTTAGACAAAATAAAAATAAGATAGATAGATAGATAGATAGACAGATAAACAGATAGATAGATACATTTATAGATTTATATATTTATATATTTATATATTCATTTCTTCAAATATTTAATATTGAATTATTTATAGTTATATTGTACATATGCCTAAATACATTCTTATATGTATATTTGTATATTATATCTATGGACTAATCACAGTGGACCAGCTCCCCCATTTTCCAAGGATCTCCAGCTGATCGAGGTGTTCCTTGTGCACCTCTTTGTTCATAAAGACCTGCCGTGAATGCTCCGGCAGCGTAGGCCCTGGGGCCTTTTTTCCCGAAATGGGATGCTAAACAGATCCAAGCAATTCCAAAAAATGTTTCCAAACATGTGCCCTGGAAGTGGTGTTGTGTGGCTTTATGAAGCTAATGATATAAGATGATATATGATATAAGTATCGTATAGCTATAGCTGAGTCTCTTTCTCACTCATCATATCAGTTGTAAACCAACCGTTAGCTCTTGAACTGCGGCACCACCTGGTAGGATTTTACAACATACTGCCGTCATCATCCCATGGTCGTGAAAGGTGGAGCCTTCCAAATCTCACTGACCTAAGTAATTAGGGATGATAACTCATCCCTCCTCCATTCAATTTTTTCAGACTCCCCGAAAAATGTGCTTGATTATTTGAAGTGATTAACATTTAGACATTACTGGGGGATCATTTGGAGGGCCGGGCCGGGGTCTGGGATTAGTACCGCCGTCCCAGGCGCATTGGCATCGTAGTCCGCGCGGTAACAAATCCAGAGGAAGTGTGGTCTCTCCGCACCACGTGGACGTTCGTCCTGGCATAGGATCAGGTGGTGATGATGATGATGATGATGAACAACGTTTGTTGTTAGTATCAGTATCAGTGCTATCAGTAGCATCATTGTCATCATTAATGTCATTGCATTGAATTAATTATATACATAATCATTATATTTGTTATTGCTAGTTAAATAAGGCATTGTTTCCACTATTGTCACTTTTGCCATCATTATATTATTCACATCACCATTGGAATGTTCAAGATTGCCATCAACATCCATCAACATTAGAAATATGTTTTGTTATTTTTATTTATACTGCTGTTACTGCTGTTATGATGTCATTTATCAATGGTACTGTGATGATTCTCCCACCAAATCAACTGTGTAAAACTCAGACGCTGATGCTTTCCATCGTTGAATTCCAAGGTTGGTCAGTCTACTCGCCCCACGCACGAACGGTTCAGTCACCACCAGTTCTTTTTGCAAAATCTTTATTCGTTGCTGCGGGCGTTCTTGTAGCCTCTACCCCAAACATCAATGAAAAAGAAGATAAATCCACACATGGATGGTATGTGCATGGATGTGCGCTGAAAATACATGCTTTTCCTGGAAAAATGACAATCTTCGACAAGAAAATCAGCCCCTCGTCCTCATCATCAGAGTCGTGCTCCGAGGCACTTCCAACGCTGTTGCCTGAGACAAACGGCGAACAAAAACATCAACGGTCTGTTGATTCAAAGAATCTATTTCAACTCTCAGTTGATCCATAGAAATGAGTAGAGTAGACCAGACTAAGAATGACTAAAATAATTGGGTAAATATAGTTTTCTACTCTTCCATTAAGGGTCTGGGTAGAAGTGGAATTCAACCATCGCCTGTAAAACCATGTAAAGCCATAATCTCCCAACCAAACTGAGGATTCAGCCACAAACAAACAAACAAACAAACAAACAAGTGCCGTCAACTAGATTCACTGCTTCAAAGAATGATGATGAACACGTAAGTGCATTTTTGAATCAGGACAGGTGCTGCCCCAGAATTACTACTCATCACTCCAGAAGAAATAAGCAGAAACGAAAGACAAAGAGGCAGTAGGTAGGTGCCCACAGTACTGGGCGATGAGGAAACCCAGCAAAAACATCGGTAACTGCAAAACTAAACAGACAAGAAAAGCCCGGGATAGCAAACTATACAGCATAGCCAACCACATCGACCTACATCGAAAACAAATAGCTGGCACGACCGCCAATCTAGTGTCTTGTCTTCACTTGGAACAGTCTCAGTCGCGTCTCAACCCCTGGATTCTGAGCCCCCTTATTTGGGGTGGAAATCGGCGACCTTCAATGGTTCGGAGCTATTTGGGGATGCAAAAAAAATCCACTTGCAATATATACCCTCCGGTCAACATACAAAAAACTATGGAAAATCACCATTTTTAAATGGTAATTGAACTATTTCTATGGCCATTTTCAATAGCAAACTATTCGTTTACCAGAGGGTAACCACGAGAGTTTCCCCCTTTCCATCGCCCAGGGGCCGTAGGGACCACGAGCACAAAGGGATTTGAGAATTGTGAAGCCAATACCCAAACAGATGCCGCTGAAGATACCATGGACGAAGGGAAGGAACAAAAGCCTGCAGAAATCCGCAGTTTCTCATGGGTTCAGCCAGCCATCTTAAATAGACTTCAATATATATATTTATATGGGAAAATCAATGGTGATCATCATCATCATCATCATCTTTCTACAGTTCAAAACAACGAAGATTTGAAACCACCAGCCAGTTTTGTAAAGCAACCCGGATGTGCTTTTGAGAAAATACCCAACAAGCATTCTGAGTTTTTAAAGAAGCATTTGAGAATTTGACCAAGCATTTGTATTCGTGATTTGAGCCAAGAAACATTGGGGATTCATGGTGATTTATACAATCACACTCTCGATTCCACAGCTAAAATTGGAGTTTTGATCAGGTTTGTGGGTTCTATAGCTCTCAAAATGCCACAGAAAAACAATTAGCTGCGTAGCTTTCCGAGCCAAGCCGCACGACCCCAAGCAGTGTCACAGTGGCAACGGTCATCCACCCCACCAAGCGAACATACTCCTGGGCCGAGAACACCAGACTTACACCCAAGTCCTACGATCGAAATTTTGACTTTTTTTGAAGGAAAATCTACAGGAGGAGACTCCCATTTAAATCATTTCATAGCAAAAACCATGGTTTCCGGTTAAGATTTTCCGAACCAATCTAATGAACTGACCGAAGTTTCCGCATATGACTGACCTGGTCGGAACACAGGGACACCACTAAGTCATGGGACTTGAGGCCGGTTAAACCTCCATGCTCAGGGGTTTACTGGCATCTGATTAATTTATATTTCAATATATTTCATGTAATTTCCCCTTACTTATCAAACATTGTGATTTTTCACAAATGGTTGTTTAATCTACATTATATGTTCAATACTCTTGCGACATCATCTTAATCGTTCAATAAATAATCAGTTGTGTATGCTCGCCAAACTTGGTTGAAGGGAACATCTGAAGGAAACCTCGATATTTTGGGGTAAAATCCATGGTTTCCTGCTAAAATGTTCCCTTAAACCAACCCTTTGTCCATAGCCCATAGCCTAACCCAACTTACCCCAGGGAAATCCTGGATTGACCTCGCCATCACGCGGCCCAAGGCATCCAAGACAAGGCACAGCGTCTTCGTCCCTTGCTTCATCTTCTGGAGCATCCAGTGCCTCCAGCCGCTCCCAAGAAATTCCTCAGCACTAGCCATTAGGCCAAGACCCTGGCAATCTGGTTTTCACACCGGAGAATTGCTGTTTTTATTTAACGGATGTGTATCGATTTATGTGGATTGATATGGGTTAATGAATGTCAATAATCCCCCAACATTTGGTATGCTGGGATTTCTTCAGGTAAGCCTCACCCAACAAAGCGGATGTTTTCCAGTGCTGGGCGACCAAAAGCTGAGTTGGTTGCTTTTAACAAGGCCAGTGGTTTTTAGGAGTCAAGAATTCCAAAGATGTGTGCATGGAGAATAGGGAGTTAAAGCAACAAGAATATATGGCTTAGATTGAACCAAATTCTGCGAGCCAAAAAGTCGTTGCTTAGAGACTTACAGTACGACATGTTATATACATGTTACAATGTTCGTCCATCAAAACAATTGCCCGCTAGCTTAGCAAAAAAAAAAAAACAAACTTACCCTGGCAAGATCTAAGACTTACCCTGGCAAGATCTAAGTGCAAGGTTGACATAGAATCACCGACATCATCCGCAATTCTACCCGCAGCAAAGGTCAGTTTTCGGTCATTTTTTCAGGGCAGGACAGTTCAACATGAGTCAATTGGCCTCTCCGAAAAGTTGACTCCATCCACAGCAAACACACTGGTTGCAAGGCCACAAGGCTGTGGTGTTTTCAAGGGCCCCAAAGGTACAACTGCCGCCAAAAAGCTGAGATACTTATTCATCTGTAGCTAGATTTTGCACCCCCACATTTATCCCATTTATCCCCACAAAAAAAAAGCACCAAAACAGCGATCATTAGTATAATTAACGACCCCAAAAATAAAGAGCAGTATAAAAACCATGTAATTGCCCATAGAACAGTTGGAAAATCAGTATCATCTACAATCTCCAGAACTTCTCCATCTTTTAAAAAGGGCTGCCCTTTTAAAGGATGTCTTGTCGCTTGACCGAGCTTCGATAACCAAACAAATTGAAGGTCCTAAAGCTCCAATGGAAATTGAAGGAGGATGTCAATGACGCCCTGATATTTAAAGTCTGTCATCACTGGAAAAGAGTTCTATATATATATATATAAATACACACAGTACATGATAAGACACGCGCATGTATAGCTTCTGGATTCCAATGTCTCACGCATCCCCCCAAACACTGCTTGATATATTCTGAGAATATTCATCCTATCAACTGCCATGTATTCTGAAGTTGTTGTGCGGCCGTCACAGAACACGTGAAAATCAACAAGACCACAGCACTATAGGTACGAAATGTACCACATTTCGACCAAGGGATGCAAGGGGTCCCAGAAAATATCAACATGCCATTGTCATCCATTGTCCTAGCCGATATGTCCCACCATGGTCCGGTCGCCCTGATCGTCCTTTGGCAAATCCGGCTGTTGTAGACGGTTGGCAGCACCTCATCTTTCAACCTCCGGGCAAGCGACCGACCGTTGACACTCCACCTCAAGGGACTAAGCCTGACAGGAGGGTTGCCTCATCTCCATGCAAAAAACAAGTTACACAATATACAGATACAGTAAATCCATGTAAATTCACTGAAACAAAGAGTTTCGCTACGCCTTCAAGCATTCCAATCAACACCATGAAACTTTGGGTAGGAACATCTCGAGATCGAGTCGCCACATCCCTGGTAGAGGCCTCCGGACAGCCATCTCCAAGTACTGCGCCATGTAGCGCCGTTCCACGCACTGCGACTTCTTGGATTCGAATTTCCAGGGCCAACGCGGACAGAGCAGGACCTGCAGGAGCGGAGCCGGGAGAACGGCACCACATCTGTAGGGCATGACCTGGCACATCCTGCATGGGTCATTAAATGTCCCCATTAAACATCACCCAACCATTAGGTATATGGTCTATAATGGCTACTATAAGGTGATGTCCAATATTCCCAAAATGGGACAGTTACCAACCCCTGTCCTGGGACGAATGTTCCATTGATTGGTTTCTGTTCACTCTAACGACGACCTCGGTGCAGAGGCGTGCCCGCCAACGCCAGAAGTGGAGCCATGATTCTTTGATGGCCGCCTCATACTCCATAGTAAAAACCTCAGGGTGTTAGAAATTTCTTGGACATGGTCCATATCTGACTACTTTCCTGGCTCATGTCTGGAAATTCAGAATTGGGAATGAGTGACTAGGGATGAGTTAGGAATGAAGACCTGAATTCAGGTAAGAACATCACTCATTTCTCTGGCTGAGCCTCCAGGCCAATGGCAAAGTCCCAGGGGAAATGTCCCCAAAAAATGAGTCATACACTTTGTAGCTGGTTTATGACCCCATCTACATATAACTATATATATATATATATATGTATATTATATGTGTGTAGTATGTTGTAATCAGCAGCAATCCATAGGAATCCTACGACGCCTTGATTTTTTTTTACCAACCCAAGTCCGAGCAGTCCGAGTCGAGCAGCAGCAATGGATACGTTCAGCAAACAAATGGTCACGATGAATGTGGACAACAACGTGAGATAGGTATCCAGGTTGTTCCTGAAGCGACTACTGAGTTACTGCATCGATGTGCAGCAGAAAAAAGATAGAAAAACATATACTGGTTGGTGGTTTGAACCCCTCTGAAAAATACAGTATTAGTCAGTTGGGATGATTATTCCCAATAGATGGAAAAAAATGTACCAAACCACCAACCAGGTATAGCCTCTTGTACCTCCATAGCAATGTGGCTATGTTGGTTAGCCTGGTTAGCATCATACCCAAAGTCGCGTGCATGGAACTCCATGCCTCTTTACGAGTTGGAAAGCACACAATTTCCAAAACTATCCAAAACATCTATTTTGGGAGTTCCTGGCTGGTTTTCAGGTGTGTATTTTCTCGTTTGTACCTGAGTTTTCTACTAGGGACATTGAACATTGCGTTTTTGTCCCTGGTATGGATTAAAAGCCAACTATACCATATTTGGGGGATATGGACATTCTAATCCCATTAAATCCCACTAAATCACTACTGTCTGGAAAAATCCACCTATAACCCCATAATCCCGGTGAAAACTCTATTGAATCCCACATGTCGCAAAGTTGCCCATTTACACTCCAGTAAGCTAGCATAGAAAATCGGAAAACCCACCATATATGTACTTAGATGGGCCATGGGATTGGTGAACTAGTCAAAAACTAAATTACATGCGTGGGTTTCTTATGGTCTAAGCCAAACAACTAACCAGTTCTGGTAATGACTAACAGTTCGCTATTGAACATTGCCATTGACTTCGTGGATTTACCCATTAAAATCATTAAACATGGTGACTTTCCATCGTTTTTTGGTACATTTACCAGACATTGTCCTCATCCCATGGCCGATCCGATGATTTCCGAGGATCGGCTGGAGCTCTCCATGCCTGGAGCCGCCCTCCATGACATCGAGGCCTTCGCCTATGCTGAGAGATTGCACCTGTGGTCACTACAAAAGGAGGATCATCCAATCCCACTTAGTGATACTTAGTGCATAATAACCCTGGTTAATTCCTGGTTAGTAAGTCCCCAAATTGGGTTACCCTCTGGTAAACATACAAAAAAACTCATAAAAAGTCACCATGTTTAATGGGGAAATCAACTATATATAGAGGTTGGTTTATGATATTCATGTGTGTGACATAATGCCATAAACCACCCATGACTGGGAATGGTAAACATACCACCTATTGCTTTGTGGTTATGACTGATGACAGGGGGAATTCTGATAATGATTACCCAAAATGATGAGAATGATTCTGGGTCAACATTCCAAGATTTTGGGTAATCAAGATCATAAGATTCTAAGATCTTTGCCTAAACATTTTTGTTTTTGAGAATGATGATGGCTACCCACATCAACCAAATTATCATTAAATTATGATCTAATGGATTATGGTGTCCCAAATCAGCTTTAAATAATTTCAATTAGTTCAGATGTTTCACATTACAGTATCTGAAAGTATGATGTATCATGATGTATCATCATCTAAAAAAGCAACTAATAGTTAAAAATAATATATTGATGGATGGATCGATCGATCGATTGATCGATAGATAAAAACACAAATGTCTATTCTATAATGTGCATCTTGGAAGGTATGTAGGTCACAATTTGTCAAAATGGCAGCACAACTTTTCAAGTAAGCAAAAAATGGTCAAAATGTCAGCATTGTTTCAATATATCCAGGTAAGAACATCACCAAACAAAACAACAAATATAAACACTATCCCATATATTTATTAAGTATTATGTACAATACAAAAAATTGCCTGCGGAAAACGAAAATAACTTCATATTAATTATACATATATGTGCGTTTTTTGTTGATGTCTGGTGATAATGGCCGTTGGATGGAGGTACTGTATATCATCAAGAAAGCTGACCCCCCACAAGGTGGTGCCCCCCAGTTGCTAACTCCAGAGAGGAGCGCTGTGAGCTTTAATTTGTGTTGTAATTAGCATGGGTCCAACTTGAGTTTAATGTGTTATGTGGTTGTTGGTCAAAATTCCTTTATCCCGGAACGGCCATTCTTCGCGAATAAAAATGTTACTTTCGCGAAACTTTCGCGAACTCCATGTTTATCTGTCGCGGGGCCCATGTTGGCCAACAACACCTCTTATGAAGATTCGTTCACCACCTGCCAAATTACGCCAGAGAATCACGGATCACTTCTTGGTAGCCTTTTAAACATGCAGCTAGCATCACGGAATCCCTTCTCAGGACAGTTTTTTTTTGCAAAGTTTACTGGCCCACCCCCTTCAACATGCACTTTGACTTTCGCCCGCTCTTTCGCATAACTTTCGCGAAAATATCCCTATTCACAGACCCCGGCCATCAGCAGGGGGTGCACTGAAGGAAAAGCGAAGACCAGGGGCCTTGGTGTTTGGCTCTCGCAAAGCCTCACTTTTGGAAACTTGGCTACTGCTACTCGCATTCTCTGGTGCCCTTCTCCTGCTGGACCCCGGGCGGCAGCGGGTGGTAGCCCTTTACATATAATGATAATAATACCCAACTTTCGCGAAACTTTCGCGAAATAAAATTTTACTTTCGCGAACTCGAAAAAAAACTTTCGCGAGGGTTTCCAACATAACATGCACGGCTTTCGCAATTAAAACTCCTTACAAGGACCTTTAGATCGATCACCATGTATATATAATCATGTATATATATATATATACACTATCATATGTTGCCATTCCGAACTGGGGCACCACCAACAACCTTGCAAATATCGAAGTCATACCAAGGTGCCATCGGCCAAAAAAAGGCCCCGATAGACCTGCCAGGCATGATCCATGCAGCAACCATACCATCCACGATGCATGGTGGTCCATGTTTACATATCTGGCTATTTAATGCTATCTATATACATACATTCATATGAGTATAATACTATACATATATACATTAAAATATATCTGCTGGGCCTGATGGGTACAAAGAGCTGCCCATGCTTGGATCTTTATACGCCCGCACAAACATGTCGCCGGGAAGATTATATGAAGTTTCCTAAACCTGAAATAAGTATAAATAAGTACAGTAGTTTGTTGCAATGCTTCCCATTTCAACCCATAATCTTCCGTTTCATGAGAAAGCTGAGTAAATGAAGTGTGGAAATTATAAGGACAAACCATGGTGGGACCCTTATTCCCATAATTTCCCATACTTCTCCCAAACTGATCCTATAAGAATCCCCAATGGTATGAGAACCTTATGGGGTCTATGTAAATTCGATGGAAATAAACTTTTAAAACGACAAATGTCCCTGCCTTGTGGCTAGGATTCGGCGGTGGGAGCATCCCTGTTGAATATCCTCATGTTTCTTTTACACCAGTGATGTCCTTCATTGGTTGTTCCATCCCGCCACTATCACCATTGAATCCCTATCAAATCCTCATAAGTAACCATTTTTGTTGCTTAAATCACCATGTTTGATGCTTCTTCCCCTGAAAATCACCGGTGACAACTCCCTCAAAACCACGGGGTGGCCTTCTCGATGAGCGCTCGGAGCGGCAGGCGCGAACCCATCACCAAATAGGCTGAGGTAAAGCTGGCGAAGACCAAGAACAACACCTGGGCTGGCGATGGCCTGGCGTTAACCTTGGTGACCTTTGGTGACTGGACAGGCTAGCCACGTTGTCTACACTGGCCTGGGTCACCCTGAGTTGTATAAGCCAGGAATGTACCCTCTGGGTATTTAACATAGCCATGGAAAAGCACCATTTATAATAGGTAAATCCACTATAAATGGGCCATTTTCAATGGCTATGTTAAATAACCAGAGGGTATATTGAGATAATTCGAGTTCCCGATCAAAGATATTGAGAAGTTCCTAAGCAAGATGAGCCTTACTTAAACAAGGCCCGTGGCAAATGGAGATGGAAATGGTTGATGAAATGAGGGGACTATACCATTTTATCGCTTGGCATCGTGTGTTTAAAAGAATCAAACACATGTACCATCTCACACAGTATAGTGAAATGTCGTTCAATCAGAAAAACATATCCTTTCTGGAAGAAATAGGTCCGGATTGCATAGCACAGCAGGAAGGCGGCCACTAGAGCGGGCTTGAAGTTTTGCTTCATACCTGGCCGCCAAATGTGCTTTATCTGCGAACTACTCCTTTTCGTTCCTTCCTTGTGACTCTCTGTTCCCTCTTTTCTTTCTGTTTGTTCTTGCTGTTCTTGTTCTTGTTCTTGTTCTTGTTGTTGTTGTTGTTGCTGTTGTTGTTGTTGTTGTTGCTGTTCTTGTTGTTGTTGTTGTTGTTGTTGTTGCTGTTGTTGTTGCTGTTCTTGTTCTTGTTGTTGTTGTTGTTGCTGTTGTTGTTGTTGTTGTCGTTGCTGTTGCTGTTGCTGTTTGTGTTGTTGTTGTTGTTGTTGTTGTTGTTGTTGTTGTTGTTGCCGTCGTCGTCGTCGTCGTCGTTGTTGTTGTTGTTCTTGTTGTTGTTCGTGTTCTTGTTCTTGTTGTTGTTGCTGCCGTCGTCGTCGTCGTCGTCGTCGTTGTTGTTGTTCTTGTTGTTGTTCTTGTTCTTGTTCTTGTTGTTGTTGTTGTTGCTGTTGTTGTTGTTGTTGCTGTTGCTGTTTGTGTTGTTGTTGTTGTTGTTGCTGTTGCTGTTGCTGTTGCTGTTGTTGTTGTTGTGTTCTGTTGTCTTGCTGTTATTTCTATACTTATTGCCTTTCTGAATACCTTTTATGATTTGTGGGTGGCCAGTCACCAAGAAGACATATAAAGTTCTTGATGTTAAGAAAGAAGCTGGTGTTGAAGCCACCGCCAAAGAAAAAGAAGCTCGCGCTTTTCAAGTCCTAGTGCCTTCTGTTTCCTTTCTGTGAAGCTCCTTGGCACAGGCAAGGAAAGGAAAGGCAAGGACAGGAAAGCAAAGGAGCCAATACCAGAAAAAACGGTCAAGCTGGGAAATGGGTCCAGGGCAGCTGGGTATAACTACCCTCATTTTCCCAAACTTGGAACGTTGGGTTTTCAGCCAAGCAGTTGAGAGGGAAACCTATGCCTTGGCAAATCCATCTGGCAACCATGCAGATTCCGCCTGCACACCCACATTGCCCATCGTGGCATGAATGAGACATACCCAAAAACACCCCGGGATCCCATCACATGGTACTGGTAGGTATCCCAAAACTCCCCACCATCCCGTTGTAGTGGTTGGTTTTTCAATAGCCCTATTTTTTATGGCTTGGAAAATGCCAAAACCCAAGAGCTGACCCCAACCCTCCCATGGAGCAAGGTGCGGTGAAGATGACCCCCAGCCGCAAGAAGGAGTGCAAGATGGCCAGCAGGTGGCGACCAAACTCCAAGCGCGGAGAGGCACCTCAGGAAGGTCCCATACCTCTGGATATTTCACATAAGGAAAATTGCCCATTGATGATTTATGGGGATTGACCTATTCAAAATGGTGATGTTTCATAGTCATAGCCAAATGTGAGTTCTCTTTTTCAAAACGGTATATCTAACATATCTGATCTAGATTTCTGGTGGATTTTTTGTCATATCTATTGTCTTTTGTCTGGAGGGCAGAGCCATTGCCAATCTTGGATGCACTGCAAACAAGTTAAACATCATTAAATATACCAATCTTTACAGCAAACGGTTCAAGTATATGAGAGTACCAACCGGTTGACCCAGTTACCCCCCTCCCGCTGAAAATCCATGAGCTCTGGAGGGCCCCGCCTTTGGCTAAAAAGATGAAGAGAAAGCACTGCAAAAGAAGGTTGGCCCCAAGAAGACTCCTGCGGTGCCACCAGCCGAAGTGTCCACGGATGTTCCCTGAATTCTTGGAGTCCCTAGGGATTCTTTGCAAACAAGAATGGGAAACGACCGTATTTCCAACATCAACAATAAGTATCAATAAGTCGATTTCGGGATGATTCCCCTAACTTTCAGTGGATATTCCCTAATTTTGGGGGATGATGTTCCTTCCGTAATAATATGCCAAGAATTAACTGTCATTTTCAGTGGATTGGCAAACGGAACAAATCCCCAAAGGTTTCCAGATTGTCCCTTCAAGAAATTGATTTTCTGTATATAGGTTTTCCCCCTACATATGTGATCATATGTGCATATATAAATTATAAATATACGTGCGTATGTATTACATATATATATATGTATGATGTGTGTATGTGTGTGTGGCACATTTCTGGTGAGGTTGCCCAGAAAGGGTCGCGTCAAATGGCCATTTTTTTTCGCCCAGCGCCCGTCACTGGAGCACCTGTAACCGGGGGCAAGCATCGGCGGCAACGAAGGAAATGGCTACGTGGAGGACCCCACTCAATCAGTGATTAATGACCATAGGACCATAGTTACTGGTTGGTGGCTTCAACCCCTCTGAAAAAGATTATATAGTCAAATGGGACTACTGACTGTATATGGTTCCCAATATATGGAAAAAATAAAATGTAATTAAAATGTTCCAAACCACCAACCAGTAATATGTTATAACCAGTCTAAAATTGAGATAACGCACATAGGCACATAGGATCATAGGGAACTTACTAACTACCTCCGACCAGGTTCGATTTGTGGGATGATCCTCCAAGTACTCTCTGGTGACTTGTTACAATTTGCTATGGCGGCCATGACCCATTTACTTCAATCATTTACACATACCTATTCAACATGGTGATGACTCATGGCGCCCCGCTGATTTTTTCAATCCGGTGACTGAAACCGCCCTTGGTTCTTCCGCCAGGACCACGCCTTTGGCTTCTCCCATGGTTTCTCTTTGGCCTTCATTGAGGCATTCAACTGCAGCTCTTTCTGCAAGGCTTGTGGCCGGAAATCGAAATGCCGCAGCAGCCTTAGGTAGCGATGTTCGCCATGGAATGGAAAGCTGGGTGCTTTCCAACTAGGAATCCTGATGAGGGGGAAGATTTCAAGGGATTCCATTTTTTTCCGTGGAAGAGTAGACGAAAGTTTGAATTGATGGCTGACTGGCCACCAAGTGTGTCAGTCAGGGGTCTGGCAGTCTTCCAGCCATACGTGACAGCCGGAAGTGGAAAACGAAGAAGTTGGCAGGGGCGAAACCGCCATCCTGAATCTATTCTGTGCTGCTTTAATGATCAATCCGTGTGTTTGAATCCTATACGAAGTATTTCCGCTGCCTTGAAACGACCTCTAGTTGATTGAAATCTTTGAAATACGTTGATTGACACCATGGGGTGCCTGGGAGTTGCTTCGGGCTGCAGTCAATAACTAGTCATATTGCCATAACCCAATACATTTGCAAGTACGCAGTATGCAAATGTATGCAATTATACTGTGTATATATAATTATGTCTATTATAACATATATATGTGTATATATATATGTATTTGTATAACATACAAAGACCCGAAATCACCTTATTTCAATCCATTTGCCAGGAAACCCGATTGCACTCCATTGAATTGATTAATATAAGAGTAACTTGAATTTAACCATCATGCAGCTGTACAATCACAATCCCAATCAGACCTCTTCTGCACCATGATTGATATAATGTTCAGTGGGATGTGAACTTTTTAAATAAAACATTCCCTCGTGAGGATGGCTTAAAGACCCAATTTCGCCAGGTCCATTCCTGGTATCCTCCGCTTGGATGATCATGGAATTTCATCATTGGCAACCGGCTTTGAACCACTGAGGGGACACTGCGAGTGTTACTAACAAACAATCCTGACTTCACTTCAAGCAGTGATCATCCCTGTATATATATATATATTTATACATTATTATATAATATATATATATATACTATATATATATATATATGTACACATACAATAAATGCCATAAATATAAACGCACACCACATATGTATATATATATAAATAACCACATATATATAATTATAATTAAATAAATATAAGCATATGTGTATATATATATATATACATACATATGGATATGTTCATAAATGTGTATATGTAATGTGTATGTGAAGAGTCCGAAAGAGAGCGCGAGAGAGAGAGAGAGAGAGAGAAAGAGAGAGAGACCCTAAAATCACCGATGGAAACCATCCAATCGTCACACCTCTGCTGTGTCGGGTGACAACTCCTCCAGCTCTGCGTCGCTCCTTGCGCTGCCGTAGCTGTCAACCTGGATCTGGGCTTCTCCGGCGACGTAGCGCAGCTGCACGCGACCTCAATCCCTTCATGGCCCAGGCCGGCCCTGGGAAGGCCCACCCTGGGAAGGCCCATGAGTTTTTGATGGTTTTTGCGAAGAAATTACCATGATATTTGGGAAGGGAAATCAACTGAGGGATAGATATGGATTGGAACTTTCATGGGTCATTCACCCTCTGCTTATTTAACATGGAAAATTGCCCCTTTCTAGATGATTCATGATTGACCTGTAAAAATGGTGATTGTCCATAGCTTAACTGTACTTACCATAGGGTACACATATCTGGGACCATTATGGACCAGTAACCATGATAATCATAAGGGGGGCGTTTAGTATGAACGGGGGATGGACATGAGTAATCATCTACAAGTGGCGAATTTGTGTCGTTCATCGCGTTTATTGGAAAAAAGTGGATCATTTTATAGTTGGACAGTACAAAATGACCAGCCTGCTACAACAACGTGTTTTGTATTTCCCTTTTCTTCGGCTTAAGGCCCAATTAATGATTATATATTGCAAATCCACTAGGGCTTTGGCCAAATTGTTTGTTATATCTGGGGTACACTCCCCAAATCAAGCATGGAACCTAGAAAATAGAGTCCGAACCATTCTTTTGCTGCTGTATATTGTATACAGCCATTATTACAAGGTGATGCCCCAGTGCTATGGCTGGCCAAGCGGTGGCTTCCAACTAAGTTCATGGTGGCAAAAACAACCACAGTTTCATAATGGCTTCATAGATCAACCATGATCAACTAAAAAAACTGGGCACCAATTTTAAATTTTTTTTCAACGTCCTTTTCCCACTGGTTGATTCCCAGCCTTCTCCAAGATATTGTTGGCGGAAAGAAACTTAAGTGTTGGATGGTAACCATGTTTTTTGTCAACAAAAACACGGTTTGGGAGTTTGGGGGTCTCTACTCTGAATCGGAAAGAATGCCGGTGTTGCTTGCAAGAATTGGGAATCAACCAATGGAAACGACAATTTAGAATGGTTTCAAGACGTGAAAAATAACTAGACAAATGATGAACATAATCAACGTGTGATAAAACGACTAACTTTGTCATGGTTAGACCAGTCACTTTGATGATAAAATACATATAGAAACAACTTCTGTTTAGAATCACAAATTTGGTTATAGTAAAACTAGAATGCTGTGGTTTAAATGATTAATTACGATCAAAATCTACTTCAGTATACTTAAGTTGTTATGTTTAGAAATAGTTTCAAACCAAAATCCACTTTTTCCTGGTGATTTTCCTAAAATTTCATGGTAAAGAACCACTATTTTTCGAGGCGAAAATAGCAACGTCCGCTGTCTCGCCACATCTTCTGCAGAACTTCCCCGCCACCAGGCTCTTCGCTGCCCATGCGGCCGCCAGCCCACCACAACGCGAAAGGCTGCCGCCGTCGCGGCCGCTGAAGGCGCAACCAGGGGCCTCGGTTGCCATCTCTCAACATGAATATATTACTGTTAGTCTATCATATATTACTGTTAGTCTATCATAATTTAACATAGCTGCATAGCTATTGAACATGGCCCATTTATAGTGGATTTACCCATTGAACATGGTGATTTTCCATAGTTATGTTAGTTTACCAGAGGGTACTATCCATATATATGGTTAAGTATATCACTATAGACTATAGTATATCACTGATATATATCCACGATATAATGGAATATCCATATGATATATACTGTTATATACTGGTTGGTGGTTTCAACCCCTCTGAAAAATATGAAAGTCAGTTGGGATGATGACATTCCCAATATATGAAAACATAATCCAAATGTTCCAGACCACCAACCAGATTAAGTTGTCATAAATCTATTGGAATTTGATTGGATAGCTAGAATCCAAATAGCATTGCAGCAGTATTGGATTAGTAACCCTGTCGATCAGAAATCCTATTTATCACTGAATTTTAAAATTTAGAACCTCACTACACTGGTCATGCACCAGTTCGTTAGAACTGCCGGGCACCACATGGACGGCGGTTTGAACAACAAGAAAGAGCTTGTTAACCAAGAAAAGTTGTTTTTGGTTTTAGCTATCAAAGTTCGGGCTTAACATAGCCACTAGCCATTCCGTAATGAATTGGTATGTTAATCTTGGGGGCCCAATTCATGAATAGATCCAATACTAAACCAGTGTTTCGATGGGGTGGTATTTAGTATCATTATAAATGGTGGAAATGATTAGTTTCCAAGGCTAGACACTGTTAACATCTGCCATAGCTGTGGATAATCCGCTTAATTACAGGACTTCTTATATAAGTATATATTGTATTACAGTAACTATATGTTGTATATAACTATATAATTATATAGCTTGTCAAGCAGGAAGGCCTTCAGCTCGAACTACCAACCAGTCACTAAGTGTGATAATCCTCAAAGCCAAGGGATTTCCAGCGCCAAAAACGTTATAAGTTGGTTTATCATGTCTATCCAACTGTAGATGTGTCCTTTTTGAAACCCCAAGTTAACCATCGGTTGTCCAGATATAAATAAACCTCGATGTTTCTTGGCGATCTCATCCCTTTCGCGCCCAGGTGCCCAGCCACCATAGCTCTCCAGGTGTCTCCGTCCAGAGGCGCCCGAGGCACTTGCGCCGGCACGCCAAGCGCTGCGGGGGGTGAAGGCGACGCTCTCCGGAAGGCTGGGGAGCACCACTTTCCTTGGAGAAAACTTATGGAGAAATGGAGCTTAGCAGCTAAGTTGGGCGAAGAAATGGTTTATACTGGATGAATTCAACTCATTTAGATCCACTTAGGAGCTGGTGAGTTGGAATGTGGTGCCCTAGGTATACTTATCGGTTTATAAATTAATTAACTCGTGTATTTACCATACACCATGGTTGAATTACACTTAGCTAAATATGGTTTCATATGATATATGGTAATTAACTCTGGGGCACCAAGTTGCAAAAGCGATAATTCAGCTAATTAGGGGACAGGGGGTTTGTGATCACCAGCTTTACTAACAACTAACTGTCTGGGATGATTTTTCAAGTAGGACAGGTGATGTGACGGCTGTCCCATTGTTGAACAGCATCCAAACTATGAGGGGAAAATCCCGACCAGTCAATACCACCATCGAGTCTTGAGATGAGTTTTAATCTCTTGAAATGGGACATTGATCTGAACTCAGTGTGTAAGTCAAAAGATTGGGATTATTTTTGGCACTGCACAACCCATCAAAGGCCATCAGCAATCCAGCAAGATACTTTGGAATTGCATGTTTCAAACTCCATGTCATTTTTGTTGACGGGATATGCACTAAAGATTGCTGCTACCATTGTTTTCATGGGGGCATTCAGTACAAAGTCAAAAATTCCCCTCAGGCTCTCTCTGGCTGTTTAACCTTTGGAAAATATGGCCCATGGAAATAGATGATAAACATACTGTATGCATCTGTATGCTGATATACCAAAAACCTATTCCAACATGGTCTCGTTTTTTTCATGGTTTTTTCCATATGGGGGGTTCCATAAATGGGGCTACCTCCATTTATGGATGGTTTATTTCATGGAAAGTCCCAATCTCAAATGGATGATAACTCGGGCTACCCTCTGGTAATTTAACATAACTATGGAAAATCACCATTTTCAATGGGAAAATCCACTTATAAATGGTCATTTTCAACAGCTATGTTAGTTTACCAGAGGGTAACTAGGGCTACCGCCATTGATGGAAACCCCATGGATCCCCCTGCGTAAAAATCGAGGCTCACCACCTTCTCCAGCAAGTCCTGGGGCCATGGACAGAAGGCTTTCCCTATGCCTATCCTGTTGGCTTTTGACATACCATCTGGTTATTTAACATAGCCATGGAAAATGGCCGATTTATAGATGGTTTACCTATTGAAAATGGTGATTTTCCATAGCTATGTTAAATTACCAGAGGGTATATTTTTTTTAAGTTTTCGCCAGGGTAGATGTCAAGATTTCCGTCCAAAGACAAGGCTATTTGTTTTTTTCTCTCTCTCACTCTCTCGAATTAGTTTTATCCAATTCATCTCAAAATGAAGCAGGGTTTTCAAAAAAATGGGAAACATGATCACACAGACCTTTGAACATACCTTGAGGACATCAACTTCCAGGGCATCAGGGTGGGATCCCTACCATTAAAATATCAAACATTAATGTGGCAAACACACAATATATCGTCGATTCAATCATCAATCGACATTTTTTGGGCTTGCTGCATGTCTCTTTTTGTGAACGTGAAGTATGGATGTCTCATATATATATATAGAGATATAGATATAGTTCCTTGCCAGCGTTTCTTTGGTACACCCACCAAAAAAAACAACATGGAACCTACAAAAAATGGGCCTGGAAGATGATCTTCCTATTGCATCTAAGTAATCTTTGGGAGTAGACCCTCGAAGCACACGATTTGTTAAAAGTCCCAAGTCACAATGGGCACATGACCCCAATCTTCCAGGTACTCTCTGGTAATTTAACAAAACTATTGAAAATACTTCATTTGTAGTTGATTTACCAAATTTAAAGATTAAAGATGGTGATTTTCCAGTTCGCTTTTTTGTACGTTTACCAGAGGGTACTTGGACGGCATGGGTATCCAGCACGGCTCCTGTTCCGCCTCAGAAGGTTTCACATCTGCAGCGTGGCCGTAGACGATGGCAATGGAACTCACACCTGGCGAGTTGGGAACGGCTACCTCAGATCATCCCACTGCACGGGTTAGCAACTGGTGTTTTTTAGCCATTTATAATAAATGGGATACCCTCTGGTAAACTAACAGTTTGCTATTGAAATTTGCCATTGAGTTAATTTAGTCCGTTGATTTACCCACTAAAATGGTGATTTTCCATAGTTTTTTGTATGTTTACCAGAAGGTAACCCACTTAGGGGACTTACTAACCAGGGTTATTATCCACTAAGTGGGATTGGATGATCCTCCAAGTAGTGACCACAGGTTTCATCATAGTAAGGTTAACGGTTAACAAAGCGAAGGAGCGAAGGTGGCAAACCCAATGATAAACTATCCTCATAATCACCATTGATGGGTTGTAACCATCATCCCCAAAGGGTCGGTGAATATTCGTGGCTTTGCCATAAATGTGAACGTGGGATTAATTCATTCCCGGTAAACCAAGTTCCGGTACCTGTTCCAAATCCATCTATTGCAATGGTTTACACGGTAACGGAGATAAATAGTCAGTAAACCCTTGAAACTGGGACATCAAAGTTCAAGGAATGGGTATCGAATGGTTCTGTCAAGAATTTGTGTTACGCTTCGATCGGAAAAAAAAGGTATCTGATCAACTAAAAAATTGCATACACACCCAGCTGGTGGAATCTCAAAATGAGACAAAAAAAAAACTGGAACCAAGAGAATCTGCAGTAAAACCCCCATGCATTCCACTTTGACAGTGTTCAATCACAAATCAGGTCTAAGGCCAGTTTCCGCAAAAAAAAAGTTTCCCCTATACCAAACATAAACCGACCATAGCTGGTAAACGAAAGGATATACCCACATATGATTCATATGTGTGTGTTTGCATCTAGCTAGCTAGCTAGCTAGTTTTCTATCTATCTACATCTATATCTGCATATCTAATATATCTCTATATTTATATACACATATATGCATATCCACACGTCTTTATATTTATACGTATCTAAAAATATCTATATATCTATGTATCTGAATATCTATATAAATAACTGTATAAAAATATCTATAAAAGTATTATATCTATAATATATATATATATATTTAAATGTATCTATACATCTATATTTATATATTTATTTCTCTCTATATTTATGTTTATATTTATATATATATATTTATTTATATTTATATCTACTGTATATTTATATCCATCTCTCTATCTATCTATCTATCTATCTGTCTATCTATCTACCTATCTATATCTGTATACCTATATATATATATACATATCTATACCTCTAGTATATATGTCTATATCCCTATTTATTTCTATATCTCTATATATCTATATCTCTACATCTCTACGTCTCTATCTAATCTATCTATTTATCTATCTAGCTAGCTATCTATCTATGCATGATCATACAAATATCTACCTCCTACCCACTCCAGGACAACCGTATCATACCTAAAATCTTGAAAAACCACTGCCCCCATCTACCTGTCTACTCTGACCAAAGGGATTTCCCATGGGTTCGGGTTGCCAGGTTAGATTAATTACGTCCTTTCGTTCCCACCCCACACATTCTCCGCTAAACACCGCCGCTGCCAAGTGACGTACTTCACCGTGACCTGTGCCCGTGCATCGGGACGCAACCACGGCAGGGAGCCATCGAGTCTCAACCTGAGATGTGCCCTTTGGGGGCTGGATGGTTTCTGGGAGCCACCTATAGATCGGTACATATTTTCGCCACTTCGAGTGATGGCCCGGAAAAGCTTGACATATCAATGTCGGGTGTATTACAGTGTATACTGCCACCTTAAATTGACATAAACGCATCTGACCTTGGCTGGCCTTCCAGCTCATCATTCACGGGGTGCAGGGTACTTTTTGGTGATGGCACAAACAGAGAGAAACTCGCGAGGAGAGATGCTAACAAGTGCTCATTTACTTTCAATCGATTGGTTCAAGGGAAAATCCTAAAAAAGTATAAAAAAATATAGTTTATAATTAGGGATTCCCTTTATATGAATGTTTGTTTCCTTTGGTTTGTAACCCCATTGACTGTAGATATGTATACATATATATATATACATATATATATATATACATATATATATATATACATATACTATACATATATATATATACATATATACTATACATATATATAATATATATATATATACATATGGAGGTCCCCCCGTGCTTTGCCATGGCCTTCCGATGGCTTTCACGGAGCCAAGCTTCGCATCCATCCGCGCCGCCAGCTGTTCTGCCAGCTGCTGGGACAAGGGCTGGAGCTGCAGCGTTTCGTCCGTGGCGTAGCCACACAGCACGGCCTGTGAAGTAAAGCGGCGAAGATCAGGGAGGTCAGCGTATGGAGAAGTGGGTTACTATCCAACAGGGCTGATTTTGTTGGATATGATCAGCTCTGGATGGATATTATATCTGATTTCATTTAAGGGTGTGTCTGAAAATATGCTGTCTTACCACCACATGATTATTGGAAATCGGGAAAATGATGATCATCCAATGGATTTAGAGGTACGCTATTTTCAGACAAACCCATGTAACCATTGCAAAACCCATACTTTATGGGGAAATGTTTAATATGAAAGGGAAGGGATGAACCAAAACTTCGTGAAGCAAACAGAGTAAACAAAGGAATTCACCAATGATGTAATTTGGTGGTTTGGTAGTGGCTTGGTACTGGTTTGGTACTGTAGCCGTTTGGTGGTAACACGTAGTAACATAAAATTTTCAGAGTGATTGGGGCGGCTATAAGGTTTTGGATACCTTATTTTTTGGGCGACTGACCAGTTATATGGCAACCCACCTAATAAATTGAATGAAAACAACTCCAGGATGCTGTCATTGATGATCTTTACATCATGATATTTCCTGATGCGCATGATGTGAATTGGGAAAGGAAAACATCATCATGATGATGCAATGAAAACCTCAAACCTTCAGAAAAACAGTGAGTGCCGCTGAAACCCAGTCTGATTCCTGATTCCTGATCTCAAAAAAAATCTCCAAGTCCAATGCTTCATTGTTCACTTCAACTTCAACTCACTAATTGAAGTAATTCTTTGGTTATTTACTACTTAATTCCCCACCTGCCAGGTGAGGGTTGTTAGATTTTATCAGAGCTGTTCTCCTCCTCCTCCGCCTCCGCATCCTCCTCCTCCTCGTCCTCCTCCTCCTCCTCGCAGTCCAGATCCCAGTGGGCACGTCCGACCTCCACCGCGAGCTCCAGATCCCAGTGGGCACTGCCGGACCTCAACCGCGAGCTGCAGATCGCAGTGGGCACTGCCGGACCTCAACCGCGAGCTCCAGATCCCAGTGGGCACTGCCGGACCTCAACCGCGAGCTCCAGATCCCAGTGGGCACTGCCGGACCTCAACCGCGACTTCCAGATCGCAGTGGGCACTGCCGGATCTCAACCGCGACTTCCAGATCGCAGTGGGCACTGCCGGACCTCAACGGGAAGAAAAGATGTCAGATAGAATGTCAGAAGATATGCCAGATAGAATGCCAGAAAGAATGTCAGAAAGAATGTCAAAAGATATGCCAGACAGAATGTCAGAAGATATGCCAGATAGAATGTCAGAAGATATGTCAGATAGAATGTCAGAAGATAGGCCAGATAGAATGCCAGAAAAAATGTCAGAAGATATGCCAGATAAAATGTCAGATAGAATGCCGGAAGATATGCCAGATAGAATGCCAGAAGATTTGCCAGATAGAATGCCAGAAGATATGCCAGAAGATATGCCAGATAGAATGCCAGATAGATATGTCAGATAGAATGCCAGAAGATTTGCCTGTAAGAAAATGTATAGATGTCATGGTGGGGATCATTCGAAGTGAAGTAATTAAGTTTTATGATGTATTTATTCGAAACCGATTTCCAACTCCAAACGTTGTACTTGAACGTGATCTACTGCGGGATCTTCCCAAGTCGGAACTTTGGTCCATGTCCAAAATCACAAAGCTGCTATTTACGTCTTAGTTTCTAACTCGACAATTATATATATACAATATATTTGTATATATATATATATATTTACATTTCCCGTTTAGGATGTCTTTTATAGATGATTGTTTTTGTGCATGTGTTTTCTCTACAGAACATGGGTTTCCAGCTTGGGCTACTATCGCTATAATTACTCGCTGAGACAGTGTTTAGGCCCCAACAACCAACCCTTAAATAAAGTCTCAAATGGTGTCGGGTTTATCTCAACACGGGGTATACCCATATACCCAACAATTCCACTGCTTTATCTGCATACATAGTCCCCCCACAAAAAAATAGAAAGTCCCCCTGCCACTATTTCAATCGGATGTTTTTTTTTCTTTTTGGGGCTGGCCAAACACACCATGTGAAGAACCCCCCGTACTTAGATAGGCTATGGGATTTGTTAAATGGTTAGTAACTATAGGCTGTAAATGCTGTAAGTGATTTTTTTATGTGTTTTTTTGACCCATTACTAACCAGCTTCCCTCCTGCAAACGGGACCCAGCATTTGTAGATCATTTCCCCATGAATTCCATGGGTTTTCCCGTTTTCCCCATGGGTTTTCCGCGTCCCATGGCCCACCATGGCAGGATCCCCCGACACGTGACCTGATCGTCTCCCAAGGACCGCGAGGGATCGGCGCCGCCCAGCAGCGCCCGGTGCCACTCCGCGCTGCGGTCCTCCAGCGCCACGATGATCTCGGCGCAAGTGGCCAGCGATTGGCGCGTGGGAAGATTTAACCACTAATCATAAGATCTATATCTAAACATAATATGATATATATATATATGTATATATATATGCACACAGTATGTATGTATGTGCATATATATGTATGTATGTATGTATGTATGTATGCATGTATGTATGTATGTATGCATGGATGTATGTATGTATGTATATGTGTGTGCTTGTGTGTGGTGCTCAACCACTAGTCACTAGTATGATAATTAACAATATGGATCACCAACATCTTGATGATATTTAACCAGCCAGTAATGACACTTAACAGCGCACCAGCCAGTAATGACACTTAACAGTGCACCAGCCAATAATATCATTCATAATATGGTAAATTACGGTAAATTACTAGATATATGATTTTACATAGGTGATCAATTACTAGCTGTGACATGGGTATCATACCGGCGCGGGTGTGCAATCATATTAGGACAATATGTTAGTCCAACATATCAGGCTGATACATGAAATTGAATCCTATTATGTCCTTCGTAACCACGTGGTTTATTTCACATCATATCATACAATTCGTTTATTTGGGTCTATTTGGTTTGGGTGTATTATACGTAGCCAAGCTGTGGAACATGCCATACAAAACAAGCCAAAACAACCTATAGGACATTTAACGCGTCCTATGACTTGTAGCCAGTAAACAGATATTGAAACAGTACCATTGACAATCAACATCTTTAAATGACATTTAACAAGAAATTATGTTGTTTCACACCAACAAGGTATATAATATTGATTATTGGTATGGGACACATTGAAAGCAACAAACTAAAGTATATATATATTTAATATTTTGTGCGGCTAGGACAACCTGGGACATGCATCTGCATTTTAGAAGATATAAACATGCTTGATCAAATGGAATAGTGTGGTCACGTTGGTATACACCCATAGTTGTTGGTTTGTCCAGGAATAGGGACCACCCAAAAAAAATCAACTTAACTTGATGGAAAACAACTTAACCACCAGTATAAAATGAGTATGCCCAACAAATGCAGTCGATAGACCCAAACTTTGGGCCATTGAAAATTGGAAAAATGACGAACAACCACATTACAAGCCCAAAAGAGCACCATGAGGTGTGATTGTCGGCATCAAAAAAACTCTTGTTAGATTGTGCCATTGTAGTTTGCTAACATCATACCCCAATGCTAACACTTGATTACCCTCTGGTAAACTAACATAGCTATTGGAAATGACCATAGAAATAGTGGATTTTCCCATTGAACATGGTGATTTTCCATAGTAGTTTTTTATACGTTTACCAGAGTTCATGGTGCCATGTTGATCCAGTGCCACACATCCCACTCCGATGTAAAAGCCCCATGTCAACATGGGACGGATGAATACATGGCCCTTTTGCGAACAAGACTGTCCTGGTGAAGGATGAGTGATATATAATAATTATATATTATTAGTGTATATGGTGAAGGATTAGTCTACAGTCTATATTATATATATATATTAGTGATATATTAGTGTATATGGTGGGAAATGGCATTTTCATCCACCTATTGCGAAGACACAGCGGACCATATTCATCACTCACCCAGATTGCCGTCAATACAAAGTTTCCCTTCTGGCACCGTATTTGGAATGGTAACGAATATTCACCCATGCAGACTTGGATCCGTTTCGAGCGATAAACATCGATTTTGGCGCAGTTTCCATGGCATTTTCCATTGCCAGAACTATAAGCACAATTAAGCACAGCCACATGACGAATCTGAGGTACCGACCAAAATGCTGCATTTTGGTACCAGAAAACGTCCCCAGCAGCTTGGATCTTGGATACCCACCATCCCGCCACCCAGCCCCAGGGTGCCCCAGGTGCGGCATGGGAACGTTCACGGTCCTCCAGTCCATTCCCATGTCTTCATGGTCGTAGCCCGCTGCCCTCACCGCTTCGCGCATGATCGACTCGTAAGGCACGGTGGCTTTGCTGACCACTTCACCCAGGAGCATGACATAGCGACAAAAATGGCCTCTGGCCATCCATAGCTATTAAAAAGGACCATGTATAACTTGATTTTGATCCATTTTGAAAAAAAAGTGACTTTCCATAGCTATGTTACTATGTTAGTTTACCAGGTATCACTTGATAATTTTTGATCAAGGGAACGTGAATCCAGGAAAGTGGGGATGGATTTGGCAGCCAAGTCATCAGCTGACAGTTGAATGAGTTGAATGGACACATTGTGGTAAGATGTGATAATTGCATTGCATATGAGCTGATAATTCTAATCTAAACCAGTTGTTTCATCTTTTTCTTGGATCAAATCGGAGGTGGCTGGCTATCCAAGGGGCGAGACCGTAAACCCAACTGCTCATCATGGCACCAGTCTGGGCTGCATCACTTTTATTCTAACCGCATATTATGCTGCAAAATTACACATAGGTATATACATAATATATATATATATACATAAATTCCACATAAATGTGTATATATATATATATATGCATATATACATATATTACCGTCGTCACTGAGTACATAGAATATGGAATTTTCAAAGAACGTTTGTAAAATGGCAGTGTTTTTGAAAATCCCATATTCTATCAATTACAGGATTAAAAAAAAAGTTCTCTATCCGTTATGGGGGTCAAATCTTGAATTATTCATTGCGTTGCCGCACAAATTGTGTCCAATATATATAGGATAATCATCTTCCACGCCGCTCTTGATGAGACAGCTTTGATCAAGTTCATGCTCCATTTCACAGACCTTAAAGACCTTAGGGTTTCTATTCTTCAGTTTACTGCATATCTTTTAAAAAAGGTACGCCCCCATCTTGGATACCCTCCAGTGCTTTTTTCTTCTCGAAGCTGGCTATATATCTCTCTCAAACTCAGTTGGCTTGCCCAGAAAACATCAGTCAAACGTGAACTATTGTTGTAGGTTCCTTACCACTACTTGTTAGATGTTGATAGCTTAAATCCCTACAGTATCATGATTGTTTATACCTCCATCTTAAACTAAAACCCTTTCTAAATATGTTAAAATGTTTCCAGGTGGCTTCCATACCACCACGCCGGGTGGCGATATCCAAGTTAGTTGATAAGTCCACTTTCACTACGGGAACTAGGGGCTTGTCTCAATAATGGAGATGGACAAAAGTGGGGTGTGCTAAGGTAGATGAGTGGGTTGTATCAATAGTTGAAGATGATCAACTAAACTTAAAGAACTCAGAAAACATCACCCACCCGCCCTTTGCGCACCATGCCCAGCTTGGCACAGGCATCCAGCTGCGCCCGAGACTCGACATCCTGCGACAGCAAGGCCTCCAGAACCGCCTCACAGACTCGGTCGCAGAGCCTGGACGGATGCCCAACGGCCCAACGGGGCCCGTCTGACCCTGGGGAATTGGGAACGAAACTGGGAGCTGTGGGGAATGTGGAATTCATGGCTACACAAGTACAGAGTTAGACTCTGTACTTGGATTCTTTGAGGTAATTTTTCGCCAGTATGCCTTGGGACTTTTGTGTGCTTGGAGGGCCTAAGTCTAAGTAATTAGATTTTAGCAATCCCAAAAAATGAAAAAACTGTTACTATGTTAGGAAAATGTTACTTTACTTTCTATCGTTTTGGGGGGTTGCTCTGAATGGTTTGTATCTTCTAAACTTATAAAACATGATCAAATTGCTTGGTAATGTTGAAACCCTCTCATTGACTTTCCCTTTGAACATGGTGATTCCCCCCTGCCAGAGGGTGCCCACATTTGTTTTGCACGTCGAGTGGCCCAAAAAGGGCCACAGGATGGCTTCAAGATGTTACAGTACAACCGTAGTCCCGCTACACAGTGCTACATATGGCCAACCTTGTGGGTCCCTTCACAGAACATGGTCCCTTCTTCAAACATCATATTTCCTCATGAGGAGTTGCCTTGGAACTGATGAGGTGGGGAACGGCTGGAAGTATCCCAGCGGAAGGTAGAAAATCATAGATGAGGGGCAGCTGGAAGACATTGGACATATATCCAGCAGATTCCAGCAGCGCTATGAGCGAAAATGATGCTATAGCCAACCATGATGGGTATGAATCATGGAACCAAAACAGGGACGCGCAGGTGCATCAGAAACAATCAACACAACAAACATGAATTGCACGAAACTATGCCCATGGGGACACCCAAATTCCCCGACTGTGACGCTTGCGTGGCACTTTCAATGGCAAGAAATGGAGGACGAAACTCATCCAAAGTTTCCCCAGTGCTGGCATCCCATGATCAGGCCATATAGCTATATGCAAACTATATCTATATATCTATCTTTAAATAAATAAATAAATATATATATATATATACATAAACTACATCACACACCATTTTTCACATCTGGCTACATCAATGATGCGACTGATCTGAAATGTTGCGCTTCTGCCCTGTTTACCAGACCGCACCCCCGTCAAGACACAAGGTTCTTCGTGACACCGCAATGAAGTCGTGATCAAATTTATCCCAAGTAACATCTGATTAAACCAAACACATATCTAAAAAACAGATATTATAAGTACTGGATGCACCTGGAATGATTGTGTCTTATTATAACATGGCATAGACACATATAGACACAACACACTCCGGAAGCAATCTCCTGCCAAGCAACTTATCCAAGTTTCCTTCCGTGACCACCTCCGATGCAAAGTGAAACCCACTTGCAGCCGCCATGGCTGCAGGCGCCGCCGACGCCGCCGGCGAAAGCTGATAGGGAAAATATCAACGGAAAAAAAAAACATGGCTTTTACATGCTTTTACCCTGCAAATGCAGCCGTTTCCATCCGTTTCCTATATATTGTCCCTTCATCAAATTCGAGGGAAAATAGGAAGGCTGAGAAAAAGCAAGTGAACCTGACACAAAGCAACATTTTGGTTCAGCAGAAGCACCTTGAAAGCATGCCAAGATGTCGCAACTCAATAGTGTTTCAGTGTTTCATCCAAACAATAGCGGGGCATATAGTTGGTTCATGTTGGTTCTATATATTTCCCTGCATGACCCTCCAAAGATACAAATAGTATTTATATATATATATATACATACGAATACCACATTTACAATACATTTATATTGTAATATATATATTAGATATAAATAATATTAAATAATAATGCATACCATTAAAATCAGCAAAAAACAGGGAAACATGGATGTGTTACCCCATTTTTCTAGGTACTTGGAGGGTCTGGCTATAGCTCTTTGAATATCTCTCCATCATCCCGTACGCCCATCCTCTCAAAGGTGCGCTTGTTGTCGCCCAGATCCTCGTCGTTGCGCCAGGTGTGGTCTAAGTCGTAGCCGAAAAAGGTCCTGCCAAATTCGTCCACAAAAACCCCAATGGTTCTGAAGTGGAATTCATGTGGGAAACATTGGGCAACCCTGGCCGCCATAAACCTACCATGACCGGGGATGGTTTGCAATCGCACTCATAAATGATTTATGGCATTGGGCATACCGCATTAGGCATAAATTCTATTAAACCCCACATGAAAAGGCCCAGAAAAACTGAGTCTATGGCTAAACTACACGCTGGCCGCGGTGCGTCCCTCAACCCTTCATTAATAGCTGAGGTCATTATAAGGTACCCCTCTGGTAAACGTTTCCATAACTATGGAAAATCACCATGTTTAATGGCTAAATCAACTATAAATTGCATTTTCTATGGCCATTTTCAATAGCTTTTTGTATGTTTACAAATGGCCTTTTGTATAGATCGATGATTCCAGCAGATCTTTTTGGATCAATCCATGGGGGCCTCCAAAGCAGCCACCACAACAAGTAGAGCTGGAAAAGTCGAAAGCTTGTCCTCGAGATGTGCATCGACTGCTTGACTGAATTGACTGCTGAAAATAGCTATGGGGGACAACAAACTGGTCGTGTTTTTTTTTTGGGTTCTACCCCACACAACATGTCATGATCGAAAGGACTCAATGCGGGACATGCGGGAAGAACTTGTTTTCTTTCGGAGGAAGTGGGTGAGTTGAATTCGGGCCGCGGCCGAGCATCATGGGATGCAGGAAGAACTGTTTCAGCGTCCAATTGTGCGAGAAGTGACCTGCGGCCCAAGAGGATTTGCTGGATTTGCAGCTGAATCACCCATCAGCTACGCAAATTCCCATGTCTGGACTTCCATCCACTTACCCTCTGCTAATTTAAGATCGCTATGGAAAATCACGATTTAATGGGCGGCAAATATGGGCAAATAATCCAACTATACAAATAAATGAATCATGGGTTCATAATGAGCTTGCTAATGTTAATTTTTCCAGAGTCTCTACACGATTTCTTGCTGTCTCTAGAGTATCAGCTGCTAGCTGCTAGCACCTCGCATCCACCAGGCCATAGTGATGCTTTCGTTCACAAAGATGGCAAAAATGACCTCGGCATCTCGGCAAGGTCATCCCATGATGGAAGCTCCAAATCATGGTGGATCAGCACCTTTCAGGTTGGCATTTCCAGGCCTCTAAGATCGGTAAGATCGGTAAGTGATATGAAGTCAGGCTGTGTCTCAGGCTGTGTCCACTCTTGAGATTTTTGGCGCATGAAAAATATGATCTTGCTTTTTCAGCTGCTTGGCTGTTTTTTTTGCCCCATGTATGGCACAAAGAGAAAGAACATGTAACATCATACTGGTAAGTGCCTACAATTGAATCGCACCGCTGTCCTCAAGTACACAGTACACAGCACACACACAGACACACGCAGATCCGAAAAGGGAGAAGTCCTTTCCCATCCGTTCCCTGATCGTTCAGCCAGCTCATTAATGAGGCCATATCACTTTCACCACCCCCACCAATCCTTGTCCCATCCCCCTAATGCATCCTCTATTCATTTTGGCGTCTCGAGGTTAAGAGGATGGGAACGATCAAACCTTCTCGTTGGTTTACATGGCCAATCTTAGATACCCAACAAGCAATCATGTCTGCATCCGGTTCGTATATGTTAGTACGTACCGCACAAAAAATGAAATATAGTAGGCGCAGATGACACGGGACTTGGCGGCCGATTTAGCCGAGGTTTTTTGGCACATGACATGGGATTTGTGTATCAATTTTGCTATGTTTTTTAATTACACATGGGGCATGCATTTTCCATTTTTGTTGACAGATGACATGGGAATATTTGATCAATTTTGACAAGAATCTTGGGACTTCCAGGAAAACACATCTGCAATTTGTAATTTGTTTTTTCTCCGCGTCGAACGCTGCAACAATCCAAATGCCATCAGTACAGTGTGTGAGTTAGTTGACATGACATGTTTTGCATCTTTTAGAGCCCAAACAATTGCAGAGGTCCTATGTCATGTTATTTTTTTTCGAGGCACTTTACAGATTACACAGGACTTGTGCATTTTTCTGTTTTCTTTCACTTTGCAGATGACATGGGAGTTTGCGCTTTTTGGGTATGTCCGACTACTCCCATGTCATCTGCAGGTACTATACATCTTTATGGCCATATCCAAGGTCCGGAAAAAAGATTGGAAGCCAATACATGTACAGTACCTGTGGGCTAGCAGCCTGCCACCCCAGTTGGTTACCCCATCATACCCCATCTGCCAGCTGGGTAGCTGCCCAAGGCGTCTTTTTTGGCTGCCAGGAGAAGCATCCGAAGGACCAGGACCTAGGAAACTGAGAGATCTCCAGGAGCCAAAAAAAAACCGGGTTCATTCGATTTTTTCCGGAAAAAAAAACAAGATTATGATAGTTACTGTTACTTGCATGTTTTTCAGAATATTTCCAGTTCCCATAGTTCCAATAGTTCCAATAGCCAAGATTTTCAGGGAGGCATCTCATTTTTGGAACCCCAAGGTATGGCTTCATGACTTTCTGTGGGGACCTGCCACCCCAGCGTGCGAGCCCGAGCCACAGAAAGGCAGCAAACAGCACCGTCTCTTGGATCCTGATGTCGGGATGGACACCTATCTGGTGTACTAAGGCACCCATCCCCGGAGTAGGGATGAAGACATGAAGCAAAACCATGGTAGTTACCCTCTGGTAAACTAACATAACTATGGAAAATCACAATTTTTAATGGGAAAACTCACTATACATTGCCATTTTCAATAGCTTTTTGTATGTTTACCATGGTAGTTACCCCCTGGTTTTCCATTGACACTGGCGATGTATGTTTACCACTCAAGGAGCCAGTCACAGATCACATCGACTACTCAGGGAGTCAGTGCCATATACGGCACTATAAATACTTCAAGTCGGTGCATACGGCATAAAAACCGATATTGCACGTATCCATTTGTCAATTGGCAGCCTACTGATCTGTGCAGTCCAAGCTTCAAGGATGCTGTGATGGGCCGAAAGCAGAAATTCTCATAGCCCACCGACAGAATCGCTTGGACCACCTGCAGCTTGCCGAACCTTGGGATACCCTGCATTTTCCATCATTTTCCTTGGGCCAGAATTGTGATTCCTCCAGTAAATGCACCTGATTCAATATCACCCTGATAATCCCCGATCACTTAGAACCCCAACAAAAACCCTGCTGAGAGCACCGGATGCGACATCGATGTTCAAAACTACGATGGGCCCTTCGGATTCGTGAACTGGCTGGTAATTCGCCAGTTATTTTCATGGGTTACCCTCTGGTAAATTAATATAGACCCTGGCAGATAGGGGTTGGAAGATTAGTTTCCATTAAAACTAGGCTATTTTCAGGGTCTACGTTAATTTATCAGAGAGTATAACCCAGTTACTAACCACTTGACTAATCCCATGGCGTAGCTGACTAATCGCTCCATCCCCCTACGAACGTCGTAACCCGCGTCGGCCAGCGTCGGCCACCTTCTCCGCGAAGATTTCGCTCCAGCCCACGTTGGTCAGAGCTTGGAGGATACGAACCTTGGCATCGGTTATGACTAACAGAGCTTTCTCGATACGAACCAATGGTAAACTAAGAGAGCTATGGAAAATTGCCCATTTATAGATCATTTACCTGCTAAAAATATCTAAACATGGTGATTTTCCATAGTTATGTTGGTTTACTGGATGGAACTTCTTTAAATGGTATGAATCCTGCCTAACTTCTTAAGCTTATACTGATACCTCAAATATCCTCACACAATATGGTGGTGTGTGGAACATATCACACCAACATACACAAACCTCAAACACAAAGAGAGAGAGAGAGAGAGAAAAAAAAAGAAAGATAAATCTCTAGATCATCCCTTCTCTGCAATGCTAAATGGGTATGGATCAATACCTATTAATACCATTTTTAGTGGGATGAACATCCATTTACCAGCTATTTTGATGTTCACCAGGGGTACAAGGTTTTGACACACTGCCAAATGCCCTGAAAACTAGACCTTGGTATGCCTTGGTTTTTAGTAGTGGATCTGTTCATTGTTGTCCCATATGAATGGTATTTGATATTGGATGGTGTTGGTTTAGTCTACAAAAAAGAGGTCCTGCACTATATCTTTGGATTTGTGGGCCACCTAAAGTCTGGCAATTTCAAGAAACGGGAAAATGATGACCAATCATGATCAATCAGTCAAATTGGGGGTACCCTACTTTTGCACTTGCTTTCTGAGGGGGCATCAAACAACAAACATCTACAAAACACGTCTTGGTATGTCTCAGGGTTGTTAATGTTGTCATCATATGGCACACTTCAGGTAGTCTGCTCCTCCAAGCTCCCTCTGCTGGAAAAACCGTTTCTGAAAGTCACCAAGGCGCATCCAAGATATTGGCAACCAAAAGCACCTGCAAACTGGCCAGCTAAGTGTAGCTGATCAAACGCTGCAAGGCATTTTTTTGCATCGTTATGGTGCAATAGGGGAAAAACACCTGAACTCAATGGAGGTGTAGTGCGCTGGCAGAATCCTTGAACTTGTAGTCTCTAATCCTAAAATAATGGAGGTGTAGTCCCTAAAACTGGCAAACCCAGAATCCTGGTTCAATGCCACCTTTGGGTTTCTGGTCCCAAAGCAACGAACCATTGACGGCGAACAGTAGCAAAAAGACGGGATCCAAGCATCAAGATGGAAACATCGATAGATCAAATTCTTCCAATATAGTGGGTCCCATGGTACATCCACGCGGTGCTTGTAAGTCTGAGTAAGTGTGGATTGTTTGTACATGTTTAAAGTGTGCACGCCCTATATATTGTATTATTAAATATTGTTATATATCACGATATTGCAGTAGATCACACACACACACACCATGGTCACCATAGTTCTCAGCCCAAATTTCCCCGCAGGTGTCTGACAAGTTCCAGAAAAACCACAGGGTCCGTTCCCCATCCCCGGTTCCCAACCTTGATACAAACATCTCTGTCTCCTGGCACCAGCATCGCCATGGATGTTTAGCAGTGTCTAGTGCCGATCCAAAACCCTGGAGACATGGTTTTCAAGAAAATTTCCTCAAGAACACTCTACTATTAGATACGATTAGTACATTTTATTATTCTGGAATCGTAGATGTATAACGATCATCAACATCAACATCCATCAACATCATTCAACATCCATGGATTATTTCCCCAACTGTCCAGCCTTGCTGATACTTCAGCCTGGTCGCTGCTGAGGAGGATCCCATCCTCAAACAGCTGAGCTGTTGATGTGAGATCCCAACTACCTCCCACCTCATTGCTGGTTTCAACTAGCCCAGTGGCCCAACAGATGCCCAACAGTTCAACAATAGCTTCTGGTTGCTGGTTTCAGCCTACCCCTCTGAAAAAATATGAGTTTGTCAGTTGGGATGATGACATTCAATATACTGTATATGGAAAAATAAAATTCATGTCCCAAACCACCAACCAGGCTTTATAAAGTGACGGAATCTACCAAGTTTTTCATGGGCCTGGGTCAAGTCATGAGACAGTCACGATGCACTTCCAAGAGCACCTCACAGGGCTTCACATTTTTTTGTAGGGCCTGGTAGGGGTCTGATTTTTTTCTCAAAATCCCTGGGTACTTCACCTGCTTCTGAAAAAGGAATCTCCTTTGAGAACCCAAAAATTGATACGTACGAGTATCTACCGAATCTACCTATCCATCCGTCGATCTATCCCAATTGACCCGATCCACCGTTGTTCTTATCCGGCCATCCAAGAAACAAGATCCACCGACTGGGCCCATTTCAATTGTACAAAAATAAGACATAAATAAGTCAGCCAATGAACAAATGCATACATGCATACATATCAAAGTATATACATATCTGAGTATATACATATCTTGTCATAACCATATCTATCTCTGATGTTTTTTTTGCGCACACAAGTATATGACAGCAACCCATCATACACCCTTCAGCACAGGGGCTGATCAGCGAAGGACTTTTCAAAGCCCGCGGGGCCCACTAAGCTGGCCCTGGGAAGTGTTGATTCCCGCGGGGCCCAGGCATTGGGATGCAGGATATATTGAGGATATGACCAACATCAAGCGATCCCAATGGGGAGACAATGGGGGTATCATGGGATGTAAAACCAATATTATATATAATATAATGTATATATATATAATATAATATAATATATACAGTAATATAATATATATATATGATATTGTGTAAAAATGGTCTGCACCCCAATAGGGTTTTTCTGGCTCTTAACCTATTCCTCTTGGGGGAAAAATGATGATGAAACTCTGGACTTCAGGGTAACCAATGTTAAAACAAAATCGTCTGCAGCATGAATGGATGATATAGTGGTAAGTGGGTTTCAGATCTTTCTTGGGCGTTTTATTATATTGTGCAATGTGCACATTCTTTCCGTGCAACAACCATGACTACATGATGCAGTTGTACGAAATAATGACAGGAAAAAAGTTGGTCAAACCAATACATCATGAGTGCACCTTGGATCTGTATCCCAGTTCCGTGGGTAATAACCAATTTTGTTATCATCCAGTGATGGGATATAAAGAATTCAACCCATATTAATTCAGGGTTAATAAAATAGTTATTATTGATATCAACCATATAAATCCTAATATCCAGCAATTGCTGTCATTTTCATTGGTTCTCAACCAATCACTCACACTGATGACCTTTTTCGGGGCGTCCTCGTGCACGATGCTTTGGGTGCCAGCACGCCGTGCCAGGTTTTCTGCTGCCGCAGCCAGCAGGGCCACTCCTGATGGATTACGTCGTCCTTGTCAGTGTCAAAGTGCGAATTCCTCGGCAGGAATTCGGCACTTGAGCACTACTGGAATGGCAACTTGCCTACCCAACCAAAACGGCGGCACAATCATGGAACTATCGTGGGATATATATATATATATATATATATATTGATATTGATATTGATATATATATATATATACATGATGAGATATAATTTGGCATGATAATGATAACCACCAGTTTCATAGGATCATTGGGGTCTAAAGTCAATCATAACTGGGAAGTAATAGTGACCACTTCTTGTGTTTCAAATAACTTGAAAGCATTCCAGTTCCGGACTTCCCCCAATTGAAGCAAAGAAAACATCAGCTTTTCAGGTAGGTCCTGTGCCGCTCGACACTTCCATTGTTGGCATGTCAAATTTGGATAGGATGTAATCCTTCACTACCCACCTTTGGGGTGTTTTATGAGGTTCGATTTCCGCGCCTCCACAACCTTCCCCAAACTGACATAGACCCTGCCAAATTATCCAATAGGGGCTTGGAAGGCAAATCTGTCTGGTAATATCGGGGGGGATGGTGTGACTCACGTCTCCTTTGTGGGATCCCAAACCGGTTCCCCCAGTTTCCCGTTCGACGACCCCAGCGTCCGATCAATGTTGCAGTCTGGTTGGTAGGTGGTCTGCACTGACAAGTTGGGCAAGTCAAAAATGGTCGCCGACCAACCAATTCCTCTGGACCAAGGATCAGCTGCAAAACATGGCTTTAACCATGCCAAATGCAGATGTTACTCCTTAGGGATAAAATGGGTATACCCTCAGGGCATCTGGCAATAGTGAGAAATTACACTTCTAATAACATGCTTGATGGAAAATCATCAAAACATGGTGATTTATTTTCCCATTGCCATTTTTTGAGAAGGGTGACCCGGTTACCCCTACCTTGCTCAAGTGAAAAGGCATCACTTGCCCACATAATGGGTAAAATACGTGCGGTTGCTCCCATTTTTAAACCAGGGTTCTTCAGTTCAGGGTTGGACTTGGCTCGCATCAAAACATACACACAAGTTGGACCAAACAAATAAAACATGTAAACCCTACCAAAATGGTACTAATTGCAGTTCTTTACATGTATAAATATATATATACACATATGCATATATACATGTATACATATATGATCATATATGCATATTTGCATATTTGCATATCTATATCTATATCTATATATAATTATATGTATACTCAATTATACTCATACATACATATACATGATATGTTTGTGACGGAATCATCCACTTGGAAAGTTGATGACCTGGGATGATTCCAACATGCAGAGTCACCTCGAGCAGATGACGAGCAAGCAGGACACGTTTGCGAACAAAAACGATGGCGATCCATGGCTGTTTCGGATTCGGAAATGATCTGCAAAGCTTATCTTTCGCAAAGCAGCTTGCAGGATACAAGTGTGGATTCAGCAATTTTAAAAGAAACTTAAGAAGTCATCTTCAGCAAATCCAGGTTAGCAAAAAATGTTCTGAAGCTCCAAGGATGCTCAGTAGATCTTAGTATACAACTTTGAATTTCCCATGATGGGTTGAGATCATTCGCAATATGTTGGATAGTAAAACCTCATAATTAAAATCATTAAGCAACAGCGGTTCTGAACATTGTAAAATGATGATTGGTTGATTATATATCCCATGAGATTCCAGTACTAAATCCCATTACCCTCCGGTAAACTAACATAGCTATTAAAAATGGCCATAGAAATAGTGGATTTACCGATCAAAAATGGTTATTTTCAATAGCTATGTTAGTTTACCAGAGGGTAAGATCACATTAAATCCCTATGTTTTCCCTACGTTAAATCCCATGGTCCTTGCGCGCGATGTTTGTAGTTCATGTTCGCCCGGTGCGGCAGCGGGTGGACATGAGGATCTTCCGTGTCCTCGCGACGGTGATTAATTCATGAGGTATTTGGCTATATAGAATAAGATAGAATCAGATTTAACATAATGAATTAATATCTGGTTAATATGGCTAATATATATATATATATATCTGATTAATATCTGGTTAATTAATACATCATGAATATATGGCTAATATCAATGCTAATATGGCTGAATATTTGCAGAACAATATGGCTGGTCCCTCAGAGATTCCGCCAAAAACCTCCAGTTAGAATCCTCAAAAAGTCTGGACTCTAGATGTTAATAGTATGTTTTCTTGCTAATTAATATGAATTAACAATGGACATTCATATGGATTAATATGGATGTGGATTTTGTTTAATATGGATGGTAGATTCGTATCTTTCGGTCAACAACACGGCTGGCCGAAAATAAAATGTGGATTTTCCTTCGCCATGATTGAGTACCATTTAGGGTATCGGGGCTAATCATTGCCACATCTCACTGGGTTGCCATATGGGTTAACAATGTTAATATGATACAATAATGAACAATATTGATATAACAATATGATACAATATTAGGGTATTACCATGTATTACCCACCAAAAACCTTACGATGCGTGGAGTGTTTCCTAAGTTTAGCTGCGGTAGTACTGTGTATGATTTAAGGACTTCATCTGAAAGGCCGCACATTGGACGTAAAATGCATTTACGTAGGCAGATTCATTATATAATTACATGAAATGAAATAAACCTATATAAACCATTATAAGATATTATAAGCCATTATTAACTTATGCTAAATCGTTGATAGCTATCATTGTAAACTGATCTACCTACTTGCAGAAAAAGACCTCGGGTTCTTCATGACTTTGGACACTTCTATTGCATGTGCATGTGCATGTATATTGCACTGATGAGAAACTGTGGCTGTGTATAATATATATATATACATATGTGTGTGTGATTATATATGATTATGATCATAGCCATGCTTATGCTCATCGGGTGCACTGTGCGCGTTCCCTACCATCTGTAGCAAGGCAGTTTGTCGCCTCATGTTGCTCATAAGTAGGGGACAGCCCAGGATAACCCAACCACAGTCCTGCCTATGTACTTATGAATATACACACTGCCGCATCATAAGAGCAGCCATCTCTGCAACATGCATCATACCTTTAGGCCTATGACTGATGTGCATGGATTGAATACAGTATATAAAAGTGTCAATCTCAGAAAATCTCTGCCACAGCCGCTCCTAATTAACAATCCTTGCTGATTAATCCATCCAAGACATATCAGCGGAAGTTACCGTGTTGTGTGCTTTTCTTTTCTACAGTATATGTTTTTTCTCTAAGAACATGCCTGGTGCAGTGCTCCTATCATTGAATAGTCCGGTTAAAGTGACATATCTCACATCTCCAACAACTGCATTTTTGTCTTAAAAAGACAACGTGTCAAACAATGTCAAACAAGCCTCATCTTTCCCAGCCAGTTTCTTCTTTAATGCACCACTTCCACATCACCCAGGAGACCCAGCATCTCAGCTTCCATCCAAGCAGCCGGTTCTGTCAGAAGCAGGCCATCCAACATCTTGATGGCAGTGGTGGGCGCGATCTCAATCAGCTCTGCAATACCATCCTTGGCAATGGCGGCCATGGCAAGTGGTAGATCTGGGCGGGATAGCACCAGAAAACCCCAGCTTGGGAAGTAAGAAATGAATGTTCCAACTAGCTGGCTCAAAAAAAGTTAAAAAAAATGAAGACATGCAATCTTCAGCAAAGGGTTCTGAGGACAACGGCTAGAGGGAGCATAGGCTTCATAGAAATTAACATTGGCAAAGCAATACTAAATCATCCCAAGTTTACCATTTCTAATGGTGGTATAAAGCCTCAAAATGTGGGTGGTCAAACATGAAAAGATCGGCCATTGAAAAGTTACAGTACCCACTAAAAAAAACCCATCGCAAGGACGTCAAGAGATGAAGTTGCTATAAAAAAATACCATGATTCCCTGGTGGGATCAAACATGGCAATGGAAAATCACCGATTTATAGATGATGTTCCCAGCTGATTATAGCTTCATAAGGAATTTTCCAGCAGGTTTGATTACCTGAGGCCTGAGGCACATATATCCCATTATATCCCATTATATTCCCTGTATTTTTGCTGGTTGGCTCACCTACAGTTTGGACCAAAATCACCCAGAGATATAATGGAAATCCCAGGGGGAGCCAGTTCCCACGTTGCAGGGGCCCCAGTGCCTAGCATATCCAAATAACTAGACTTCTGGTGGGTTCAAAATTGGAAACAAGTCATACTTCCCATCTAGACCCAAACCCTAGACCCTAAAGCTATATTAAATATGATTGCTATCATATAGTTGTCAAAAACCAACTTGTATCTGATTATAATGACCAACCTTGCACCCCCTCTCACAATAAAAGAACTTTTTGCTAGTTAGTAGATATTGATATTCATATATGGGGGTTGTCCAAAATACCTTTTCCCGGACAGCCCTCAATCGCTCAGCCAATCGCGTAGCAACCGCGGTACCACAGTGAGCAATCGCGGAAGGGTTTGTTCTTCGTTGATCAGATCATTTACATAAAATATAAGTTATGTATTATATAATGAGGATCCATGCGTGAACGCATTCGATTTCAAATTTGGGAACAAAATAAGCTCGCGCGGTCCGGAAACGGTCCGGAAAACTCACAGTAGTACCAGCAGCAGTAGTACTAGTAGTACTAGTAGTACTAGTAGTACTAGTAGTACTAGTAGTACTACTAGTACTAGTCGTAGTCGTAGTCGTAGTCGTAGTCGTAGTAGTCGTAGTAGTAGTAGTAGTAGTCGTAGTCGTAGTCGTAGTCGTAGTCGTAGTAGTAGTAGTAGTAGTAGGAGGGGTAAGAGTAGGAGTAGGAGTAGGAATAGGAGAAGGAGTTCTAGTAGCAGGGCAAGGGAAGAAAGGGAGAGGGAGGGAAAGAGAGAAAGAGAGAGAGAGAGGGAGGGAGGGGGAAACAGATGGTTGCGTTTGACCGGTTTCTGACGGGTTTCTGACTGGTTTCTGACTGGTTTCTGTTTCTGACCCTTCAGCGGAACTCGTGTCAATTGGATTTAAAAGCAAGAGCAGAAATTCCTAGGTGTACTAGTGGTAGTGGTGGTGCAGTAGCAGCGGGTGTGGTGGTAGTACTAAGAGTAGTAGCAAATCTAGTAGTGGGAGTAAGGATCCATGCGTGAACGCATTCGATTTCAAATTTGGAAGCAAAATAAGCTTGCGCGGTCCGGAAACGGTCCGGAAAACTCACAGTAGTACCAGCAGGACTAGCAGTAGCAGTAGCACTAGCAGTAGTGGTAGTGGAAATTGCAATAGGAGTAGGCGTAGGAGTTCTGATGGGAGGGTGAGGGAATAGGCAAGGGAGAGAGAGAGAGAGAGAGATTGCGTTTGGCCGGTTTCTGACGGGTTTCTGACTGGTTTCTGACTGGTTTCTGACTTTTCTGACTCGTTTCTGACCCTTCACACGAGTGCAATTGGATTTAAAAGCAAGAGCAGAAATTCCTAGGTGTACTAGTGGTAGTGGTGGTAGTGGTGGTGCAGGGTGGTGCAGTAGCAGCGGGTGTGGTGGTAGTGCTGGGGGTAGTAGCAAATCTAGTAATGAGAGTAAGGATCCATGCGTGAACGCATTCGATTTCAAATTTGGGAGCAAAATAAGCTTGTGCGGTCCGGAAACGGTCCGGAAAACTCACAGTGCACTAGCAGTAGCAGTAGCACTAGCAGTAGTGGTAGTGGAAATTGGAATAGGAGTAGGCGTAGGAGTTCTGGTAGGAGGGTGAGGGAATAGGCAAGGGAGAGAGAGAGAGAGGTTGCGTTTGGAGTAGGAGTAGGAGTAGAAGTAGGAGTAGGAGTAGGTAGGAGTAGTAGTAGTAGTAGTAGCAGTAGTAGCAGTAGTAGTAGCAGTAGTAGTAGTAGCAGGAGTAGTAGTAGTAGTAGTAGTAGTAGCAATGATAAGAGCTGAGGTGGATGGATGGATGGATGGATGGATGGATGGATGGATGCTAGGCAAGTGCTGCCTTTTTGGTGTTTCTGACCTGTTTCTGACCTGTTTCTGACCTGTTTTCAATTGGAGCTAGCTTGAATGTCCTTCTGACCTGAAAACATCTGCGCGGATTCCGCGCGCGCGGATTCCGCGCGGCCATGTCAATTATTGGCATGGTTCTGGTCTCAAAAGTGGTAGTAGTAGTAGTAGTACTAGTAGTAGTAGTAGTAGTAGTAGTAGTAGTAGTACTGGTAGTAGTAGTAGCAATAGGGTGGTAGCCGTATAACCAATCGCCAACCAATCGCTCAGCCTATCGCGATGCAGGTTTTAGCAATCGCGCAAAGCAAAGTAAACGCATCAATTCATAAATTTGTGACCTGCTTTTACGGACGGCTCCCATATGTACCCATTCATCCATCTTAAAATATCACTTCTATAGTACCAACCTTCCCATCCACTGGGTCCCCATTGCATCAGCCAAGCGGCCAGCGGGGTGAAGCCCTCGGGCGATTTGCTGCCGGTGATGGCTCTCAGTCGCAAGGTGTTCAGCGCGCGCGCCGCCGACCCTTCCTGGCGACTTTCGAAGGCTTTTCTGACCTTTTAAAATGGGCAGTGCGACTCCCATCTTTTGACTTTGTTTTATAAATGATGGTTATACAAAAAACTGATGTTATAAAACATGAAAAACACATAAAACACACATTGAAAGACATCATCCATCATCGCCCCGGGCGGGCACCTTCTTGGCCTCTGCCTCTTCCACGACCCGCCGGACCAGTTCATCAGCAGCGCTTAAGCTGAAGGCCGACATACTGGTGACATCCTGGACCAAGTTCTGCCAGGATGGCTTAACTGGGGCTTTGAAGCGCCCTTCCGTGGCGGAGGAAAATGATGAAGTCCACCCCATTTTTGGGTGGAAACATGGGGAAACCTACAACATGTCTAGAGGATGGAAGTCATGCAATTCTTGGATCAGATGATGGAAGCAAATTAACGGCCTACGCTGTACAAGGCCATCATTGGGCACCCAAAATGTTCACAAATCTTCAGTTTCAATGTGAAAAAGACATGTTGAACTCGCTCAGTCAGGTAAGACGTGCGGATATATCAACTAAGTTTCAACCATGATTAGGATCTTGTCCCATCGATTATCATCCCAAGTAACGCTAATATTCAGAGGGTTGAAGCCACCAACCAAAGTGTAGATCAGCACATGTCCCAAAATTCAAGGGAGAACTCAGAGGATCGTTTGATGGTTACTTTCCCTACAAATCTGGAGCCTATGCCTCGTCATGCCCGATGCATTGTGATGCTTCTCACGGGAGAGACTCAAGGCAGTTAAATAAATAAATAAATAAGTAAATAAATAAATACTCACATATATATATATGTAGATACGTAGGTTCAAAGCCCCGTTGACTCAATTTTATCTATTTTTGCTTAGATCCCTGATTTTGACATCCTTTGGCAATCAAGGCTTTGGGATTCCCAGCCATGTTTGATAACCAGAAGGTACTTGTCCCATTGGACTGGTTGGTCTGGTTGGTTAGTAGATATTCCTGTTATGGGTCCAACATCTCTCAGCACTGCTGCCATGTTTGCCATGTTTGTGAACCAATTAACAGAGTCTAACCCGGTTCTGTTGAGTCCAACGGTTCGCCGACAGGAAGTGTCCTGCAGTAGGAAGCTTGCCCCTCGCAGGGAAGGAGCCAGGAGGGCCATCACTTCCTCAGTAGCTGGACCCATCTGGACCCATTGCCACATATTGCCAGCATTTTTTCTGTTGTCTCCCGAGCTGTTCAATAAAACAACACATTACAGTTGGATGAAAGATGATGAAAGGTTTAAGCATTTTCTGAGATTTTACCCACTCGATGGATTTTTTACAAAGGCGGCCTCCAGTAATCCAACCTGCCGCGGAAAATCACGTGCAAACTGCACTGTATTACTCAAATAATCCAGCATCCACAAAGAGGTGATTATATATTATGTTATATATAAATATATATAAATTATATACAGTATCATTATATATCATGTATATGTGTGTAGCATCATACGGCCAGGTCTGTCTACTGAAGGGTAGAGTTTTAGCATCATTGGTTGAGAGACAATCACAAGTCTTTGAAGCAAACAAGGAACTCAGCCCTTCCACCCCCCTTCCAACCTGTGACTGGGGTATGTGGGAGACCCTTCTTCTGGGCTAGGACTTGACTGAATAAAGGTCCAAGAATGGGGGGACGGGGATCAATAATATAGTTAATTATATAGTGGTATGAGATGAAAATCAATCAATAATAGTGAAGGATTTATGAACTCCACGATCATGTGCATTTTTTTGACCAAAAGAAACTGTAAAGACTCTAAAATTGTGAGTTGTGGAGTCCCGGCCAAACAAAGTGCCCACCCACAACTATAGCGTCCAAGTTTGGGTGTCAAGAAGTTTGATCCATAGCGCATGCAGAAATGAATAAACACTGGTTGGTGGTATGCCTACCCCTCTGAAAAATATGAAAGTCAGTTGGCATGATTATTCCCATATAGTATGGAAAAATAATCCAAATGTTCCAAACCACCAACCAGATAAACATGAATAAACAGAGAATACGCAGGTTGATCATCTTAAAACTCCAGTCCCTCGAAATGGTCGCCAGGCATCACTTCTGGCTTGCTGTGGGTACACCTTGCTCCAAGCAACTCCCGATTCTGTACATCTGCTGGATTTATCTGGAAATTGGGCATCTAAGAATTTCATGATTCATCATATACTGTACCTACCCCATTGAAAGATTACCATTCTGGACGGTTCAAAACACCCTGAAAAGTTCGGCCTTTTGGGGATGATTCCCATGTATATAGATAGATAGATATATACCCTCCGGTAAACATACAAAAAGCTATTGAAAATGACCATAGACATAGTGGATTTTCCCATGGAAAATGGTGGATCTTTTCATAGTTATGTAAACGTTTACCAGGCCGGGTATATATTCACCATCATTCCAGTGCAGGTTGTTCTGATCGAAGAATCGCCCGCTCTGCCTGGTCTGCATAGTCACAAATCTGCAGAGGCGTCAGACCCCTGGCGGAGAGTTTATGCTGTCCGGTCTAGCACTTGAACAAAACCACAGGATTTGAGAAGCAAGGGAGTGAAATAAAAACACTCAATAAACCAAGTAATAATAGGGCTAAAATAATATATTACAACAATTATATAATATTATTTGATGGTCAAATTTTGATTCATTGCGATTCATTGTCATCCTATATCAAACTGTCTTAAATTCATTAAAACAAAGTTCGAAGATGTGTTGGAAATTTGGCTGCGAGCCCGATATTAACCGCCGCCAAGAATGCGAAGAAAACGAGTGAGTTTGGAAAGCCGTGGGTTGAGCAGGTTAAGCACCTCCAACTTTGGATACAGTATTTGCCTCTGATAAACTAACATAGCGAACTGGAAAATCACCATCTTTAATAGATATATCATGATATATCAACTATAAATGTGCCATGTTCAATAGCTATGTCAAATTTTCCAGAGTAATTTTCTATCCAGTCTCATATGTGGGGAAAACCATGGGAAACCCGGAAAATCCTGGAAAAAATCTCGGACTGCCATAGCTGCTCTCTGGAGATTGGCTGAAGAATCCACCATTTCCATGAATTTCCCCATGAAAAAATCAACTCATGGCTGGTGGTTTGCTAAAAAAAAGGGGTGCCCCAAAAAATCATCCAAATCATCCATTTGTAGATTGGATTTTCCATGAAATAAACCATCCAGCTATTGGGGATTTCCCATTTGAGGACACCTCCATTTATGACGGGGATTCCCACCATCCAATTGCTACTGTATGAATCTCTGGAGGCTTTTTCTCGTCCGACGTGGGAGACCTCACAAAAAAGCACAAAACGATGAGCTCAAGCTCACTAGAGCTTCGCAACAGGACTATATATATATATACATACATGGAGGTTTCCTGAAATGGGTGGTACCCCAATAGCTGGATGGTTTATAATGGAAAATCCTACTAAAATGGATGATTTGGGGTTACCCCTATTTTAGGAAACCTCCATATATATATATATATATATGTATATATGTATATATGTATATATATATATATATATATATGTGTGTGTGTATGTGTATGTGTATATATATATATATGTCTGTGTGAGTGTGACATGCATGATGTATCTACGATATTAATTGGGAATCACTGCTGTGATCACTTATGGTAAGTTGATGTATTACATCATGTTAGTACCGTTGGTAAAACAATAATAAACCATTCCCAATTTCACCATGGGTGGTATAAACCATTCCTTTTAAATGGGTGGTGTATCATTGTTTTTCCGTGTTTACCCTCTGGTAAACGTTTACATAGCTATGGAAAATCACATTTTTTTTTATGGGTAAATCGAATATAAATTGCCATTTCCAGAGCTATGTTAGTTTACCGGAGGGTATCGTTTTTCCGTGTTTATCCCACAATGATGTCATAAAGCAGCCGGTATGGATCGATGGTTTCTCGACGGCGCCTGTCCCAGCCGCGATTGCCGTGGGCGCGGGTGGCCCGGACATAGCCGCTGGTCTTCAAGGTGACGTCCTTGCCGAAAACGGATGAAACAGGAAGTAGCATGAGAGATCTAACGGGATGGGATATCATATGATGTACCCTCTGGTTATTTAACATAGCCATGGAAAATCACCATTTTTAATAGGCAAGCCATCTATAAATGGGCCATTTCCCATGGCTATGTTAAATAACCAAAGGGTATTTGAAAATTGAATATAGTTGTTGATGCGATGTTTAGAAGTTTGAAGAAAAACATGTTGATTCTGAGTTTAATGGAATGAAATTTGGGATACTGATATGATACCATCGATGTGCATCCCAGTTACAATCTGCAATTTTCGCAAAAATATGTTTGGATATGTTTGGGCCGGTCTGGGAGATTGATTTATCATAATCTACCTATTGCTTCTTTGAAGAAGGGTTACATACAAATCATTACAAATCAATGTGTATACATTTGCGCATACATATACACATACCTATGTAATCAAATACGCATATGCACATGCACATATGCATACAGTATTACATCACATTACAGATATACCGTTTGGTTATTTAACATAGCTATGGAAAATCTGCATTTTGGATAGGTAAATCATCATAATTATATAAACCCTTTATAAATGGACCATTTTCCATGTTAAATAACCAGAGGGTACACATGACCACTCTTTTTTTTATCAACCAGCCAGTGGGTCCCAGCAAAATCAGCATCCGCCCAGCTGGATCATCCAAGGAGCTGCATTGCCCCCGACCAACATTTGAACGATCTCTGACTGGCAGTTTTTCCGCACCTAGGAGACATCAAACGGCATCAAACGGCGCTTGCGAGAGACTCTCTGTCAAACAAGTGGGGGAAAACATATCATTATATATCATTCATATGAAAATCCATTGTTAAGAGTGTGAATAAGGCGGGTAAATGCACGCAAGCTGGAAACTGACCACGTAAAATGAATCTCCTGGCAAGTTTAATGGCACAGCTGCCAGGGGTGAGGATGGGACTCGTCTTCACGACCCCTCAACTTTCTGGAAATTATATTTGGATTATATTCAAGTATTGATCAATATGAAGAACCTAAATCCACACACACACACATATATATATATATACATTAAATGATGATACTATGGATATATCTATGGATATCTATGGATACAGGGGATAGTATATATATATAATCCATATTATTGATCCTTTTGTATCCTTCTATCATCTGCACATTGCATCCCCCATCCACCCTGGACCATCAAGCCACAGCCAGATGGAGACAGGACAACCCGCCGGAGCCGCCGCAGCCATCGGGGTTCGCGCGTTCCTTCAGCAAGGATTGGATCACGCACTCCTGGTCAGGGCGCTTCCTTTACATTTAGTAAGTGACTTATAACTACCCACAGATAACTGGGACTGGGGTATATCCTATTATATATATAATTATATATTATATATTATGAACATTTATTCACCCCTTACTGACTAGGATCCACATCCAAATCTAGCAAAGCCCAAAAAGATGCCGAAAAGTTGTTCCAGGTTTGCCCTTTTTCTATCTTTTTTGGGGTTGCTAAAACTGGTTAGTGTTAGTACATATTGGGGATAGTAACCAAGCATTTTATGGCGATATGATCATTGACCAGCAATAATAAGGATTATCGAGGTATAAAATCAACAAGTTTAAAGGAATATACTGTAATCATATAATGGGATATGCACATATGTATATATATATAAATAAAATGGCACTGACTCTAATAACAATAAACGTAATAATAATAATAATCATCATCATCAGCATCATCACCATCATCATCATCCTCACCGTCGTCATCGTCATCATAACAATGACAATTCAAATTCAAAGGGATTTAAGCACCCCCCAGGTGGGCGACCCTCTGTATAGTTGAGTTCACCGGGGCTGGGGGCTGTCTGTCTAGGGTTGACCCAGTGGTCGAGCCATCAAAGAATACTGAAACCCTTGGCTTGGTTCAAAGGAGTGTAGACAATTCACCAACAAAATGTTGGTTCATTCCTGTCAATTCAAAACAGTATAGTTGAATGTTGAACCACCCCTCAAAATATGATAAACTTGGAAATCATAAACAAAAAAAACACTACCCCGTGGGCTGGTCACGCCCAGGTTTGTGGCTAGGGCCTTGACGGTCATGGCGCCAACCTCTTGTCTCCCTTCATCAAATGGCCTATGATCTTCTTGTATTTGGGGTCCTGGTCCTGGCCTCTTTATGTACAAAAAAAACTGCGTCTTCCCATTTTAGAGGTTGTCTGCCCATGTCACCCCGGACATCAGGCTACTTCAGGTCTCACGCTTGAAAGGTTGAGACATGTTGAGACATCCATGATCCCCTGAGCTCACTGTGTCAGGCCTTGGTCTTGATTTGTAGCACTGACTTGGGCTGTTTCGAAGCTTTCTGCCTCCAGGGGCAAGGCGCCCCCCTAGTGAACATGGAGGTACAACAATCACTGTGGACACGTGCTTGTTTTTCACATTCATGGGGCATCCGCAGTATTCAACAAAAACAGGGATTCACCGTGATTCAGCACCATTTCTGTTGCTGAAACCTGAGCAAAACCTCCATTTTTTCATGCCGAAGTGACCTCTGAAGTGGCTAAATTCTCCAAGCTGCACATCTTCATCCTTGGAATGATGGATGGTCGCCAGCAAGGCATCCGCCAACGGGGTCCAGCAGGGGATTTCATCGAAGGTAGCGGCAGACTCCTTGGTGCCATGGGAACCTTTGAGGAGGGCCGGAAAAAAACTGGGAACTGAAGCCCCAAGAAGACAATGTTTCTCTATAATGTTATATTATATAATTTATATATATATATATATTATTATTATATAATACACACATATATATATAATACATATATATATATATTATTATATAAGACATATATATATAATTTAATATATATATATACACGATAATATCTATAGTATATATATATACAGTATATTTACATATATTTACTATATATATATATATATGAATCCAAATTTCGACGAACAAGAGGTAGGTATGTCTCATGGAAATTGGCATTTTCAAGGGACAAAAAGCGGTTTGTGTTTGCATAGATCGAGATAGAACCAGGGAATGAAATGGATTTACAACCAACTGAAGTAGGGATTCAACCAACAACGAACTAATTGAGGCGAGCCTCATCCACTTCCCGTCATGCAAGAGATGTCTTATGTTGGCTTGTTGATGAGTACCCGGCTAACTTTCGGTTGCGTGGCAAAGAAACCTATTAAAAACGTAGAAATACAACAAGCATGTCTACAATCCATCCAGTTCTCATGGTAAGATAGCCGGATATAACCGGATATAGCCCGTATGTCTTTGAAGCAGATTTCTGGTCAATACAGTATATCTCCATTCATCCGGAGGACCTTTCTTGGGTAATTCCCCAACCCGAAAAGTTTGGCCAAAATTTGTGGATAATTCATGATAATTCATGATAATTCATTTCAGAGTTTTTTTTGGGGATTATCATGAATTATCCACAAGGAACAGCTGAATTATCATGAATGATTGCCGTTGATTGCTGTTGATACGTACAGCTGAACCTTCTCGCCATCGGTTGATCCAGGCTTCGATGGATGCTTTGATTTCCAAGAGGGTCTTCACCTCAGGGATGCAGCTTCATCGGTGCGCCAAACGATAACTACTGTAAGAGCTGCAAAAACAACTACGGTAAATATGGTAAATTGAAATGTGTAAATGTCAATGCACCCTTTTTCTCATACCCTCTGGTAATTTAACATAGCTATTGAAAATGGCCATTTATAGTGGATTTACCCATTAAAAATGGTGATTTTCCATAGTTATGTTAAATTACCAGAGGGTATCCCTTACAGACTATTGTCCAATCAAGAATATGGATTTCCGGATTTCCAATTGCCAGATTGGATTGCCAGAGGGCAATCCAAACATCACAGTTTTCAACTCAGCAAGACACCAGCGAAGACTTCAAAGGAGCCTAAAAAGACTTCATGGCTGAAATTAAAAACACCACAACAGAGATCACTCTGTTACCCTCTGGTAATTTAACAATATTTAACATAGCTATTGCAAATGGCAATAGAGATAGTTGATTTACCCATTAATAGCATGGTGATTTTCCGTAGTTATGTAAACGTTTACCAAAGGGTATGTTTCTTTATTATCAAACCATTCCTGAAATCAACACATGAACATCCTGAAGCAGTGGCAGCTTCGCGAAGGTCACTGAAAGATCACCAGGGCCACTAACCACTTACTGTAGGGATGATCCTCCAAGTATTAGTTGGTAAAGTCCAAGAGTGTCCAAAGAACTCTCAGTTATAAAGACCGTATGATAAAATAAGGATATATTATATATAGATATACATAAGGATCATAGCCATAGCTGAGTCAGAGTCATAACGTCTGTGCGAGCCTGTTCTTTTTCTACAGAGGATTAGAATATGAATCACGCCCATTAACTTTGCAATGAAAAGTGTCAACATCATATGTTGAACTTTTGACAAATAGAAACGTATCATTTGATGTTAATACGACCATGTCATAAACCACCTGTAGTTTCATGATTGGAATCCCACCGTTTGAAAAAGGGAGTTTTCAGTCATCGGGGATGGTTTTGTCCTACTGCTTTACTAACACACAGAGTAAGATCATGGAAATTTTGGGTGTGGTTTACTATGGTTTACCATATAATCATCAAGGGATCATTTTAGTAAAGATTTCACTGACTGTTCACTCTTTTAAAGTGTGTTTTGTTTCGGATGTTTTTTTGTTTCTCGGAAACATATGCGTCTGCTCCCACTGTGTCGCCACACTGCCGGCAGCGAGAAGCCTGCGCCGCGGCCATGGGGCCATCGGACATGAAAGTGGAACATGACGTGAAAGTTTGGGGCGGAACATCATCTGGCAGTGTGTCAAAACCTTGTACCCCTGTAGTTCACATCAAAATAGCTGGGATTTATGGATGTGAATAACCCCCTAAAAATGGTATTAATAGGTATTGATCCATAGCCATCTGGATTAATCATCTATGGTTACCAAAATGGGGAATTCAGCAATGTTCAACACCCGTATACTTATCCCTTCATACTGATTTCTCGATTGCAATTTCAGTTTATGGATATAAGACGATCCCCAATGTGTAAAAGGGTACAAGCATGTACAAGCCCATGTAACCATCTATGAATTATATTAGTTATACTCCCATATTTACATATATCATCATATATTTACATATATTAACTGCTTATATCATCTTAAATCCATATGTTAACCCCATATTGCAACCAATCACCCATGGTTTCCGGTCACCCGAGGCGTTTTCCAAATGCCGGCATGCGACTGGCTGCTGCCATGTGAATGGCGGTGACCTGGGGATTTCAACGGAGTTTGATGTGCTTCACCCCAAGAAGCTAACATAGCTGTGGAACATTGGTAACATGGACCATTGATAGATGAACCATAAAAAATGGTGATCTTCCACAGCTATGTTAGCTTACCCGGCGATGTAAAACCTATTTCAGACCTGCTTTCCAGGTTGGCCCAACTTCAGGGTAGATTCACGTAGATTCCATCGAAAGAAACAAATGGACGCACCACTTGGATCCACTTGGGCCATAAATCATCACAGGCGACAAACAATTAGCTAATCGTTCAATGAATCCAATTAGCTCACTATAGAGATATTGCTAACCTTGGAGTTACCCTGGGAACCCCATAATCCCCCGTTGCACAGTTTGTCTAACTTTCAGATAGCCATACTACTATCCTCCAATTTGAAACTGAGTCGTTGACCCGCTTTTGCCTACACTTCCACCAAATTCCACTGGTTCCATCATCAGTTTCCCTGTCAAAAATGCAATTGTTTCTCCATTGTCAGGGTTGCTCCCAACACCCCAGATGCAGAAGGGAAACCGGCTATATACGTAATAAAGCGGTCAAAATACAAGTGTTTCCCCATACCCATAAATCCGACAATGGCCAATTCCATCAACATCCGTTCGATCCATTGTTATATCCACATTTTTTCCATGTCGTTCTTGAGCCAAAAAATCACTCATTCTATGACCAAGTCCCCATGATGTTTTTCCTCGGGCATCCACAAACTCTGCGCCACATCTGCCGCGTCGCATCAAAGAAATCTTTCGAGATATTTCGCTTCACCCAAGCTCTGCTGTGAACATCTGCGCGCAACTGGACGATGCTCCTGGCATGTCCTAATGATCCAGGGAAGTACCACAGTGACAACGGTGGTTTTTATGGGTAAAACATGAAGTAGATTCGGGGTAATCAATGGCAATTGATCCATCAAAATTAGAGTAAACATATGGAAACGACTCAAACTATGGGGGTACAAACATGTTTTTGATGACAAAATGATGGTCAATAATGATTACTGTAATCTCTATAAAACATTCTAAAGATCTCCTGTTAACCACATCTCATGGAATCTTTCGACATTTCTCGAAACAAAGCCTTTCACTTTAGCCATTCCATGGAGCCTTGGGAACGCCCCTTTTTTTTCGTTGTTGACCCATCTTCCTCATTACAATATGAGTAAAATATAATGGTAATCATGTAAGAATCAGCAAATAAGGTTTTGCAGCCGATAGGGGGTCTTTGGAATTGGATTCTAGGGTCCTTGGTGATTTAGTTCTACCTCTGATTGTCTGATATATGTTTTCCATTATTTATTCTTTATCTATCTTATCTATCAAGGTAGGTGGCCTTGGTATATACTAGTGAAAATAATCCCAAAGGAAAGATCGTCTTGGGCTAGTGTCCCTTGGATGTTTCAATATATTGTTACTTCTTATACGCCATTCGGTAATCATGCCAAGATGGGGGTTGATAATTAGTGTCTCCATCCATTTACCCTTCTATTCGTGGAAGTGCCAGTCAGAACAAACGATCACCATTCGATCGTAGTTCAAATATTTTTTTTTTGGGGTTGGGTACTTTGATAAAATATAAAACATATTATATGTATATATATATATGTATCAATATATGCAGCCGATAGGGGGTCTTTGGAATTTGATTCTAGGGTCCTTGGTGATTTAGTTCTACCTCTGATTGTGTGATATATGTTTTCCATTATTTATTTCTTTATCTATCTTATCTATCAAGGTAGGTGGCCTGGGTATATACTAATGAAAATGATCCCAAAGGAAAGATCGTCTTGGGTTAGTGTCCCTTGGATGTTTCAATATATTGTTAATTCTTATCCGCCAATCGGTAATCATTCCAAGATGGGGATTGATAATTTGTGTCTCCATCCATTTACCCTTCTATTCGTGGAAGTGCCAGTCAGAACAAACGATCACCATTCGATCGTAGTTCAAATAGTTTTTTTTTGGGTTGGGTACTTTGATAAAATATAAATATATATATATATATTATATATATATATCAATATATGCAGCCGATAGGGGGTCTTTGGAATTTGATTCTAGGGTCCTTGGTGATTTAGTTCTACCTCTGATTGTGTGATATATGTTTTCCATTATTTATTTCTTTATCTATCTTATCTATCAAGGTAGGTGGCCTTGGTATATACTAGTGACAATGATCCCAAAAGAAAGATCGTCTTGGGTTAGTGTCCCTTGGATGTTTCAATATTATTAATTCTTATCCTTCTTTCGGTAGTCATGCCAAGATGGGGGTTGATAATTAGTCTCTCCATCCATTTACCCGTCTATTTATGGAAGTGCCAGTCAGGACAATCGATCACCATTCGATCGTAGTTCAGATAAGTTTCTTTTTTGGGGTTGGTACTTCCATAAAATATAAAATAAAATATTGTTATGCGACGGATGTGCGGATGCGACGGATACGGGGTCCCCCAAGCCAAAAGATCGGCAAAAAAAAAAAAAAAATGCCTAAATCTCAAAATCAAGGACCCCGAATCCTCTGCGGCAAAAATCATGGTAGAATATAATAGTAGGGCTGTTTCCCAAGTCCACATGCCAATTTCTGCACCCTGAGATCGGCAATTTTTTTTTTTTCCTAAATCCCAGGGTACAACCTCTGTATTGCCCAAGTCTAGGTGCAGATTTTTGCGACCTTACTTAGGCAATACCCCACCAAGCACCTAGGATATCGTCAAAAAAAAAAAAAAAAATGCCTAACTCAGGGTGCTGATTTCTGCGCCCTGACTTCGGCAAATTAGCTATTGGACATTGCATTTAAAGGATATACGATGTAGACGTAGAAATAATGGGGGAAATTTAGTACTTGAAAAAAAAAAGATAATCAGGGATAACATTGGTGGCTTTATACCAAAGGTATATGGGGGCACCGCCCTAGAAAAAACAAGAGCGTGGTTGATACCTTTTCCATTTTGATCCAGCAATTGGTTGGTACCCTTCAGAAATGGTAGTGGACCCCAGCTAATCCAAGGAATAAAATAAAATAACCGTAACCGATACTTGGATGATATCAATTTAGCCAACCAAGTGGTTGCCTAAGAGTGAACATAATAATGCACATAGAATTTTCTATGAGCATGGCAAAAAAACAAATAGTTACATTAAATAACCAATGGTAAGATGATACCCATTTAATCAACCAATTGGTTACCTCATAGGGAAAATAATAAAGTACCTATAATACAATTCAATTCCATTATCATATATTAAATATTTGGAAAGACCCAAGAATCCATTTCCAGAGAACCCAGATCAATGCACAACATAGATATAATATATTCTATATTTTATCGAAGTACCCAACCCCCCCCCAAAAAAAAAACTATTTGAACTACGATCGAATGGTGATCGTTTGTTCTGACTGGCACTTCCACGAATAGAAGGGTACATGGAGACACTAATTATCAATTCCCATCTTGGCATGATTACCGAATGGCGGAAAAGAATTAACAATATACTGAAACATCCAAGGGACACTAACCCAAGACGATCTTTCCTTTGGGATCATTTTCACTAGTATATACCAAGGCCACCTACCTTGATAGATAAGATAGATAAAGAAATAAATAATGGAAAACATATATCACACAATCAGAGGTAGAACTAAATCACCAAGGACCCTAGAATCAAATTCCAAAGACCCCCTATCGGCTGCATATATTGATACATATATATATACATTTAATATGTTTTATATTTTATCAAAGTACCCAACCCAAAAAACAACATATTTGAACTACGATCGAATGGTGATCGGTTGTTCTGACTGGCACTTCCACGAATAGAAGGGTAAATGGATGGAGACACTAATTATCAATTCCCATCTTGGCATGATTACCGAATGGCGGATAAGAATTAACAATATATTGAAACATCCAAGGGACACTAACCCAAGACGATCTTTCCTTTGGGATCATTTTCACTAGTATATACCAAGGCCACCTACCTTGATAGATAAGATAGATAAAGAAATAAATAATGGAAAACATATATCACACAATCAGAGGTAGAACTAAATCACCAAGGACCCTAGAATCCAATTCCAAAGACCCCCTATCGGCTGCAAAACCTTAAATACCAGTAATATAATAATAATAGTACCAGTAATTAATTATATAATAGTAAATATCAGTAATGTTAGTTATATATAAATAAATAATAATACATATATAGCTTGCTAAACTTCACAACAACTTCAGCCGTCTGCGAACTCAGCTGACTCTGACGTACAGCGAAAGTCATGTCATCGGGCCTCACGACATCACGGTCCAGCTCCGATTCAGAAAAGACCAACTCATCGACTGCCTGGAAAATCGCTGCTGTTGGAGCCAGTGGCCAGTGAAATCTCTAGAAAAGCGGAAGAAGGTAGGAAGAAGGTAGAAAGAAGGTAGGAAGAAGGTAGGAAGAAGGTAGGTCTACTCTCTATTTTCCGAACCATGAACCATGGATATGTTTTTTTACCCTGGGGAAAAAGATTGAATAATTGTAATTGGGCGGTTCGCCTCAGAACCATTGGCCTCCCAAGATTTATGAGGCTCCACAGCTCCTTGGCTTCGCAGTCCACAGTGTCCACAGTGTCCACAGTGTCCACTGTTCGCCGGGGCACGAAGTGAAGCAAATAGCCGGACACCACGCGATTTCTCTTGCCTCAGCCGTATCGAGTTGGACGAATCATCCCAAACCCGATCCGATGATTCGATATAAGACAACGGTCACAAAATACTTCAAAATACTACACATATCACATATATTATTTCAGGATTATTTCAGGATTGGTGATAGGATAGTAATAACAATTTTTTATATATACATTTATATATATATATAATTATATATTTATATCCTAAGTCTTGCTGGTGCCTTGTGGCGGTCAAGGTGCGGAAAAATCGACCATCGCGCAGGGGATTCGCCAGCTTCCTGAGTTGCGGGAAAATGCCCCATTTGTAGATGATTCGCCTAGCGAACTAAACCTCCATGTGACAATTCAACGAATAAATGGGGATTTTCCAATATTTTCCGTTGCCATGTTCGATTACCGGTGACTACTTTTTTGGGAGGGTGACTGACATTCTATCATAGCATGACTGGCAAAACGGGGGTTGTTTGACTGACCAAATTGGGACGGCTATCGGTAGTTACCAAGGTTGGATTTCAACGAACAAAAGTGGTGGGATTTGAACGAGCAAAAACCAAGAAATTGCATGCCAGTTTTGGCCACGACTCACCTAGAAGGGTGATGATCTGTTGTGTCAAAAAAACAAGTTGATTGTAACCAATTGTTTTCCAACCAGTGGGAATGCAGATTTATCCAAACATCCTCTGCCACTTCAGCCTGGCAACCGGAAATACATTTGTTTGGCTGATGGCAAGGGGAGAGAGAGAGAGGCTGATACACTGACACACATAGCACTGTATATCATTATACGCATATATAATCATATATAGTCATGAGGGAAGAAACATAACAGATTTCAGGGGGATTTTTGGTCACCATATTTGACTTCCGCAGCACAATTGGACATCCTCAAATCCCGCTGGCAAGGGTGAGACAGATTCATGCCCCTCCAAAATCTCCAAAATGTTCGTAATGAGTGATGTGTACCTAACACAATGCAATAGATGTGCAAATATATATTATAATATATACACACATATATATATGTATATATATATATATACATATATTTGTTTTTTTCAACGGTATATACACCATCTCTCTCCATCCCAGTACTGCTTCAAACTAATTCCCAAGAGTTGCTGATGAGCAACTGGGGTGCACCCCAACCAGCGCTATGTTTTTTCCCTACGGGGTTGACTGGGGGATGTCACATTGAGACTGACCACCGAGGTACATATGTATGGCATCTTCCCATGGCACATCATGAGGGAATGATTCTTCGCCTTCGTCCTGCTCCAAGGGTCAGGCTTGCAAGGGCAAACATACTGATTATGCATACTTTTCTTATATTGACGCATATGTATGTATCTGTGTCTTAATATGTATATGCATGTGTTTCTCTATATACTCCATGATCAACACTATTATTTTGGTTGGATCTCAATAATCCTTATTTTGGAGCTTGCTATAACGATCATGTGGTTGGGAAAATCTTAGTAGCTCCAACTAGCTGCCCAGGCAAAATCGGGAATGGCGATACCTATAGTTTCGAAGCACTCCCTCCTAATCGACAAATAGAGCTTTTTCATCATAGTGCTCAATCATCATGAAACATCATTAACTAGCAATCATTCATAAACATCACTAAGCCTTTTTGATGGTTAGTGAATATGTTACCCCATCTATCTATCATGGGGATCCAAACATCGTGAATGTTACTTTTTTTTGCCTATTGATGGATATATACTCCATCTTCCAATGTGGGAGAAAAAATGGGTTAATCTAATCCAAGTTTGACCACTGTCACCATGTGTTCCCAATGATTACTCCATGTTCGTTAATAAATATAATCATATAATGATCAACGGCAGTTTATGATGAACTAATAGTGATCACCATCATGGTGGTCAATCACCATTAGTTAACCGCAAGTAAACATTAATGACATACAATAACATTTAATAACCATCAGTAATCATAATTATTCAACCATCAAAAATACTCATATATATAGACAAATCATCATTGTATAACAATCATGAACCATCGTTGACCATCTTTTACCATAAATTCCAGGTCATGCCGACATAAATTCAGCATACAATCCAAACAGGCAAGCGTAAACATGCCAGAAGATTCTCTTCGTATAATAAATAACATCCAATAACCATCATCAACCATAGATATATCATCAATATATCATCATCATATATCTTTATATAAATATATGTAACTATATACATAATATACAGTATATATATGTATGTATGTATGTATGCATGCATGCATGCATGTATGTGTGTATGTATGTATATATCATCATTGTATCATTATTATATCATCATTTTATCATCATTAGATCATTACCATCATTGTACCATCATTATAGAACGATTTACCATCGTCATATCATCATCTGACCGTCATTCACCACCGTTGCCACCGCGATCACCCCGTTGCCGACCAACGCTTCCTCGCTGAGCACCGGCGCGTCACCGGCCTCCGCCTCGTGGATGGTCACCGCGCGATTACGACGCAGGTCCTGGCGAAAACCAACAGTGGTGATGGTTTCCTGGGGGGGTTCAATGGTGATGTTCACATGGGGGTTTAATATGGTTTAATATGGTTTGAATGGGGGTGTTTAATAATAGGGGGATGGGATTATATGTTTTACTATATGTTTTACCATATAATATGGTTTAGTATGGTTTATATAATGGCATTGAGTGTGATTTAATGGTGAATTTATTCATTAGAATGATGCAATTCATGGTGGGTTCCATTGGGATGAAATGATGAAGTCATTCCAAATAAAGGACAACTGGCGAAGTGGCAGGTCTGTTTGCGTCAAAAATTGGGTTTCATTCGGTGCCACGCCGAGCGCTTTTTGGCTTCGGAGCTGTCAGCAGAAGAAGAAAAAGAAGTCAAAGAAGAAGTCATTTGTTAGGATGATGATGATGATGAAGAAGAAGAAGAAGCAACTGACATAAAGTGATTTCATGGGATTTATTGGGATTAGAATGGGCTATTTCATGGGACTTTCACCAACGCTGCAAGCAAAAAACATGCCAAACGTTAAGGTTGGTTTCCTCGCAACTGACCTGGACTTGTGGAACTCACCTAGCAGGGTACACCAACAGAAATGGATTGTAATTTCTTTATTCAATATCCTCTGGATGACCAAAAATAACCACGGAAATCATCCATGCTCAATAATCTACAAATGGGCAGCTATGATTACCAAAGAGTACCTGTCATAAAAAAGGAATTTAAACATATTTAAACACTAAATAACTTAGTGGTTGATCGATTCAGAAGGTGTTATATTAAATCTTATGGTAAGCCATACTTTCTACCATTGAAATTTGAGGGCTTCCTGGCCGATCCAACTCCTGGAAGCTACAGATCTTTTGAAAAAGAATGACACAACTCCAATGGGAATGGATTCCATCACAGAAATTGGATCTTAATCACACTCCAATGGGATGTTTGAGGGATGACTTCAGCAGGTGAATGTGACTCTCCATGGGTCCTCAAGCTGAATCGAACTGGTTCCAGAGGCATCCTTGGGCGCAAGGATTTGATAGGTGACTTGACATGGGGGGATGCAATTTGATCAACAGAAAAACTATGACGGTGTGCATATATATATATACAATTATGGACAATTTCTATTCACGGTCATCAGTCTATCTTTATACTGCATGTATATATATATGTGTGTGTGTGTGAAAATTATGGTGAGCATAGAGGTGAATCGAAATGTATAGGAATAGGTTACATTGTGATACCGCAGTATTTCCACCACTCTGGGAAGGCTGCCAGCTGGTCAAGTCTGCGACCATTCCCTTCAGATTTCCAGATATCCCAAGTGCTCATGTTTTTTGTTTCCTCCAGAATCCAAACATCTTCCACTCGCACAATGCCACCATGCTTACCCCATGTACATACAAACACATTTACACACGGTCCTGTCTTTTTACTCTAAACGGGTACCATTTTGATCGATTTTGAAGGCATGTTGGATCATTTTGGTTCTAAAAATAACGCACTTCCAGTTGCAATGGATAAGGAACACAAAAAATCATAATTCATAATTCTGTTCCACCATTCTCCCATAAAACAAAAAATTGCAATGTCATGCAATTGTTCCATTGGTTTTCCCATGGTTTTCCCATGGTTTTCCCATGGGTCATCCATCATCTTCCCCTTCCCTCCCAGGGCGGCCTCCTCCTGCCACGTGGTGGCCGTGTGGGACTTGTTGAACTTCGGCGACAGCTCCGCGGAGCCGCCGGGTCCGACGCCGCCAACACCGGAGCCGGGCAACTCGTCCTTGAGGGCCAGGCAGCAGTCGCTGAAGAAGCGCCAGCCTCGAGGCCCCCCAGTGATGTTTGTTGGTTTCTAAGCCCCAGTAACTATAGTTATATATCTACCATAAACCATAGTGAAATTGGAGTTATAAACCAACTTAGCTATCTTGGGGGCCTCACATTGTAGGATAAGATAGGAGAGGATACATGGGTAGATGATGGTAGATGGATAGACTAATAAAGACTAATAAAAACTCAACCCAATAAACCCCAATCCCATGAACTTTTGGCTGACAATCTGGCAAAATCCGAGTTACGTCTCCAAAAAATGGATGCCGAACGGTTCTTCCAGAAAGTGAAAAAGATGATGTTCCCCCACAATCTCCAAGTTTTTTTTGGGGGCTGCTATATCTACATTAATGTAAACACCCAAAAAAACAGTCAGGTCATCAAACACGCAGTCACTGGAAACATCTTCCATTTAGTTACCATCTGGTTATTTAACATATAGCCATGGAAAATCACCATTTTTAATAGGTAAACCATCTGTAAATGGCCATCTATACCATGGCTATGTTAGTCATAACCAGAGGGTAGTTCCATGATTCTCCCATGGAAACCAAGCCCAGCCCAGCGGAGCCTAGCACATCCACACAGCTCTGCTGAATCTTCAGGTCCCTCGTGGCTGGTGAATAGCTGGATCAATCACCAAATGAATGGTGAATAAAGGTGATTAACGATTCTTCATATCTAGGCTAGCTGCTGGATTTGTGATTATGGCTATAGTTAGATGGGTTGTAGCGATTAAGTGTGAACTTTGAATGATTAATGTTAATGGTTAATGTTAATGGATACTTGATGGATATATACTCGTGAAATCTCGTGAATAATGGTGAGAAAGACCATCCGCAAGCATCGATGACCAATAAGATGGTAAATAAGTTGGCGGTTTTTATGGTGCTTAATACTGGCCAAGAGTTGTTAACTAACAATCAACATCATGATGCTCGTTGATAGATAGACCAACTTACAACCGCCTAGAGGATCGCCCACGAAAAAAGGGCTAACCGGCGAACTGGAGTTGAACGATCCTCCAGGCGATGGAGTGAATAAAGGTGTTTCATGATGGTCATGGTTTAAAATCCAACATGATAATGACAATGGTCAACGTGGTCAATTTGTCAGTGATGGTTGATGTTGGCAAACGATTGATGATGATGATGATGATGACGATGATGATGATGATGATGATTTTACATTTCATGGTGACCGAACAATATGTGGATCTAATCAACCGAGGGGTGTATAATGTATACATACATAAATATATATATATATAGATAATATATATATATATATATATCTTTCTGTGTGTGTGTGGGTTTATCGTGGTTTGCATTGCGATTTTGGGACATCCCCGATTTTCAGCAAAAAATATGGCGCTGTACCCTGCTGTACATCCTCCAAACTCAAGGCGTTGTTGCCATCTCTTCGCTGCTCCCCTTCTACCCTTCAACACCAAGATTTGTCAATAAACAATCAGATAGGGGATCAACACTTATGATACATTAATGATACATTTATGATATATCAACACTTCATACTCAATCAGATATCATCATTCCTTCAAAAGTCAAGAGTTGTCAAAAAAACGGCCAATCCTTCCGCATTTCAGGCGCCATGGCAGGTGCCATGGTCAGCCCCACCGCCATGCTGAGGATTGCCGAGGCGCGTGTAGCAGTAACGCAACTGGATGTGGACCTGAGATTTCCACCCGCCCTCGTTCAAATATTTCAAATGTCATGTCAAACATTGAGACCCTGTGAACGGTACCCGGCCTGGTAAACTAACATAGCTATTGAAAATGGCCATAGAAATAGTGGATTTACCCATTAAAAATGGTGAGTATGAGTTTCCATAGCTATGTTAAATTACCAGAGGGTATATGCAACACCAAACATGACCAAACAATGTTTAAATTCACGAGCCTCAGTTAGTAAACCTGAAACCCCTGATCACTGGGCTCCAGACTTTCTGAGGGTGACTCCGCCAAGAATTTTGTATTGTAATTGAGAAATATTAACATGACTACTAACCACCATCAATATTCATCTATGTACGACTTGGGTAACATAAGATGAACATTCATTAGATATGGATCCAAAATTTCACATCAAATGATCCATGTATACAGCACAAATGGCCAATTCACCCTGAAAAGTTTCTCCAGATCCACCCAGAACATCCAGGGTAAGATATAAAGCAATCATTAGCAACCTGAAAACAAGCTCCAGAAGTTGACACATCTGGAAACCCTGGGGCTAATTCTACCGTCCTGGTTTCACACCTCTTTGGGGTTGCTATTTTGCTGGCCGTGCCCGGTCGCGGCACCAGCTCGTGTTCGTTCTCCGGGTCCTCCACATCTGCCACCACGATGAACTCCGACTGACGCGAGAAGTCTGCCGTTTGAAGAAACCTGAAGTGGGATGAGCCCTGGAGGTGTTTTGTTGAGATCATCATACCTAGGTTTTAATGGGAAAATCCCTTATAAATGAAGGTTTTAATGGGAAACTCCACTATAAATGAAGGTTTTAATGGGAAACTCCACTATAAATGGATGTTTTCATTGGAACATTTTTAATGGGAAAGTCAACTATTTAAGGATCGAAAATACAATTGGGATCATCAGACCTAGGAAATTATACTTAACATTCAGACCCAAACAAACGACGCAAAGATTGTTTCCTCTTTTCCTCTATTTCCGCTATTTCCTGTATTTTATGTATGTCCTTTATTTCCATTATTTCCTCTATCTATATGTCTATCTATCTATTTGTCTGTCTATCCATCCATCCATCCATAATTGACTATTATGTAGGTATGTATGTATGTATGTATGTATGGATGGATGGATGGATGGATGGATGGATGGATGTATGGATGTATGGATGTATGGATGTATGGATGTATGGATGTATGGATGTATGGATGTATGGATGTATGGATGTATGGATGTATGGATGTATGGATGTATGGATGTATGGATGGATGGATGGATGCATGCATGCATGCATGCATGCATGGATGTATATATATATATATATGTGTGTGCGTGTGTGTCTGTGTGTGAGTGTCTGTTGAATACATATTATATATATATATATGTAACTATATATATATATATATACACATCTCTCCACTCCACTCCACTCCACGCTAAGCTAATCCAACCTATTGTAAATTTTTGTAATTCCACCAGCAAAAAGAAACACAGTAATTTACCCCTACTTTGGATCAAGCGATTTGGATTCGGATTTTACCGTTTTATCTTTTTGGGGTTGCCATAGTCCAACCTACAGCATCGATCCATCTGGATAAAATATCATGATTCACCAACCTGAAGAAAAAAGCGCGGCCATTTGAGAGAGGAATAGATAGACATATATATATATGTTTATTATTATTATTATATCATTATTATTATATTATATAAATAACGATCGGCTGACGATATACCAGGCCTATTGCAAATCATGAGCAGTACCATCACAAATTATATATATACCATTGCAATCTAGGATTCCCATCATTCCAACGGCGTTGCCAGGTGAGATTGTGATCCACTTTAACCACATTTTCCACTTCCAAATTCCAATTCAGTACAGCCCTTTAAAAAACCCTTGATCACTCGTCATCTCAGGAACCTAAATAAGGCCTTATATGGTACAATACCTCCATTTCAGGATCCTGAAATTCCCATTGACTTGATAGTGGTTGATGATGGTTATTTGGATGTGCATCCCAGTTTGTAAGTGGTTTATAACCCTTATGTACTCTGTATATAGCCCATACATAATTGGCTTATACTATATGGGCACTTCCCACTTACAATCCGGAACCCCCAAGTACTAAGCCCTCAATAATATTTTAATGGATATGATGCTAATCATGATCATTTGGTTGACTAAATTCCATACTAATAGGAAAACTGGTTACTAATAATCCCTGTCGGTAGTAATAATTCAACTAAAGACACCAAATCATCATACATACATATTCCAACTCTCTCTCTCTCTCTCTCCATCGCTGTCAGGTCACCCATCCCTAGCTGTGCTATGAAGAGAGAAATATTCCAATCATTACAGCTTACATACCATCATGCTTCTTACCCACGTCCAGTTTATCTTGGCTGAATCCCAAAAAATCTCACCATCTTGTTTTTTTACCATGGAAAATCACAATTTTCATAAATCATGGTAAATCACCATAAACCATCTATATGTGGGCCATTGTCCACAGCCATCAGCAGCTGCCGGTCACCACGCAACTCTTTGGCGTCACGCCGCAGGCGTGGGATCTGATTCGCCTTCTCCGTGTTCAACGTCTCAGCGTGCCACGCCGGTGAGCGCAGGGAGCGCAGGCCGGGTGCTAAGATGGCGGCTAAGCCATGGCTTAAGCCATGGCTTCACCCAGCAAAAATGAGATAAAATTATATATATATATATACATGGATACGTGCCACCCAAAAATGAAGGCAAAATCTAGCTAAGATGGTTGAACAAACTAGGTGAGCTGTTGGGTCTGTTGGCTTTATGATGCTAGAGGGATCGACCATTGGGGTTTCGATGCACTAGCTGCATCCAGAGCTTTGAACCTGCAAAATGGGAGGCTTACTTCTATGCCAACTCACAAATGGAAGATCATGTTTATAGGACCAACAAAGAGATGGTGATATGACCATTAAAAATCATTGTATAGAACTGGTTGCTAAATTAATATATATATATACATATATGTATATATATAATAAATCACAAGCCGTCAATATCCCATCTATCTATCTATCTATCGATCCATCCATCCATGGGTATGTAGAACTACATGCAATTATTTTTTTACAGCCACGATTCTGCCATTGTGGGCCCCTATTGGTCCAATCGGCGGACATTCCAACTCTCAAAGATGCCCAGCTGAGAGCGGAAACTCCCATAGTTGTTATCCCAAGGAACAGTTGGTTGTTTGAGAACTACCAATGTAATGGTAATGGTAATGGTTATAATTGATGGCAAATGATGGTAATAATTAGTGGTTAATGATGGTTAATGATTACTACTGTGGATAAAACAATGCCATAAACCAGCCATGACTGGGAATGGTAAACATACCGCCTATAAAAATGGTGATGACTGGGGGATGGTTTATTGTTGTTTTACCAACATTATAGTTTTAAGTGTCATAAGCCATACTTATTGGAGTTATAAACCAACTTAGCTACCCAGGGGGGCCTAATTTGTAGCTCATACTAGCGAATCACACTTGCGATTTTAAGCTGAACATCAAACCCTTGGAAGGTCATACCCAAACGATCAGGTCATCCACAGGCTTGGGCTACCGCAGGGCCAGGGTCCTCGTGGTCATTTGAGGATGGTTTAGGCATCCCATGGTAGTTTGAAGGGGATTGATGGTTTGTGATGTTTTTGGCATTGACTAACTACCACCAGGTATAAGCGGTACAACAGGCATTACCCTCTGGCAAACGTTTACATAACTATGGAAAATCACCAGTTTTAATGGGTAAATCAACTATTTCTATGGCCATTTTCAATAACTATTTTGACATAACCAGAGGCTAACTAGCATATTTTTTGCTGTCACAGACCAGCACTATGGAGACCAGGCGCTACATACATGCCCTTCCTCAATCCACTCTGGCCCTGTGGACGGCTGGCGCTGGCCGCAGGCCTAGAAATCTGCAGAGACCCATCGCTGGCGCAAAGCCTATCTTTAAAAAAACATGGTAGAAACTGAACCAAACTGCTTCTTTTTCACAAAAATCTATGCACACAAATCTATAACTAAATTGGTTACACTCACTAGGTTAACGGTTGGGTTTGTGGTGAGTTTAACATGTATGACTGTAGTGGGTTGGATGGGTAGAATACACAGCTGATAGCCCAGGACTTGGGATATGTTATGCATCTACTTCACTACTAGCTACAAGCCAACTCAACAGGCTTGTTCTTGGTTATATATATTAATAATTACCAATCAATTGGTGGATAAACATCCAACTCTTATAGCTAACACATCTATTTCTATATCCCATATCCATCTTCAATCATCTTCATTGATGGGCTAAATCACGTGAAAAATCCCAATGTTCATCATTTTTTCATGGCTTTCACCGGAAAAAAATATGGAAAATCCAGATCCGCCAGTGTCGCCACCTGCCCCTGGCGCCCCTGGCGCCCCTGGCGCCCCTGGCGCCCCTGGGCCCCCACGCCTGAGGCGATTACAGGTGGTGCCACTGAGATCCACAGCATTGGGATCTGCCAGCTGTGCCAGCAGAAGTTTCACCACCTGAGGGTCTGCGTTGGTGAAATCCAGATCCCAAATTTGGGTCTCAACATAGCCTAATTATCCCCAAACTTCAGGGCTTTATCATCAGTGTTTCCCTTTCCGACCCCCGGCCGTTGCCGGCTGTTGACCGCGCCGTTGACGCGCCTCGTGCTGCTTCAAGGAATCCTCCCCCGCACGCGCCCAGAGTGCAGTCGCCAGATGCAACGGTGTGAAGTCGGGCACGGCGTCGAAGGTGGACCTGGTCTTCGGAGATGTCTTGGTTACTATTAATATGGGTTAAACAATGCCATAAACCAGCCATGACTGGGAATGGTAAACATACCGCCTATAAAAATGGTGATTTGCGAGATGGTTTATTATTGTTTTACCCACATTGTATCAATATGTAAAATAGTACATGGGGGGATTCACAGTGAAATTGGGTAGATAATGAGGACATACTGGATGATTATGCAATTAGCCTCCAAATTCACAAAACGATATGGAAACCATTGGGTTTCCAAAGAGCAATATCTACAAAAGGTTGGTTGTCCATATCGACGTATCAATTTAAAATACTGGAGGCGAACTATTGCAAACATCCAGTATATTTCTTGGGCCATTCAGAAGCGGCTGACAAGCATGCTTGCGATTCCTGCCCCAACACCAGAACTTGGAACTTGGCCTTGATTCTACTGCTGCCTTTTGTCGTAGCAGCACCTCGACTCCTGTGCAGCGCGCAGTCAAGCTCATCATGGGTGTCCCGTCAAAGGTTTGCTTTGGGTGTTGTGTGTGCTGGAGAAATGTAGAGACCCCATTCCTCATAATGGAAATATGAACCCCTGTTAATGGCGTGATGAACAACATCTACATACAGTACCCAATGACTCTGGGATAATCCCAGGAATTTGGAACATTCATGGACATTCCATGCCAACAAAACCGTCCCTGTCAGGAAGATCAGTAAGTAGTAGTCTTTCAACCCCCTATTTGGCAGCTATATACAATATAATGTTCACCCATGTCAACTAATGTCAACCCCGGATTAATTAGGGGTAGCCCCCAAGAATGATGTCATCTGCTACTACAAATGGCATCCCTATCGACAGTCGAGAGGAGTTTTGCAAAATTGGGGAATCCTCATCCCCATAAAATGAGAAAACAATGAAAAATAAGCTATGGAACCCCTATTGACTCCTATGAAAATGGGGGATCCATATAATATGATATAGTGTTAGTAAAGCAATGATAAACCATCATACATGTTGTTTATTTTAAATATATATATTATCATATATATTCAAAATATTATACATATATATATATATAATATTATGTATATATATATAATATTATGTAAATATATATAATATATATTATGTAATATATATATTGTATTATTATATATAAACATATTATGCATTATTATATTATATATATATATTATATTATATATTCTTATCATCATTTTTATTCTATATGTATTATATTACATTATATTATATTATAGTATATTATATTATATTATTTTATTTTAGTTTAATATATAATATAATATATAATATAATATTATATTATGTTATTTTACTATTATTACTATATTATAATAATTTATATTATATATTATACATTATATTATACTATATATAATTATATATATATATATATATGCACACCACCCAGTTATAGTAGAATAAAACTGGATTACTATTGTTTTACTATAAAGAATAGTTCAAACTCATCATTTAGCTCAATGATTTTTCCCAGCGAACTCAACCTCCATTTAGGTCGAGGATTTTCCAGCTACCCTGAGTTCGATTACAAGAGTGTAACTATCCTATCGTTGGTTATGTATCCCATTAAGTCAATTTATCGCATAAAGTCTTATCTCATTGATATCCCATAAACACTAATGTGGGCAAACCAATAATAAACCATCCCCCAGTCATCACCATTTTTATAGGTGGTCAGGTGGTATGTTTACCATTCCCAGTCATGGCTGGTTTACATTCATTGTTTTACCCGGTTTTACCCACATTGTAATCTGGTTGGTGGTTTCAACCCCTCTGCAAAATATTAGTCAGTTGGGATGATTATTCCCAATATATGGAAAGTCATAAAATTCCATGCTTCCATTATTTATTATATCCCATGGAATATCCCATTAAAAGCACATTTTCATATCCCATTAAAAAGCCATGTTCCAGTCACCACCAACCAGTAATTGATATCCCGTCAGGACTCCTCGCAAATTTCCAGCGTGAACAGCCAAGTGAATGGGCTGCACCGAACATGACACCGAGGTTGTTTCGTCCTTGGAGCACCCTGGCCATGAAACTACGGGGATGGTTGGAATAGCCATAAAAATGCTAGAAAAAACAGGGATGGTTCATGACACTAACTACTACTAACTACTACTAACTACTACTAACTACTACTTACTGTATCTTACTTTGGCTTTTTGTGTCACTCTTGGTGTTGACAGATTGTCATCCTTTGACTGGCGACTTGGAGGTGCTGATGTCTTGGTCGGCCATCAAAGTCATCGGGCATACGTACATACGTACATACGTACATACGTACATCAATAGATAGATAGATAGATAGATAGATAGACAGATAGACAGACAGACAGACAGACAGATAGATAGTATATCATATAGTATCTTATAACTCATAACTCTCATCTCCTTTTTGGATACATTACATGTCCGACATGGCTTCACACCATTATCTGGAGATCCCAGAGAGGGATCTCCAAATGGTGATCGTCGCGCAGCTGATCTTATGGCCCCCCTGATGCAAAAATTAGTGTTTCCATAATGGAATGCATAAGACAAGCAGTGTTGTAACAACAACGATATACATTGATGGCAAAAGATTTACAGATTTCAAATACTTAAACTAATTTCAATGGAATGCATAAGATCTTCCACCATGAGTTGAAATACTCCAAACCCATTGCTGCACATGCATGGAAATAATTCACCTAAAGAATCGAAAAGGTAGGATTGATACGTTACCCAAACCCACCGGTTAATCATGATTTTCCCGTAAAGAGTCCATAAAATGCGGGGTATATACCCACATTTTTTTCATGTTCATAATTTTGCTGTTTATATTTATGCACTGCAGCGAGGAGCTTCGACAGTTATTATATATTTATGTGTATAACTGAACCGCTACAGATGTTCCACTAATATTCCAATATGGCAGTGTGTCAAAACCTTGTACCCCTGGTGAACATCAAAATAGCTGGTAAATGGATGTTCCCTAAAAATGGTATTAATAGGTATTAACCCATACCCATATTCTAATTCTATCCCCGTGACTAACGGTTGATTTTACCGCACTATTGGTGGTGTTATTCCCATGTTTCCCAGAGAGCCCCACGCCCCATCCAAGATACCCGGTTTTGGTACTGCAGACACACCTCGAACATGGCCCTGGCATTGATATTTCCGCCCTGACCTGGAAAAGGCTGGTCGGCTGGTTGGAGAAACCCGCTGGTAATCAAACTAAATGGAGGTTTATAGCTGAGAAAATCATCGATTAACATCATTTTTTTCCATTTCCAATGGCTATGTTGAATTACCAGAGGGTATGATCCGTAGATCCTTTTTGACAATGAGTTCTGCCCAGTCATCACTTTCGTGTTTTTCTTCGGCCGAATCCATCTGAAACTGCGGATATCAATCAGAAAGGCACACCTTTCAGTTGGAGGATCATGCAAAATTGGGAAGATTTGAAAAAAAAAGTCGATTGCCATTCATGTGCTAAGCCCAATGCCATAATCCATGCCCAAAATCTGGTGTAAACCATATTAAACCATCCCCAGTCATGGTAGTTGTTTATGGCAGCCAGGGTTTCCCACATTATTCATCCCCCAGTTCAAAGTTGGCTTGTACTATACACTCCATCAAGTATAGATAGATAGATAGATAGATAGATAGGTAGGATAGATAGATAGATAGATAGATAGATAGATAGATAGATAGATAGATAGATAGATAGATAGATAGATAGATAGATAGATAGATAGATAGATAGATAGATAGATAGGTAGGATAGATAGATAGATAGATAGATAGATAGATAGATAGATAGATAGATAGATAGATAGATAGATAGATAGATAGAGATAGATAGATAGATAGATAGATACCTAGATAGATTAGATTAGATTGGATTAGATTAGATTAGATTGATTGGATTAGATTAGATTGGATTGGATTAGATTAGATTAGATTAGATAGATAGGTAGGTAGGTAGATAGGTAGATAGGTAGAAAGATAGATAGGTAGATAGGTAGATAGCATGGGGAGCCAAGGAGCTTCTTAGAGTTCCTCAAACATTTGATTGTTATAGATCTATCATATATCATAGATATATCTGTCATAGATATTAACTATACATTTAAAAAAGTCGATACAAATTAAGTATATATATAGATATATCTATCATAAATCCATTAATTAAAACTACTATAGCCACGGTTTACCACCTCTATCCCGACAACAAAAAAAAACCACACGTGGCGAGTGGCTCAAGATGTGTTGGATGTCCTGCTCCAACTTTTCGTGTTTGCAGAATGCAGAGACCTCAGCTTTGAATGGGACATGTATCCAACGAAACGATGATTTAACATATTTAACTGTATATATATATAGACATATACATGTGTATAATATATGTGTATATTTATACAATATACATTCACATCATATATATATGTATATAACACATAATTATATAAGAACTGCAACTGGATAGTTCGTGTATCGATTTCTATTCCCGTGAACTATCTTGAATGAACATGCAAATTGTGTCCGTGTCTTTTTGGATCTTTGGACCGCGTGGATGTGGATGATGTTCGGCTGGGAATGTAGGCCATAAGTTGCCATAGCCATTGCCATAACCCTACATGGACGGTTTGGGATAGACATCCATGACATTGGGTAAACATCCCGTGTATATAAATTTTAAACGGCTGAATCAAGCATTAGGAGCTGGTAAACCCCTGGGACCAGGTTTTAAGATGTTTTAAGCCCCTGGGGAGGGAGCCAACCGACACCCTTCTCTCAGGGGCAAAATATGGCTTAATAAATGCTTAATAGTTATGATAATTTCAGGCATACTACTGTGGATGGGCCAGCAAAATCCTGCACCACCAAACGGATGCTTGAAAGCTTATAAATAATGGGATGTTTACCACCTATAGACTGGTGCAGGATTTCGCAACCATCCAGTAGAACTGGGCCAAGTTGCGTGGATCAAACAGATCTGGGTCCATTGCCTGAGGCCCCAAGGACTCAAGGAGTACCCCTGGGAACTATGGCAATGACAAACCATACTCAGTCTTCCCAGAAATTGGTTGTACAGTATGAGGATGAACTCATAAAATGGACCTGATTATTAGCCAGACATTGGTTCTATGAGTATGAACCAGCTAAAAAAATCTAAAAAATGGAGGTGATTGACATAGATTGAGGCTGGCGACATTGCCAAAAAAGGACGTGCAAAGGCATCTGCATCAAGAATGCAAATGATCTGGACATGAAGGATGCACTTCAGATCCCATATTGGTTCCACGTTGAATCCGATGGTTGGAGCTCAATGAACATACTATGTACCTACCAGAACTACTATCAGCCCCGGAAACATCCAGTCCGACAGGGTTTGACCATTTCAAAATATCTCAACATCAGGTGTCCAACCGTCTATACCTCTAAAACACATGGAGTTCTTTGGGCTGCACGGGGGGTGTGCTGGGGGCACTGAACCTAGGTCTATCACCACCTTTGATTGATCGCCAAGCTTTCATTGACAAACATTTTAAACCCATCAAATCCCCATCTTTAAAGTCCAAATCCATTTACATAGCCGGGCCAAGTTGTTTTTCAGAAGTTGGACAGTTCCCAAGTTGACCCGCTTCCACCTTCAAACCACCATTCATACCCCTTGTTTTCCTGCGAAAATCGTTGCGTTTCACGGATTTTATTTTGATTTTATCCATCACTCATGTCTGTATGGGGCAATTTCCAAGAGCAAACTGCAAACCCATACGTAAGCATCTCCAGAAATGAGCAGCGATGTTGATAAACCTGAACTGCCTGATGGTTTTAACAACCCTGGCCTACGTCATATTGCATCATCATCATCCCGTGTGGATCGAACAATGACAATACTTGGCAGCCTTGGCATGTTGAATAATGTGGCAAACCTAATGCCATAAACCATCCCCAAAAATCACCATTGAAATATATTTAAATGAGTGGTACAGTAGAAAACCATCCCCAGTCATGGTAGTTGCTGCCAGCCTTTCCCTTTATCTTTCCCACATCAAAGTTGTAGCTGATCATATGTTCCATCCCCAGGATATCCCATTGAAACCAGCAATGTTGGTGGTCCCCCAGGTCCCCACCCGGACCTAACCCCGAGTGCTGTCAGCATGCCCAACGTCCTCCAAACAAAGCTTGCAGGTTCGCATGAAGCGGCGCACCGTGGGCGGCTTCATGGCCTGGAAGATCTGGAAGGCGCTGGGAAGATACGTTTTTTTTTAGACGGACCAGAAAAAACACGGGCATTGATATATATATATATCCATCTATCTATCTATCTATCTATCTATCTATCTATCTCTCTCTCGCTCTCTCTCTCTCCCTCTCTATCTATCTATCTAATCTAATCCAATCAAATCCAATCTAATCCAATCTAATCCAATCTACTCCAATCTAATCCTATCACATATATGTATCTATCTATCTATCTATCTAGCTATCTATCGATCGATCGATCGATCTATCTAACTAACTAACTAACTAATCTATCTATCTATTTATCTATCAATCTATCTATCAATCAATCAATCTATCTATCTAATCTGTCTATCTATCTATCTATCTATCGATCTATCGATCTATCGATCTATCGATCTATCGATCTATCTATCTCTCTCTCTCGCTCTCTCTCTCTCCCTCTCTATCTATCTATCTAATCTAATCTAATCCAATCAAATCCAATCTAATCCAATCTAATCCAATCTACTCCAATCTACTCCAATCTAATCCTATCACATATATCTATCTATCTATCTATCTATCTAGCTATCTATCGATCGATCGATCGATCTATCTAACTAACTAACTAATCTATCTATCTATTTATCTATCAATCTATCTATCAATCAATCAATCTATCTATCTAATCTGTCTATCTATCTATCTATCTATCGATCTATCGATCTATCGATCTATCGATCTATCTATCTCTCTCTCTCGCTCTCTCTCTCTCCCTCTCTATCTATCTATCTAATCTAATCTAATCCAATCAAATCCAATCTAATCCAATCTACTCCAATCTACTCCAATCTACTCCAATGTAATCCTATCACATATATCTATCTATCTATCTATCTATCTATCTATCTATCTATCGATCTATCGATCTATCAATCTATCGATCTATCGATCTATCGATCTATCTATCTAGCTAGCTACCTACCTACCTACCTATCTATCTATCTATCATTCTATCTATTCTATCTATTCTATCTATTCTATCTATTCTATCTATTCTATCTATTCTATCTATTCTATCTAGTCTATCTATTCTATCTATCTATCTATCTACCTATCTATCTACCTATCTATCTCTCTATCTATCTACCTATCTATCTACCTATCTATCTCTCTATCTATCTATTTATTTATCTATCTATCTATCTATCTATCTATCTATCTATCTATCTATCTAATCTATCTAATCTATCTATCTAATCTATCTAATCTATCGAATCTATCTAATCTATCTAACCTATCTAACCTATCTAATCTATCTAATCTATCTAATCTATCTAATCTAACTAATCTATTTAGTCTATCTGATCTATCTGATCTATCTGATCTATCTGATCTATCTGATCTATCTAATCTATCTAATCTATCTAATCTATCTAATCTATCTAATCTATCTAATCTATCTATCTATCTATCTATCTATCTATCTTATCTAGTTTATCTATATTATCTAATATATCTCGTCTATCTAATCTATCTAATCTATCTAATATATATATATATATAATCTATCTAGTCTATATAATCTATATAATCTATATATCTGATCTATCTGATCTATCTTATCTATCTTATCTATCTTATCTACCTTATCTATCTTATCTATCTTATCTATTTTATCTATCTTATCTATCTTATCTATCTTATCTATTTTATCTATCTTATCTATCTTATCTATCTTATCTATCTATCTATCTATCTATCTGTCTGTCTGTCTGTCTGTCTATCTGTCTATCTGTCTATCTGTCTATCTGTCTATCTGTCTATCTGTCTATCTGTCTATCTGTCTATCTGTCTATCTATCTATCTATCTATCTATCTATCTAATGGCACTATATATCTATCTATCTATCTATCTAATCTAATCTAATCCTAATCTAATCTAATCTAACTATCTATCTATCTACCTATCTATCTATCTACATAATATTATATATATATATTGTAATCCCAAAAAAAGATGCCGAAATGTGAAGTCTCACTATTTCATTGAGGGGATGTTTTTTTGATGTCACCAATTTTGATGGGAACTTGGAGGGTCTAAATAGATAGCAACCCCCTAAAATATAGAACAGGTGAAGCTTAAACACTATTGAGATTGGGACGGGTGTATAGTAACATCCCATGCGGAAAAGGATGAATGTGTGAGGATTTCCTGCACAAGGAAAATTTATGTTCAATTCACTGGAACTGGCGATGACTTGTGGGAATGCGAGAGAAACGTCTTTTTTGGCTGATCCAAACGAGATATAACTCGCAAAACGATTCAGCAAAGGTTCAATGTGAGACTACATCTGGATTGGGATGTCCGACTTTTCTGCATCTTGGTTGGGGGTGCTAGAGATATATGATGATACGTGATGACATACGATGTATATTTATATCATATATATACATATAAATTTGTATGTTCATCAAACTTGGGATTGAATACATTGATTTATGGCAATTAACTACCCCCCAAAAAAAAAGTGCATATTCGAATTCCAATGACGATACATGACAATCATGAAGCCATCTACAGTACTAAAGAATAGGCTTGGCACTTTGTTGCTGGCCATTTGTTGCCCTTAGTTGAAGCAGTGATCAAGATACCGTGCATTGATCATGTGGGTACCAAAATTACCCCCATGTTGGTTTCAATCCCAAGGTCTATCAAGCAACGGAGCCTCATCGAGTGAGTAAGCTTTCGGAAACTGCAGCTGGACGCTACGTGTGAACGCCTCACGCAGCGCCCATGGCAGGAATCTTTATGGGTCTTTTTGCAAACATGGCCAGATTTCATAGCAAAACATGGAGAAGTCAAGCATAATGGCGTTTGCATTGAAACTGCCAAGAAAATTGGAGTCCTACAACCTCTTGTAACGAGAACCTCTTGTAACGAGAATTGCTTGATTTTGTTGGGAGAAAAATACACAACGAAAAGGACAGGACATCAGGACACCCAGGGATTTCCCCCAACTGGGGCCTTCAGAAGGTTAATGGCCCTCTTCTGCAAGGGTCCTGTTTGAATAAAGCCTGGCACCGGGTCCGGGTGCTGCGGGTCCCTTTATTAGGCATCAGGACCGAAAGACCCCCAAGTTGTGAATGAAGAAATGCTGAGGTTTCGGATGTTTTGGATCTTGGCCTCAGACATGAATGACATGGGTTATGACCATCCGCTCTTGGAGGTTTCGGCCGTTTTTAGATGCCTGATGTTTTGGACGTGTCTGATGTGTTTTTTCCGGGTGTTCTGACTACCTATAGGTTACCGAAAAAAACATCACCAGCCCGAATAGTTCTTCCGCGTTGGGATAGTTACGCCAATCCAATTCCCATCATTCCGGTGACATCATCCACGTCACAATGGGTCAAAGTAGATCTGTATAGATATGAACATCTTGAAGATACAAGTATATAGCATAGACCCCAACAGGTATGGATATAGAAACCCACGTGCCAATGTATCTGTGTATGCATGTACATATAATAATATTAATAATAATAATAATAGTAGTAATGATAATAATAATAATGTATGCAAATGCCACCAAATATCTTTCTACACCTGCCGATTTGTCGGGCAACGGTTTTCTCAGGAACGATCCAGTGCAAGATCGGATTCCATAAATGTAGCAACGTGATACAGCTTTGGGATAGACTTGGAACCTTCATGAATTGAAAGTTCAATACCTTAAATCTTACCATTCCCTGTGCCAACGTCACAAGTCCTTTCTGTAGGCTTAGCGTAAAACAGGAAACAACTGCCGCAACCACAGACCATCCTGGTTGCCTCCTTTTTGCCAAAAAATTACACGGCATCTGCCGATACCTGCCGCGCCTAGGTTCCAAGGGTTGGGACCGATCACGTTAAACATATGCCTGGGCAGGCCAGGAAATCACCAGCGTACGGAGCTCCTGCATTTTTTCCCTTAAGCCAACTCTGATTTTGTTGGGTTCCTTCATGTTGAGTAACTCTGCAGACAAGACTGGCCCAAAAGATGAGACCCTGGGATGTTCCTTTCCGTTTTTGATTGTTTTCTCCAAGTTTTTGGGAACTGGGATGGAATGTCCATCCCCCAAGTCTTTCTCAGATCAGTGCAATCGCTGCCCTGCAAGGTGTCAGGCTTCCAAATCATAGCCCCAAACACGGCAACTCCAATGATCTTCCAACTCCAATGGCCAGTTCGACCTGCGTTTTGAAGAAAAACTGCCTTTATCTTTGGCGTGGTTGCTGGGTCAATCTGAAAAATCTGAAGTCCATCTGGGAGCCAGGTTGCTCCTCCGCATCTTGCCTGAAATCCTTGGCGCGAAGAAGCAGATGGATCAAAAACTCGACCTCCGGAGGGGCTTTTTTTTTCAGAGGGAAATTGCTCAAATATCAACCCATAAGCTCCCAAAAAGAGTTCGGATGATTCTAGAATGTCCATTTTCCCTGTACAATCCCAATGTTCTCTATGGGTTTCATGCAGAATGACCAGCGTTTCATATTGGAAATCATAGGGTTTCAACAGTGCCCATGTGAGCAGTGTGAATTGAATCCCTCTGTCATTCCACCTCTGGTTGGTTAATGGGGATTCCTCTATTGGATTATCATAATCTGCTGGTTGCTTAATGGGGATTCCTCTATTGGATTATCATACCAATGGGAATTTCAGGATCCTAAAATGGAGGTACTGTACCATATAAGGTCATATTTTGTGGGGATATTCCCTTACAAGTACATAGGCCATTGATCATAATCCCCAAGAAAAATTGGGTAAAACGTTCCTCCGAGCGTCATGCAGGAGATCTTCGAATTGTCGCACCAGCTCAGGGATGTCCATGACACGTTTGGCTGAGCCGAGTTGCGGGATGTTGGGAAGCCCGGGGTTTTACCACGGGATGTTCTTAGTTTTTAAGATTTAAGGGGATAACCCAGGGAAACCATCTAGAAATGATCTATAAATACTTTATTATACATTGTAGGTTTCCTTAGTTTTTGAGGGGAAAAGCCAGGAAACCATGAGTTTTAATGGGGGTATCAGGAGGATATAATCGAATACTATTTCATGGGCTAGTAATGGAGTATTGGTTCATACCCTCTCGCGATTTGTTGCAGTTTGCTACGGTATAGATGGCCCATTTAGTTCTATGACTTACGCCCATAGCTACATTAAATTACCAGAGGGTAATTAATCTGTGATGCGCTTGTAACCCCGAAACATTAGCTGAATATGGGATATGGTGGGAAAATGAATGTCAATAATGAAATGTAGCACTCGTGGCTAGTGGGAAGCTAGCTTGATTTGGATCATCCAGGTAACCCTCTGCACGGCCCTTGTTTAGTCAGAAAATGGACAAACATGAAGCCCAGTAATATAAACCATCCACAATTGGGGTTGATGATTGGGTGACGTTACTGGGGTGGTTTATGATTGGGCTTATCACATGGCTGCAAGAAATTGCAAAAACAGAGTCATGGGACAGCCTACCGTCTACCAGTTTCCCAAAGAGATCTATTTTGGGAACAAAGTGCTGCTCAAAAGCCATCCCCTTCTATCTTCTGTCCAGCGCCATTACAACCACACCTCAGACACACGCCTGAAAACTGACCAGGAACACTAAACAGGGATTGATTTTGATGGTCCTTTTGGATCCTTTTGAAAGTTGGATGTTCCCTATATTTCCTCAGTTCCACCATGTTTTCTCGACATCCTCAGGGCTAAGCAGCTAGAGGGTGTCTTGCTTGAAGCTGAGTCCTCATTCATGTCCGACCTAGGCCGGAAGAAGCCCCTGTCAACGGCTGCACCCGGCGCACCCGGAACTTCACCAAAAAGAACAGATTTCGAACCTTTAGGAACAAGGTGAAAGTCTAAAATGTGTAAGATGTGTTCATGCACCATGGAAAAATATTGAAAACGAGAAGAGTGAAGCAGCAAACCTCAAATCATATGACTTTTGGGCACCAATCTGCCCAGCCCTTTCTCCTTTCGGTCGCCGGGTCACGCGTCGCTGACGTTCTGCAATCGCTTGGGCAGCAGGGGGGACGCCTTAGAAGGTGTCACCTGCAGGCGCGGAAGGGCGGAGGTGTTGCTCATTGTTACAACCCATAATGGGAATATGTATCATATTTATCAACCAACCAATAGAATATCATAGCATGGGGTATGGTTCGTTAGAGTCCTTATGATTTTACCATTGAAGAATGTAGAATATAGGGCTGTCCTCTAAATGTTCATCCAATTCGAGGATTTTTTTGCCTGAAAGATGTGCATAATGTGTAGTGTTTCCAGAAGCCCCCGCTGTCTGCAGATGATATTCCCAGGGGAATTCAGTGGCCATGTTCATTTTTTGCAAGGTCAGGTATCGCAGGGTATCAAGCCTGATGCAACCAGATGTTTAGTGCAAAATCATGTAAACATGGAACCTCCCAAAAAATACCTTGGACAATGATCCTGCTTCTAACTAAACCACATATTTGGCCAAAGCCACACTTGATAAGTACCTGTCAAAATTCCTGGAGGTATCTACACTAGACAGAATACTCTGGGAGAGTTGACCCTGCAGGAGCTCCAGCGTCTGATCTCTCCTCTCTTTTGAACAACAACAAATATGCATATGCTATATATATATATCTATTTATTTGTTTATCTATTTTTGTTTTTTCGATTTATTTATGTATTAAAACAAATAATTACCAAGAAGTCGTGATCAGCCAGGTTCACTAGAAAATTCATCTTCCAGGGGGTCAGCAACTGAAGAAAATCGCTGTTTCCAGCACCTGGTGACCTGGTACCCTTTCCACCTGGTGAGCCATCCCAACCTCCTTGAGTGGCTGCCTCCTTTGCAAACCTCTGAGGAGCACTCTGACTTTACATGACTTTACATGTAATATCAGCATGTTCCATGGGCAATTCATCGACAAATTAGTTGTTCAATGTTTTTTTTTGTCAAAAATTGGGGCTCTCCTCCATGTGCAGGTCCCCCAAATAGGTCGTCTTCCAGCAGTCCTCAGGCCCCGGTGCACCTTGCCGGCCTTGCCGACTTGCAAGGACGCCACGCCCACGGCATTGCTAGGAAGCACCTGAGTCGCCCGCTCTGAAAGCATTTCGCCTTTTTCCAGCCAAAAGATCCAACAGTTGGGGACCCTTTTTTACAGGCTCCAACAGTTGGGGACCCTTTTTTACAGGCCAGTTGTTTGGCCAACTAATTTTCGGTGGATACAAAACCACCTGGAATACAGTAATTGCCTAGTCACTGGAGTAAACTCCCTGAATCACTACTGTATATATAGACTATATATATACCACACAATACCAGTGGCGATTCCTAAAATGCACCCGCTTGCAACCAATTTAGTATACTCATATCAGGGACTTCAGGGGTCACCCCTGTGACTTGGGATTTGTGGGCACCGTAAACTAACGTAGATGTGGAAAACCCATGGCTTCTATAGCAAAATATAGGACAATGATCTATATAAAAATGAAGGTTTTCTTCCTCGATGTTAGTTTACCCATAGGGCACCACTGAACTACGCGGAATGGCACCCCCCCTAGTTAATGGATCTTGCAGGGGAGGTCGCCATCGCAAGGCGCAAGGCACTAACCCAGATATGGCTCTGCGGGGATCCTCCTCAATGAAGGATGCGGAGCGATATCTTTCCTCGAGGCGCTGATGAAACACGACGCCCATCGAGGAACCAAGGGGTTGATACAACGAAGATGATACAAGACCATAAATAGAAAGTCCAAACATGTTTTTCTGATATACAAGTATATTATATATATATATTTGTATATGTTTGATATGATTTTGGAAGGTCAAAATAGTGAAGCTTCCAATTTCGAGTTGCATGCCTCTCTGCTTAGTGCATGGCCAAGATTGGCCAAGCATCAAATTCTCACAGCTGGAAGCATTGCAAAAGCTCGCAATTTCTTGAACGATGAAAAAATATGGAAACCATCAAATCCTGAAAGCAATCCAAGAATGCTGACGATACAGACTGCATGACCGATTTCCATCATACATTCCCCGCTTTTAATTACGGATCTTTCCATAGGACCCCTTTTTGGTTCCCCACAAGTTGATGATTTTCCACCTGGAAACTTGGGCTAAAAGCTAGCCCTAAAAACACCACCAGCCATTGGTGTGCAACGAAGCGAGGCAACCGGTGGCAATCCAAAATACATTTTTCCGTCGCTTGCCCTGCTTCCACAGTAATCTTGCTCGTTGTTTTTTTTCCCGGATTTCAACAGTCAAAGATAGTCAAAGTGTAGGTCTATTATATATGACATTCTTATATATATATATATATATTGCTCATGCTCACGCTACCTGGTGGTATGTTTTTATCCATAAAGGTATACCATTGGTGGTTGGGATAACTATTCCTGTACCAGAGGTGCAGCAGGTAATGCAATACGTATAGCCAATGCCAGAACATGTCGCCCGTTCCTTTCGTTCCTTTCGCCAAGTCGCATCAAACGATTGCGCGGTGCGATCTGATCGCTCCGCAGGCGGGCGACCGGGACGATCTGATGCTGGACTCGACATGGCGCATAGCGGCCCCCACGAGAAAATCGAAGAGCTGTGGAAGATGATTTTGTAGATGTCATTGGACTCATTGGATTGGTTCAAGAGAAAATTGAAACTGGAAACCCCCATTACCCAAAAAAAACATATTGTTTTCATGTTTTTTCTTATCTTGGCTATAGGCTTTAGATCTTTCAGATTTTGTGAGTGGCTCATGAGCGCGCCATGTTGCCACTTCATTCTAAGAGAGGGGCATAAGAATGGGCAATAGCACCACAAATTTGTTGTATGGAGCCATGCATGAGAATATCTGGGCTGAACGCGTTTTGAATGCGAAACACCGGCTTCTCATCTTGACATCTCACAACAATTGATTTGGGGTGTCCTTCCAACCCACAATGGAGCGTTCATCCAAGGTATCTCCTAAGCTTTCAGCCAAATGAATCCATCGGGCAGAACGAGTCCGGGACTGACTGGGACTGACGCATGGTGGTAAGCCCAACTTTTTCGCAAGTTGCAAGATCTTAAACCTCTTTAATACCCAGCAACCTAGTCTGCAAGTGCCAAAAAAACATGCGAACTGATTAGATAGTCCAACAGAATCTGAAGAAAATATGTTTGTTAAAAAAAAACAACTATATAATGAAACTCAAAGACGCCGGCTCAACCCGAAAATTCGCGCGACTTTGGATCTTTTCACGCACTGCCCAGCGGCGCCATCTTCGCTCCACCCAAAGGTGAAGAGTAGGTGGATGCCCCGTTGGAGGAACCCCGATTTCCAGCCAGGGCCTACCCATTCGGCCTTCAACCTCGGCTGATGTCCCAACTGAAGCTCCATTGTGGGATCTACATGGATCTACGCAGCTGGTGGTTGATGACGATGACCGGATGGTTTATCTGGATGTTCTCATGATTTCTCATGGAGGATTCTCCAGCTAGCTATGGTTGATTTCTCCAGCTATGGTTGATTACTGGAGGCTACGAATTTGCTGCTGCTGACTGAGATTCACCGCTTCGGGCCGGACCACTGGCGATGATTTTCCAGCTGGATATGGCCAAGTTCAATGGAAAGCTCAGCCCCAAATCCTCGTCCCATTGATAACTAGCACAACACCACTAACACTATCCGAATCCAGTTACCACATGCCACTAGTTAGCACGAAATTATGAGTCATATCCCACCAAGCTGGTTCTTTACCTTTCTGGGGTCGATCCTTCAGTTTGGCGGGTTCATCTTCCCAAGTCCAAGCCCCAGAAACCAACCAGCAAAATGTAGGGCCACTTCCCAACCAGTTCACAGTAGTTAACTAATCCCATGGCCCCCTGCTTCACTGGGAGCACAGATGGGCACACTGCACCAAGGCACTCATCCTGCCACAGCACTGCCCTGTTGGCCGCATAAGCCACCCGCGCTACAGGCGCATCGCGACCCGTCGCGTTGCGCGGCAGCAACTGCAACGCACCCGCAGCGCTTCCGTTTAGGGCGCTGGTGGGAACCAACCAAAGCAGCCTGGGAGAACAGGAGGTGGCAGATTTTCTAGAAATGTCACAGGGGTTTTATAACCCAGAATCCATGAGTATTATGTGGTATAACTATAAAACACTTGAGAGGGGGAACACGAAAGGTAGGTAAGCAAGAAAGGAACCGAAGAAAAAATGAAGGGGAGAGGGGAGGGAAAAATACATAATAAAGTGGAGTCTGGTAAAAGCGACGCGGCCATTTTCTTTCCAAAAATATGAAGGGGAGTCTGGTAAAAGCGACTGAAAGGCTTCGGCGATGTGGTTGGGGTTGGTGGTGGTTGTGGTGTTGGTGGTGTTGGTGGTGCTGGTGGTGTTGGTGTTGTTGGTGTTGTTGGTATTGGTGTTGTTGGTGTTGTTGGTGGTGGTAGTGTTTCTGGTGTTGTTAGTGTTGTTAGTGTTGTTGGTGTGGTTGGGTTTGTTGGTGGTGTTGGTGTTGTTGGTCGTGTTGTTGGTCGTGTTTTTGGTGTTGGTATTGTTCGTGTTCGTGTTGTTGTTGTTGTTGTTGTTGTTGTTGTTGTTGTTGTTGTGTGTTGTTGTGTGTTGTTGTGTGTTGTTGTGTGTTGTTGTGTGTTGTTGTGTGTTGTTGTGTGTTGTTGTGTGTTGTTGTGTGTTGTTGTGTGTTGTTGTGTGTTGTTGTGTGTTGTTGTGTGTGTTGTTGTGTGTGTTGTTGTGTGTGTTGTTGTGTGTTGTTGTGTGTTGTTGTGTGTGTTGTTGTGTGTTGTTGTGTGTTGTTGTGTGTTGTTGTGTGTTGTTGTGTGTTGTTGTGTGTTGTTGTGTGTTGTTGTGTGTTGTTGTGTGTTTTTGTGTGTTGTTGTGTGTTGTTGTGTGTTGTTGTGTGTTGTTGTGTGTTGTTGTGTGTTGTTGTGTGTTGTTGTGTGTTGTTGTGTGTGTGTTGTTGTGTGTTGTGGTGTGTTGTTGTGTGTTGTTTGTGTTGTTGTGTGTGTTGTTGTGTGTTGTTGTGTGTTGTTGTGTGTTGTTGTGTGTGTTGTGGTGTGTTGTGGTGTGTTGTTGTGTGTTGTTTGTGTTGTTGTGTGTTGTTGTGTGTTGTTGTGTGTTGTTGTGTGTTGTTGTGTGTTGTTGTTGCGTTGTTGCGTTGTTGTGTGTTGCGTGTGTTGTTGTGTGTCGTTGTGTGTTGTGGTGTGTTGTTGTGTGTTGTTGTGTGTGTGTGTTGTTGTGTGTGGTTGTGTGTGTGTTGTTGTGTGTTGTTGTGTGTTGTTGTGTGTGTTGTGTGTGTTGTGTGTGTTGTGTGTGGTTGTGTGTGTTGTGTGTGTTGTGTGTGTTGTGTGTGTGTTGTGTGTTTTGTGTGTTGTGTGTTGTGCGTTGTGCGTTGTGCGTTGTGCATTGTGCGTTGTGCGTTGTGCATTGTGCATTGTGCGTTGTGTGTTGGTGTTGTTGTTGTTGTTGTTGTTGTCGTCGTTGTTGTTGTTGCTGTTGCTGTTGGTGTTGTTGTTGTTGGTGTTGGTGTTGGTGTTACCCCTGCAGCGTTTTTGCTCGGTTCCGTAGTGGCCGAAAATCGTCAAATCGGTGGTGTTTTCGCGTGTTTTTGCAACTCTCGGAGCAAAAAAACCCGTAAATACCGATGTTTTTGGCGGGCCGGAAGCCCAAAACCACAGTATTTACGATGTTTTTTGCCTCTGGTAGTAAAAAGCACGGTATTTACAGTGTTTTTTGGCCAGCACCTGGCAAAAACACTGGTATTTACGGAGGTTTCACCATGTAGCAAAATGTGGTTTCTTGATCCGAAAAGAACAAAAATACTGTAAATTACAATGTTTTGAGTCTGCTCTTAGGGTGCGTGGGAGGTGTGGAGGGGGGGGTGGGGAGGGGGGGTACTAAAATGACTAGCAATCTCCTGAAGAATCAGGTAACGGGGCTGGCTGCCCTCCCCTTTACTTCGTAAAGTAAAACTCAAGGTAGCCCCTCTGGAGCTACCTTTCGTGACATGTAGCCATCAAAACTCCGGTTAACAATGGATGTTTCGTTCGCTAAGTATGTGTACAAGTAGGTGAACTAGGATTTATCATTTATGACATTTTATGACTATATTTGAGAGATCAAATCATGGCCAACTCTTGGGTAGCCAGCAACATGATATAAACTTGTTTGGCTGGTTTGGTCAGCTAAAGAGCTGGTTTGGGGGGGTACAATTGTAGTGAATCTTATGGGCATAACTTGGTCATAAGCCAAAAGAGCTGAGATATAAGGGTTCCTGTAATTATGGGCATTTACCCACTTAAGCCCAAAGAGACACAACTAAACACCCTTTAAAAAAACGCGAATACCGGGTTTGGAAAAAATATAACAGAACATGTTTTGAACATATCTAAGAGTCTAAGAACAAATATGTCATGTGGAAAAAAAACAATCAAGAAAAGAAACGACAAACACATTACATAAATGGCAATTTTCCAATTTGCAAACTGTAAAAGAAATGCCACAGGGTAAAATTTAACATTGAGAAACAAATACATGAAGAAACAAGACATTACCCTCCGGTAATCAAACAAGGCAAACGGAGAACGGAGAAATGGGAAATCAGAACTTAGTCCTGCAGGTGTAGTTCTGGCAGATCAACTACTATAAAATGTTATAAATGGGAGCTATTCAATATTCCAGCCAGTCACAATTGATTACCAAAAGGTACTGTCAACTGTCAACACCAACTTGGATTTTCTTAAGGAACACCCAAAAAATAAAACATAGCCCCTTTAGACTCCCCACATTGCGTGGATTTCCCATTGGGAAAGTAAAAAACCATCGACGTAGCCGTAGCAAATCCAGGTGAGCCAAGTAGTGGATTTCCCCCTAGTTATGCGTGATTTCAGATCTCATAAATTCCATGTTCTCCGACGATTTCATAATGGTTATGTCCTGTCAGCAACAGGGCACTTGGACGATCATGCTATTGGTGACTATATTCCACATTTATAAATATGTATTGAGGATTTTCCCAGTTTGAAAGGGGATAATTACTGTCAGCACCAAGCAACTCAAGCAACCCATTAAATCTTTCCACTATATCTTAGCTATGGGTCATTTTGGGTCCCATGAGCCCATAATATCCATGTGTTTTCCCAACTACTGTATATTTTATAGTGGTTATGCCCTGTAAACACCAAACAATAGTAATAGTCCTTGTCATTTTTTTTCCCAAGATGCATGGATTTCCGAACAAAGAAATGTCAGCAACTCCAGTTGCTATCAGATGGTTTGGCTTCATCCCAGATGGTGGCTAGACCCTCCAAACCACTGGATAGTTTACCAACTTAATTACCAAGCAACAGGTTCAGTTTCCCCTGCGGCCCCAACTCCGGTTTCTCCATCTCCGGCCGCTGCAGCGCGGAGTTGTCCGCCTTCCAGGCGCGAACGCTGCGCAGCGGCTGCGTCCCGGCAGAGCGGGGCAGGGCGTGTCCTCCGTGCAGCCGTGAAATAACGGTGGTGAGTTATGGTGGTGAGTCATGGTGGTTAACTATATCTCCATCTGCTTAATTTATAATATTTAAATCAATGGGAATTCCAGGATCCTAAAATGGAGGTACTGTACCATATAAGGCCATATTTTGGGTGTATATTCCCTTACATAGGCCTTATATAGGCCTTATATATGGTAGGTACCTCCATTTTAGGATCCTGAAATGGCCATTGATTAGATTAGATTGTTATAAATTTATAAACATAAATTAACCCGTTATAACAAGTGATAATGATAGCCGTTAATGCTGGTTCTCCGATGATTTTCATGGATATGTCCTGGGTGAAGAATGGTGGTTGAGATCATGGATGCCAGATAGAATGCCAGAATATATGTCAGATAAAATGTCAGATAGAATGCCAAATAGAATGTCAACATGTATGTCAGAACGTATGTCAGGTAGCAAGTCGCTTGGTGGGGATCACTCAAAGAAAGTAATTGTGTATGGAATAGCCCGTCATATAAGGGCTTTATTCACCAGGGTTGCCAACAACTTACTAAAGATTATATAACTAAATTATTAACGCAAACGAAGTAATTGGGATGATTGCAATAGGGTTGTTAACCAAACAATGTGGTAAACTCAATAGTAAACAATTCCCACCAGAGGAATTGTGTGAAATTCGCTAGCTATACTCCTATGCCTGGGATGATGGAACTTTGGTTACTGACCCGTTGGGTGATATAAGATGATATAACCATTAATATAACCCAATTTGACTTCTGTGTCCATTTCAAAGTGGAACTGCACTTTCAAAGATCCTATAAATCCTATAGTTATATATGTAACATGTATATATATATATATACAGTTCTGTGTCCACTAACTGGATCTTCCAAGATCTTCCAAGTCCGAATTTTTCACAAAAAAAATCAACTCAGGTGACTTGATCCACCAAGCTTCGAATCCCATCCACCAGCTGCGCCAGCAACGGTGACGCCAGCCCGTCTTCCAGCAGCGCCAGCAAGTGGTATCCGCTGCGCGGGTAGAAATAAAAGGTGGAGGCTTCCAGAAAACCTTGGGAAAATGTGGGGGAAATATCGGGTAAAAAATATGGAAGTATGGGGAACATGTGGTGGGATTAATTCAAACCGGTTTGTTTGTTCCCGGAAACAGTGGTAACCCTGGTAATCCTGGTGTTCACCTCCATAGGGGAAACTCTTGAACAGTGTGCCTTGGATCAATTCTCGGAATGTTGGGGAAAAAAAAAGGCAAGGGAAAAAATAAGACATCCTTCCACGAATTTCCAGTCAGAAATTTCCAGTTGGATGTGTCAGGGAAAATCATTGTTTCATAGTTGGAGCAGCAGGATGTTGAAGGGAAATATTTGGGGAAAGACTGAAAGTTTCTGGAAGTTGGCGCAAGGATTTCGAAACCCAATAAGGTTTAACACAAGAAACCTGTTTGAGGGACACGTCTACCGAATCGTTGAGGTTAGGAAATTCAGATCCCAAGGTGGTGCCCACTCCAGTTATGGAAGCTGTTTCAACCGCGAACTGCACCACCGCAGGCCCGGTGCCACCATGAAGCGTTTCAGGTGTCGCAAGGCTCTTGAAGAGAGGAATCGGTCACACACGGCCCGGCCGGTGCTTTCCTAAAGGCTGGTGACGGAGGTGATCGGAGAAGGAGAAGGAGTTCTGTAATCATACAATATTGGATGTGTATTATATATAATGGATCTATTCTATCTATCTATCTATCTATCTATCTATCTATCTATCTATCTTATCTATCTTATCTATCTTATCTATCTTATCTATCTTATCTATCTTATCTATCTTATCTATCTTATCTATCTTATCTATCTTATCTATCTTATCTATCTTATCTATCTTATCTATCTTATCTATCTTTTCTATCTTATCTATCTTTTCTATCTTATCTATCTTATCTATCTTATCTATCTTATCTATCTTATCTATCCAATCTATCTAATCTGTCTAATCTATCTTATCTATCTTATCTAACTTATCTATCTTATCTATCTTATCTATCGAATCTATCCAATCTATCTAATCTATCTAATCTATCTAATCTATCTAATCTATCTAATCTATCTAATCTATCTAATCTATCTAATCTACCTAATCTATCTAATCTATCTATCTATCTAATCTATCTAATCTATCTTATCTACCTTATCTATCTTATCTATCTTATCTATCTTATCTATCTTATCTATCTAATCTATCTAATCTATCTAATCTATCTAATCTATCTAATCTATCTAATCTATCTAATCTATCTAATCTATCTAATCTATCTAATCTATCTAATCTTCTAATCTATCTAATCTATCTAATCTATCTAATCTATCTAATCTATCTAATCTATCTAATCTATCTAATCTATCTAATCTATCTAATCTATCTAATTATCTAATCTATCTAATCTATCTAATCTATCTAATCTATCTAATCTATCTAATCTATCTAATCTATCTAATCTATCTAATCTATCTAATCTATCTAATCTATCTAATCTATCTAATCTATCTAATCTATCTAATCTATCTAATCTATCAAATCTATCAAATCTATCAAATCTATCAAATCTATCAAATCTATCTAATCTATCTAATCTATCTAATCTATCTAATCTATCTAATCTATCTAATCTATCTAATCTATCTAATCTATCTAATCTATCTAATCTATCTAATCTATCTAATCTATCGAATCTATCTAATCTATCTAATCTATCGAATCTATCTAATCTATCTAATCTATCTAATCTATCTAATCTATCTAATCTATCTAATCAATCTAATCTATCTAATCTATCTAATCTATCTAATCTATCTAATCTATCTAATCTATCTAATCTATCTAATCTATCTAATCTATCTAATCTATCTAATCTATCTTATCTATCTAATCTATCTAATCTATCTAATCTATCTAATCTATTTATCTATCTATCTATCTATCGAATCTATCTTATCTATCTAATCTATCTATCTATCTATCTTATCTATCTATCTATCTGTCTATCCATCTATCCATCTATCCATCTATCTGTCTATCCATCTATCCATCCATCTATCCATCTGTCCAGCTATCCAGCTATCCAGCTATCCAGCTATCCATCTATCCATCGATCCATCGATCCATCGATCCATCGATCCATCGATCTACTATCTATCTATCTATCTATCCATCTATCCATCTATCCATCTATCCATCTATCCATCTATCCATCTATCCATCTGTCCATCTGTCCATCTGTCCATCTATCCATCTGTCCATCTATCCATCTATCCATCTATCTATCGCCAGCAAGACTCCCATTGTTTCATGATTTTGATACATATTGATGGTTAAATATGGATAAATATTGTTCATACACCGCCATACACCATCCAAGGTCGTCCCAGCTGATTCAAATCCAGTCTCTTTGGGGTTAATTGCTGTAGAGGAAGGAGGAAGACCACTTGGATGTGCATCCCACTTAGGTGGTTCGTAACTTAACCCACATACTATAGCTATAACCCAGATACATGGGGAAAATTCATGGATATTCATGGATATTCCATGTGTGACTGGGACTTTAAAAACATCTACGTATTTCATGTTTTTACTACCCAGGTTTTCCCGGACATCGCCCGGGGCCTCGCCGAGCGACCAAACTGTCCTCCAAGCCCTTGAGCGCAGCTGCTTTGGCGCGCAGGGTTTTGCTTGGGACTTCCCTCCCGGCGGGGTCCCAGTAGACCTTGGAGCTTGGAAAATGGGGCCATCGTGGCAGCTGATGCTGCACTCTTTGACCATGAAAAAACGGAATCCGCACGTGGACCTTCACCATAGAGTCAAGTTCAAGTGCTAAGTATGAGGGGTATGAGCCCGTCTCTGGCTGGACTATCATTCTTTAACATCCGATGGCTCATTGATGTAGAGACGAGAGATACTCCAGCAGAAGTACCGGTATCCGTTGCATAGGATCATGGACCATGGACTTCAAAATCCAATCTCTACCGTGCTATTAATGAACTTTTGGCCGGCCAATGTTAGTATTAGGGGCTTCTTGCTGTCAATCCTAACTTACTATTTGCCCACAGTATAGACATTCCAATAGGGAAGATTAAGATAAACCAGTGGGTTTGGGGAACCCTACTTTCAAACAAACGCGCTTGTCCAAACAATTTGACGTTTGTATCCCCTAGGCCCTATTACTATTAATTATCTATTACTCTTGGGAGCTCTATGATGAGTTTGTTGCTCTTAGGGCCAAATACGCCAGCCAATCATCTAGATATTTGTGAAATATCGCATCTGCTCAATGCACATGGAAAATGCTTTCTTGCTCTGACATTCTTACATCACTTATTAAAACCCTCTTTAGGCCCCGATTCCAACCCGACTTCAGCCGGAGCAGCTGCTTTGTTGTTGGCTTTCTGCCACATTTTTCGTTCATTCGTCTCCTCGTTGAACGCCAATTCGAAGACCTGCGTATTTTGTGGGTTGGCCTCGGACAAAATGATCTTCAAACACTTATTATCCAGACCACGTTTGTTGTTCATACCCCCGGTGTTTACCTAACAAGGCACGTTTTCGCCAGGCTGTTCATTGAGACTCATCTCAGGTAGGGATTGAAACTGTAAAAGGACATCTTTGAAATCACCATGCAGATTTCTGCAGGAGGATTTCAGAATCAGTTCTGAATGGTCAAAATTCCAAGAAATCACAAGTTCTTCACTGTTGCATCACCTTACATCCTTATTTTTGCGGGGGGTATCAGCATCTTGGGCCTTGTCGGCTTACATTCCGCAGCTATCGCATAGAATCAACACACAAAAGCCTAGCCTGAACCCAGGTTCAGATTTCACATGTTTTTCAACACATCATGGTGCGCCTTGTCCGGATCGCTATGTTTCTGCTTCGCAGAATGGAAAATCCCTCGGAAAACCTTTTTCAACTCCGTGGTGACCTTGGCATCGGCGAACGATGACTAACAACGTTGGGTTGGCTTGCAAGTGGTTCATGTGCCTATTCAAAACATGGTGATGACACCTACCAAAAGTAGGAACTTGGGCGAAAACAGTTGAAATTGAAACAATACCATACCATACACACAAAATGAACATAAATCGGAATTAAGGGGTTTTAAACTACGGACGAAGACGGCGAAAACATGACAGGGTAGCAACAATCAATTTGGACAACTAGACAGGCAATGACGTTACCACCATCAGTAAACAAAACTGATCTACAACCCTTCTCAACAATGTCAACAAGCAAAACAACTCAGCTTTAGCAACTAACAGTTTGAGCATGTTTGAGCAAAACATGGCCATGTCGCTTCCCAATCAGCAATATCGGGTATATGGTAAGGGTCTCCTTAAAATGCCACTTCAACCAGTCCAAGATGCCTTCCCTTCCTGCTCCAGCCAAGTAAACCTCACCGGAACCCGGATGAGGTTTTGCAGATCTTGGAATGTGGGGATGAACTCTGGTGACCCTCTAATCCCTGGGAAATCACCAGCTCTGGTGGGGAAAAGTTGTGGAACATCCATGAAAATCCTGCATAGTCACGAGTAATCCATTGCCAGGTGGTATAGGTTGCCAAAAATATCCGGATCATGTCTGTTGCTCTTGGTAAACCACTTAACCCTATTGTTGGTGAGGGATCTTCCCAGTACTATCCCTCTACCAGCCGCCACAGCACATCTCGGCGTCATGGCGCAGTTTCCTGCAAGGACGCCACCCCTTGGGGTGTACGACTCTGGCTGATGCTTGAGCAAGCAACCCTCCCAAGAAACAAATTACATGGGGTGAATCCTCCCAGGCAGGAATGGAAAATACAAAAAAACAATACTTGAAGTTGGTCATGCCTTTCGCCTTCCCATTGGCGAAAAAAATGTCTCAGAGATCTCTGCAATTGACTGATTTGGTTCCAGAACATTAATGTTTAAATCCAAACAATTTGAAAGTGGCACAGTGGTATATAACTAGTGGTAAACCCAATGCGATAAACTATAATTACCCAATTGCGCCGGCTGGTATCAACCCTCTAAAAGGAGCTGCATGGCATGGAGCTTACCACAGTGACTATAATGTTGCTGGCTGCATATCCGATTAAATATATCCCATTGAAACTCTAGCACGTTCCATTGAGTAAATCCTAGGTATAGAGGTTGTATCGATGGTTCCACTGATATGCAGAATATACTATATAGATATGTTCTAATACGTTATTCCATTGTGTAAAACCCAGCGCTCCGTAAAATAATCCCTAGTATATTCCAGTACTTCATTGAATAAATCCTTGTATATTCCATTGATGACACCCCAGTTATATATATATAGACCCCATAGTACTCCATTGATTAATCCCTAGCATGTTACATTGAACAAACCCCATCGACAGCCGGTTTCTCTGCGCGCCGCCTCAGGGTCGTGAAGAAATCGCCCGCGCGCTTCCCTGGCTCTCGTGCTTCCCAGAAATGCCCTTCCAAGCAGCGCATGGCCGCAGCGGTGCCTGGACACCAGTCCACTTGGATATTGCTTGGGATGCTGAGCAAAAATCTTGGGGAGGATGCTAGCAAGAGGAGATATGACTGATAGAACATGATCGAACGTCGACATTTTTTAGAAAATTCCCCCAACAGTGTGGCCACACTGAGGGGTTCTTACGGTAACAAGTAAGGCCCGGTGTTTAGTCGAGGTGGTATCCGGGGCGTCCGGCATTTTCCCTGTATATAAATTTCCGTACAAAATGGCTCTTGTGAAATGTCCATGTGCATTTCGACTGCGCACCCTCGCACAAAATGCTGGCCGCAGGAATAGCGTCCGGCATTTTTCCTGTAAATTTACATCCAAAATGGCTCCTGTGAAATGTCCTCAACATCATCCTCCTCAACTTCATCATCTTCCTCCTCCTCCTCAACACCCATATCATCATCATCTTCCTCTCATCCCCATCCCCATCAGCATCATCATCGCCATAATCATCATCATCATCATCACCATCAGCATCATCATCACCATCATCATCACCATCATCATCATCACCATGACCATCATCATAATCATAACCATAATCATCACCATCCCCATCATCATCATCGTCATAATCAACATCATCATCATCATCATCACCATCATCATCATGATCATCATCATCCTCATCGTCGTCATCGGCATCGCCATCGCCATCACCGTCATCATCATCAACATCATCATCATCATCATCACCATCATCATCATCACCATCATCATCACCATTCCCATCCCCATCATCATCACCATCATCATCATCCTCATTGTCGTCATCGGCATCGGCATCGCCATCACCATCATCATCATCATCACCATCATCATCATCATCACCATCATCACCATCACCATCCCCATCCCCATCATCATCATCATCATCATCATCATCAGCAACATCATCATCAGCATCATCATCATCATCAGCAGCAGCAGCAGCATCGTCATCATCGTCATCATTGCATCGCCATCATCGTCATCGTCATCACCATCATCATCATCATCAGCATCATCATCATCACCATCATCACCATCATCATCATCAACATCATCATAAACATCACCATCATCAACAACATTATAATACATGATCTGTTTACTCTGCCCACACTGTTTGGGGTCTCTTGCCGGGATAATATTTTAAAATTTGTTTTATTTGCGGAGTTCAGTTCAGTTCCATCTTAGTCCTACAACATCCCAGAACCAACCGCAGAACACATCGAATGAAAACCCAATAAGTGACACACCTGGATATAAAGAAATAGGTCAAGGAACACACTATGGGGGCAAACAAAAACATAAAACTGGGCATATCATTCAATTGCCTGATGTCCTTCTGCTTTGCAAGAGGGGATACACCACAATGGCCAAATGAGAGTTGCCGTGGAAATGTGCTGCAGCTTCCCCGGAGTTATGTTTGCTCACAAACTTCACGATTTAGCTCACTGAAGCCCCACCGATTCCATCCGATTTCTGCGGTCCAGCCACGATTTTGTTCCAACTTCTCCCTGCACTCGGCTTCGATCTTCTCCCAGGCCCTGGCTGCAGCACCGCGGTTCGTCGTGGCGCAGCTTTCATCCGCGCAGGCCAACAGGGAGCCTGGCTGAAGAACGGGAGTTGATGGGAAATCTCGGGGTAGGACTCTGGGTAGAACTAAAGGTGCAGTTCTATTTTCAAAAATGGCAGCTGTTGTACTCATAGTATAGGATCCTAGAAGGTACATACTTTTAGCGGGACCATTTGAAATTGCTGGATTTTACAGGATTTACTGACAGATCCATGGGGTGCAAAATGATTGGGAAGTGGTGGTCTCGATAATTTCAAAGTCGAGGCAAGTGATGAAGATCTCTGGAAACTGCTGGGACGTTACTTTGTGTCTTTTTGTATCTTTTTCGATTCTCCAGGCGATTTTCAGAAGTCCATCTTGCACATTTCACCCAGGGGGTTTCCAATATTCCCAGGGCCTGAGTCCCACGACATCCCTGAAAGGAGCTGCGGGTGGCGCAAAGTTGTTGTTGTTGTTGATGATGATGATGATGATGCTGATGGTGATGATAGTGATGATAGTGATGGTGATGACGATGACGATGACGATGACAATGACGATGTTGATAATGATGGTGGTGATGATGAGTAACAATGATCGTAATGATGATCGTAATGATCATAGTAACGATGATAGTAATGATGATAGTAATGGTAATAGTAATGGTAATAGTAATGGCGATGGTGAGGGTGATGATGCAAATGCCTTTCACGAAACCCCTATGCAGCCCAGGTACTGGCCAAAAACAGCCAAGCATTGCGCAGCCATAGGGTGGCACATGTCATGGAGGCCGCACAACCGTTGAGGCGTCTATGGCTGAATCCGGTGTCCATCCCGATCTTGTGCTGCCGTGATGCGAAGGTTTGTTGATTTACAAAACGGATATGACATGAGATATATTAGATATATATATATATAATTTATATACATATATATATTGATTGATTGATTGATATACATTGATATATATTGAAATATAATGATATAAATATATATATATATTGATATATATATATATATATATTTGATATATATATATATATATATTTGATATATTATGTACTTACCTACAGGATCCTACAGTATTATATACAGTGTATATATATATAATCAATTTGATTACGCCAAGAACTCGAAACCACATAACCATGACTGACCATGATATGATATGATCTCCGCTACCTCGGACGCATGTCCAGAGCTGTGACTTGGTTTAGCAGTGGCAGCCTCATCCTTGAAGTTTTTGACCATTTTTGACCTATGGCGCCATTTCCAGAAAGAATTCGATGAAATGGATTGAAATGGATGAATGATGGTGAATGATGATGAAATATGATGAAATATGATGAATGTACATCATTGTATACTCAACATCACCAGGCAGTGTGCCCTGATCGCTCCTGACGTCCTAATTTTGACGCCTATAGCAACCGGGTTTCAGTCCGAATTGCTGTACCCTCTAGTAGCCTAATGTTTGGCAATGGAATATCATGCATGTACATGATGAACACAAGTTTGACTTGTCTCACTTCCATGTTGGCTTTCAGTGGTAGCTGGCTGGCGACAACTCCTGAAGTCTTCATTTCCACATGCACCATGCTCAAATATCATTAACTGCTCGGGCCACATGTGATGGACATAGCTTCAGTGATAAATCCATTGGAGCCGCTGGTTTCTATCCCGAATTATGATATTCCCAACTGACCAATGCAAATCCATCCGTTGTGGAGGGGGAATGTGTATGAATCGGATTGAATCCAAACGAGTCTGCGGCGCGGCCAGCATGCACTTCACTCGTAGAGCAATGCCCCGTTTTTGTGGTTCGTGGCGGCTGAATCAAACAACTTGAACAACCCCAAAACACGATGAGGTTCGCCAGAATTTGCACCCAAGCGTGTATAAACAAACCATATACTGTAACTCAACCACTTCATCAGGAAAACCATGTCAAACCCACTTGTCAGGGTCTATTTCTCCAGCCTTCTGTCCCTATCATAGGATCCATAATCCCCAAATGACCCTACCAGTCTTGTAGACTCTTGGTGAAAATCCCCGCTTCTGGGGAAGGAGATGTATTATATGGGCATGCAATTCAAAATCAAGCGTCTTTTCCTTGCAAATATTAAGCCATGGCAAAGTAACACAAGCTGAATACATCCCAACTCGTGCATGCATATTGCCCAACTGCATATTCAATATATATATATGTGTGTGTGTGTATGTGTGTGTGATATATATATATATACATGATAATACATAATGAATCACAATAATACATAGCATATATGAGTGGCGGAAAAAATACTTTCTACTCACGCAATGGCCATGGACAAAGTGGGTGGTCCCCTATCGGTTGTGAAGGTTTGTACTTCCATGCTATGTGTAAAAATAGCGTATCGTTAAGTGGGTGGTCCATTATCGGTTGTGAAGGTTTTCACACAAATTTGAACATCCCAAGTCCACTCCCTACTACTTCAGTCTTCCGCTAATTTTGTCGGTTACTCATATCACAGATAGAGAGAGAGAGAGAGAGAAGGATCGCACCCATCTTCACTGCCGAAAAAACCCGTTGACATCGCCCCTTTTGTGCCCGCTCCGTCGCTTCGTCGCTCCGCCCCCTTCGCCGTCGCTTCGGCTTCGGCTCCTGGGCCCTCCAGGGCCCCGTTGGCAGCTCCGGCGGCGGCGCGTCCAGGGGCTGCCAGCGGGTGTCGCAGGAGAGGCGGAAGGCGCGGGACCCGTTGGGCAACGTGCTATGCAGCAGGTCCATGCCGAAAATCGCCTGAAAAACATACGGAAAAACCGGGTGAAGGAGGAATTTGACATTTTTTATCAACCAAAAAAAATAATTTTTGAGGATCTTTGATTGAGAGAATGGGATATGAGATTGGAATTTTTGAAATGGGATCAAATGATATCTGACATTCGGGGGGTGCGCGCGCGCACACACACACATATACAGTATATAATGTGTATTTATATATATATATAAGACTGCAAGTTTCGGCGAAACATGAACCACTGAATACTACTGGATCTTTGGGAGGTAGCCGGTCTTCGGATTCAATGCTTTTATATATGATGATGACAAAGTAAAAGCGCGTTTCTGAGAGCTTGTCTTCAGACACCGTGCCTGGAGCTTTAACACTTAGTAAGCAGCAGCATCTGATCTCCCGAATCTGCTCCTGAAAATATGTCACCTATGGACATGTAACAACTTTCTGTAACTCTGCTCCCCGGCCTTCGATTTTGAGTCGAAGGAAATCTTACCCACTGAAGCTAGACTGCCTTCAATATCCTTCAATATTGACCTATACCCTGGCACATCCGACGGTTAATTTGAAAAAGGATTTAGAGGAGACCGCCAAAAACGTGCATGTCTGGACAATCTCTACTCTTGTTTTACTTGAATCAAAGACGTGAAAATCACTCAGTTTTGCTGTGATTTTACAAGCTCCCCTTATTTTCGAAACCTTCTTTTTTCTCAATGTGTATCTTACAACCTACCCCCAAGACTGGCTCTAGTGTGTTCCCTATATCTAATATCGACCATGCAATGATGCTGATGTTCCCCTGTCGTTCCCAGTAATTTGGCCAAGTCAATGTGTAAAAATGTGTTGGGGAAACTATATCAATACCCTCCCGTAAACCAACATAGCTATTGAAAATGACCATTTATAGTGGATTTACCCATCAAAAATGGTGATTTTCCATAGCTATGTTAGTTTACCAGAGGGTAACCCCTGGCCTTTTTTACCTCAAGGGTATCTTTTTTACAGTTTTCCTCCAAACAACCTCAAAGCAATTCTATTCTAGTGCTCAATAATCACTTTTTCAGAAACCCATGCAAACTGCTAAACGAGATAAGTCCAATTGCAGGTGGGAAACTCTTAGTTCCTCCTTCAATTCCCATATTGAGAATATGTAGAAGCATCCATACCCATAGCTCCTAATCACTCCCTCTGTTCACCGGACAGGTCAAACGGAAAACTTCTGAACTAAATTAACTCAACCTTAAGTTAGGTAGATTTTGCTTGGTGGTACCCTCTGGCAATCGAACATAGCAATGGGAAACCCCATGCAAAAAAGTTGTTTTCATGGGAAAATTGTCGCACTAAATGGCCCATTCTCCCAGAGAAAACGGTTAAATTACCAGGGGAGAAAACAACGAAATGAACTGAAAAAGTCAACCTCAAGTTTATAGCTAGATTTTTTGGTGATCAATCCATCTTATCCATTGTTCCCCCATGTTTTCCATGGTTTCCTCCAAGGCACCACATCCCCTTCCGCAAAATGGGCGCTCTCCCATCGACAATCCTCGGGCAGCTGCAGGGCCGCCGGATCCGCCGCTAACCAACCACTCCTGCATGGGAAACGTGGGAAAACCTGTTTTGTTTTTTGCGAATCAAAGATTTTTGGTGAATCGAAGATGGCCCATAGAAATATGGTTTACCTATTAAAAATGGTGATTTTCTATAGTCATTACCGGTAACTATATGATGATATATCATCATTTACCCTCTGGTAAACTAACAGAACCATGGAAAACCATGAAAGAAACACAATTTTCTACGGGTAAATCAACGACCTAAATGACCATCTTCAAGAGCTATGTTGAATTACCAAATGGTAGATACATTTGATTCCATTTTCTATAGATGACTGTCATTTTGGTGAAAAAATGTTCCGTTATACTCAGTGATTTCCACTGATGTCCATTGATTTTCATTGATATTCATTGGTCTTCATTGGTAAATTCGGGATTTCCAGTTAGCCATAAACAAAAGGCAACTGGTGGTGACAAACTGGGAAAGCGACTGGAAAAGTGTGCCTTTCTGGCCGTCGGGCCAATCGAAACTGACTTGACAGCAGAAAGCTGAGCTGCCGGTGGAGAAGTGCCGAAAAAATATCCCACTTCATTGAATTGAGAAGTGCTGTACTATACAAATATATGCTGCGTCTGCTTGTGACCTCTACGCTTTGATCTCACCCCTGAAAGTTCCTGAGTTCAGCATCCGCTCCCCACATGAACATTCTGACAATCTGCACCGCACCTCTCTCCATCCGAACCGGCTTGCTGGTAGTCTTTGAACCTCCAAACGCTTCAGCCGGGCAGTGACTTGTCGAAGGTCCTCTGAACCACGGAATTCAAATATGGCAATAGACAAATCGTTATAACAAAATGTAAAAAAAGGTGGGTTCCCTGTGTCATTTTTGATCACAGAAAATTGAGATATGGACATGGCAAATTTGATCCCTGAGTTTTGGTGGGGTCAGATAACTTGCCCTTCCGCACCTCGTCTCTGAGGCAATCCTCTGCCTCTATTTATTCCATGAATTGATGTTTCCAATGCTGAAAATTCATCAGAAAATCCATCTTTCTGATCTTTCTGGGTAAAAAACCTACCCTATGGTAACCTAACATAGCAATGGAAAATAATGGAGATCAGCCATGGCTAGCAGGCAAATCATCTCGTTCCGGCAATTTTCCATGGCTATGTTATAATGATTTATACATGTAGTTATTACCAGAGGGTATGGCACCATTTCCCTGGAACATCCCTCGGCTTTCGTGCCTCTGCACAACCTGCGGCTTGCAGTGGGAACCGGGCAGCCAGCAGAGTGAGCCCAGCTCTTTCTGCCCACACCTGCCACCAGTTATGAAACAACATCGGGAGGTGAGTTTTCTGTTGAGTTTTAGTGGATCTACTAAACATTTCATGGCCGCAAAATGTGATGAGGCAATTGCTCAATGTCATTCAGATGTTCAATGGTACCCGTCTGGTAATTAAGATAGCTATGGAACATCACCATGTTGAATAGATAAATCATCAGAAATCATCCAGATGTCGCCATCTTTCAAAGTTATGTTAGGTTACATTATATGGCAGAGAGTAAATTCCATATGCAGGCTGAAACAAATCAGTATCTGGCCGTGACCAGCAGGGTTTTGGATTCCTGCCTAGCTGCTGCTGTAAGCTCAACCAAGAAAACTTGTAAATACCCCTATGGCAATCAAAAATGGTCATGGAAAATCCCCTTTTGTCTGGTGATGGTGATGATGATGATGATGATGATGATGGTGATGATGATGATGATGATGATGCCGATTCGATGATCATGGTTATGATGATGATGATGATGATGATGATGATGATGGTGATAATGGTGATGATGGTGATGATTATGATGATGATGATGATGACGATGATGATGATGACGATGACGATGATGATGACGATGATATTTGTTCCTATTATCACTATTGTTATTATTGTTATGATGATGCTGATAAACGTATTTTTTTGATGAAATTATCATTATTACCGTATTATCTCCAGTATTTATCTGCTGAAACTGGGGGATTGCCTGGTCAGATTACGACAGGGCACAGGCTTGAATCACGCCCCGTGCTCGACATGTTGCGAGCCCGCCCACTGTTGAGTTGCTTTTGGCGAATCACATGGCGCCCAGTTCCAACATCGTCTTGCGTTTTTTTTTAGTATGGAAATATATGATATATATATATATATATGTATATGCACACATAATGATACATAGAACTATATATTTGATACATTTTGATGATTTTTTGATATTTGTACATATGCAACTCACGGATTTCAACATATTTCAACCCCATCTTTTGATCATGGGAAAGTCAGATTCCTCAGTTTCCCACTTCGGGGGTGCCACCCATTTTCAGGCACAGCCAAGCAACGATATTATTTTTATATATTCAACCTTATCACACACACATAATATATAATTTATATATACATATATAATTTATATATACATATAATTTATATATACATATATAATTTATATATACATATATAATTTATATATACATATATAATTTATATATACATTTAAAAAATATATATACATATATATATAATATATATATATATATGTATGCCGTCATACTGTATCTCATCATATCCCATCCAAACTTGTTGAGTTTCATCATGTTTGTCGGTTAAATATGGTTAATTCGTGTTAAATCATCTTGAATCCCAGTTTGATAATATGTTACAGCTCTCTATGTGCCATGATTTCCCATCTAAAACTGCTGGTTTCCCCCATGTTGGCCGCTGAAATCGTGAAACAATCAATATTCATCCCAAGTTGAATGCCAAGTTGGTTCCCAGCATCTCCAGTTCATCATGTTTTGTCGCTTGAATCCTAGTATATACAATTTTAAATTCTTAAATCATCTCAAATCCCAAATTTTGATATCTGACTACAGCTCTCTATCCCAGGATTTCCCTCTAAAACTGTTGTTTCTTCCCATGTTTTGTCCCTTAGATCACGTTCAGATCAATGTTCATCCTAAGTCAGTTCACCAATCTCAACTTACTATCACTTCATCATCTTCAAGTCGTTGATTTCCTTTAAAAAAACTTACTTAATGTCGGTAAAACAACGCCATAAACATCCATAAACCATCCCCCAGTCATCAGCATTTTTTATGTGGTATGGTTCCGATTCCCAGTCATGGGTGGTTTATGGCAGTTTTACCCACATTAATGTCATAAACCAACCTCATCAAGAAGTTGATTTACCCAGTAAAAATTGTAATTGTCCATAGTTGTTTGATGTTTACCAGAGGGTAATGATCATATATCATCATATAGTTCATGACTATAGAAAATCCACCCATTTTTTATGTAGGTAAACCAACTATTTCTATGGGCAGATATTTTCCAACCAGGTATATATGGATATTCCATTATATCGTGGATATATTAGTGATATTACTATAGTCATATACCAAAAAATCGCAGATATCTTCGATTCACCAAAAATCGTCCAGTGTCAATGGTTCCCCAGGCCTCACATCGCCGAGAGGGATCCAGGCCGTCAGCCTTTGTTCCGAGCAGCCCACGTAGGCGCGGTCCATGTGGGGCCCCGTGAAGGCACCAGGTGGCACGGCGCGGAGCCACTTGTAGCCTGGGAGCCAAGGTTAGGCATGGGAAAATCATAGGGAAATCCAAGGGAAAAGATAGGAAAATCAGGGAAAATGCCCTCTAGATGCTGAAATGGTGATTTTACATTGATTTCATGGGAATCTAATGGGAATCCAATGGAAATGTCATGTGCTTTGCAAATGGGGTACACCCCGGAAATTGTTCTTTTAATGGGGAAAATGATGATAATGCAATGGATTTAGGGTACACTATTCTCAGGCAAACCCACAATTTGGGACATGGGAACCATGCATGGGATGGATATGGAAATGGAAGTGTTAACCATGGATAGAAATGGATAGATGCCTGGAAATGGAAGCTTAAACCCATCAAGAAATTGGAATTTCATATCATGGGAACGATTAGGTTTATAGAAATATAACCATGAAGAAAATAGGGAGCTAAATGATTTTAAATGGGAATTGATGAGATTATATAAGAAACCATCAAAAAAATGGGAACTATTAGGGATTTGATTGCCTGAGGCATCAACAAATTGGAACTTTATGGGAACGGGAGTGGGGCTTAATAGGATCATCAAACGTGGGTGTGAAATCCCCAAACGATCCACTTAGCCCAAGTGTCTGGAAATACGGGTTAATGATGTTGGTGTTTTTTTCAATTCTTATGTCTGCTTGGAGGGTCTAAGTATATAATGCTTTCATGGACATATGTATAAATATATATATAATATGTGTGTGTATCTATATAACCTATATATGTACATAATTTCTACATATATATATATATATCATATATAGATATATAGTGGGAATATTTGCTGGATCTACTTGGATTACCGGGATTACAGTAATTTTCGGCGCCAAAGATTGCAGTGTGGGTTTATAATGGCAGACAATCTTGGCTTTACAGGCAAGAGTAATGGCTGTGTATCATTGGATAATGGGATATGATGGGGATATGATTGGGGAGAATGATGGGATATACTGGGAATATAATAGGGATATAATAGGGTTGATGTTTTTTAGGCACATAGGGCAGGCGTTTTTCTGACACCGGGATGTCCTGTTCCACCATCAGGAAGAGGCAATGTCTATTTTGCATCCCAGGCTTGCTGTGGTATGCTGTGGCAACCCCTGTTTCCAAAGACCCGCTTTTTGTGCATTATGTAGATGTATGTCGCATAAATGATTACAAAGAAGAGGTTTGTCCACGTCAGGTTTGCTAATTATCAGAGTGGAATGCATACCAATGTTCAATTTTCCTATCCCACTGTTATCAAAATTGGTTTATAAGCCACTAAACTATAGCTATAATTAGTTTTAAGATGTTTTAAGTATCATAAGCCATAATTATTGGAGCTATCAACCCAAACATCCCTGGTCCAGCGCCATCGCGCGTCAAGCCCCGGGGACAGGTGGTGACGACCTCATCGGTTTCCAAGAGTCCTGAGACAGAAAAACCATTGGGGCTATATGTACACCCCCTAAATTGGTTTCAATAGGAACATCAATTTCAAAAAGGACTGATCATGGAACCTAATCTTCCTCAATTCTTGATGTGCTAGATAAAGTTTGGGGGCGTATAAATTATGTTCAGTTTCAACATGTGAAAAACAATTTAAAAAAACAAATAAGCTGTTTGCTTGTTGTTTAAACCTTGAACATCTGCCCAAATTTGTTGATTTAGGTAGATGCTTTTAACGAATGGGTTTACATTGGTTTTCACATATCACAACCATTGGATTTACTTCAGGGCAGCTCACCGTTCGACTAAGAGACGGAACTTCCAGGTTTTGGATCGTCGTTTACTGTACCATGCGCAGTCTGCATCGCTAGGAAACTCCAAGTGTGGGGGCCTGGGGGGCGATCAAGAGCCTAATTTTGAGGGAGTATATAATATAAATATATATATATATTAATAATATAATATAATATATATATATATATAGTTAATGCATGTGGAAAATCACCATTAATCATCTAGAAATAGACCATGTTCTGCTGTGTGACAAAGTACGGGAGAGTAAGCCAGTCACATCGTCCGGCGAGGTGCGTGCCGTGGCATCGAACAAAGCGGCATGTTCAAGCACTGCGCGTACCTGCACAGCTGCCCTCACAGTGAGTTCCAACACCGCTGCAAAATCGGTCGGCTGTTTGACTCCAACATACTCTCAAATTTGTGAAGACTATATAAATATCCGCCGACCCGGCCGACGCAAGGGGGAGCGCGCCAGGGAATAAGACATTTTCCGCCGACCATTTGGAAGCTTGCAACAGCAACAGCAACAGCAACAGCAGCAGCCAGCTAGCCAGCATCATGCTGTTTTTCTAGGATTTCAGACGACACGTTAGGGAGTTTGTTGCCGCGGTTTTGGAACTAGCTCGTCCTTCAGAGGCATGGTGTTTCCCTGCCGGGAGGTGATTTTTTTTGCTGTTTTACTGCTAGCAGCCGCAGGCAACAGAATCTGTCGAAAATCTGTCGAAAAATGCTATTTTTCTAGGATTTCAGACGACACGTTAGGGAGTTTTTTGGCGCTGTTTTGGAACTTGCTCGTCCTTCAGAGGCATGGTGTTTTCCTGCCGGGAGGTGATTTTTTCGAAGCTGTTTTACTGCTAGCAGCCGCAGGCAACAGAATTTGTCAAAAATTTGTCGAAAAATGCTGTTTTGCTACGATTTCAGACGACACGTTAGGGAGTTTGTTGGCGCGGTTTTGGAACTTGCTCGTCCTTCAGAGGCATGGTGTTTCCGTGCCGGGAGGTGATTTTTTTGGAGCTGTTTTACTGCTAGCAGCTGCAGGCAACAGAATCTGTCGAAAAATGCTGTTTTTCTAGGATTTCAGATGACACGTTAGGGAGTTTTTTGGCCCGGTTTTGGAACTAGCTCGTCCTTCAGAGGCATGGTGTTTCCCTGCCAGGAGGTGATTTTTTCGAAGCTGTTTTACTGCTAGCAGCCGCAGGCAACAGAATCTGTCGACAAATGCTGTTTTGCTACGATTTCAGACGACACGTTAGGCAGTTTTTTGGCGCGGTTTTGGAACTTGCTCATCCTTCAGAGGCATTGTGTTTCCCTGCCGGGGGGTGATTTTTTCGAAGCAGCTCTAAGTTGAAGAGCTAGCCAGCAGCCAGTAAGCAGCAGCCAGGCAGCAGCCAGCTAGCCAGCATCCAGTAAGCAGGCAACAGGCAGCCAGTAGTCAGCAGCCAGCGAGCCAGCAGCCAGAACAACAACAACAAGACCAACCACAACACCAGCAGCCAGCTAGCCAGCATCCAGTAAGCAGGCAACAGGCAGCCAGTAGTCAGCAGCCAGGAGCCAGCAGCCAGAAGAACAACAACAACAACAACAACACCAACACCAACACCAGCAGCAGCAGCAGCAGCAGCAGCCAGCTAGCCAGCATCATGCAATTTTTCTAGGATTTCAGACGACACGTTAGGGAGTTTTTTGGCGCGGTTTTGGAACTAGCTCGTCCTTCAGAGGCATGGTGTTTCCCTGCCGGGAGGTGATTTTTTTGGAGCTGTTTTACTGCTAGCAGCCGCAGGCAACAGAATCTGTCGAAAAATTCTGTTTTTCGAGGAGGAGCCAGCAGCCAGCTAGCCAGCAGCCAGGAGCCAGCTAGCCAGCATCCAGCAAGCAGGCAACAGGCAGCCGGTAGTCAGCAGCCAGGAGCCAGCAGCCAGAACAACAACAACAAGAACAACCACAAC